TCCGGAGGGGGCTTGAATGAGAGCAAAGCCCCTGATGAGCCAGCCACGATGAGGCGCCGACATGAGCTAATCGAACACATTGCTAGCTCCGAGGATGGTAGGCGTGTGCTTCTGGCCCGGATCCGGATATATCAAGGGGGGGAGAAGGCCGGGGATGTGCTCGGCGGGGGTTGGTAGGTCATGGACGGGCCGGGTAGCCGTACTGCGCTGGCTTGTTGATGGTTAAGCATCCTCGTGTGAGCTGGTAGAATAAGCTACAATGGGAGAAAAAGAGTGGGAAGGAGGGTGTGTAATGTAGACGGGAGAAGCAGTGGAATGCCGGGACGGAAGTGGGGAAGGGGAGGGGAGGGGAGGGGAGGGTGATGGGGTTTGAAGGGGAGAAGGAAAAGGGAGAAAGAAGAAGTGGAAATAACCTTTGAATGGGAAAGCTGGATGTGGCGGCCAGCCTAGTGATGGGTCGCAGAGAAAGGTAGCAGGCGGGGCGTGTGGTGATGAAACGTCGAAGTACTATGACAGAGCCCACCCAAATTTGGCCATTGGCGCGCTGCAAAGAAATATAAGTACTTTGCAAGGTACGAAAAAAAAGGCGGGGGTGGCCGGTGGATGAGCAGGATGTCCTAGGACCAAGACGCAGCTCCGGTGCAGTCCACTATGCTCGAGGCGGAGTTAGTGTCCAGCGGCAGAGGCGAGGGTGACCCTGGCCCTAGGCTCTGTGCCTCTTTGGCCCGTCCCAATCTGTCGACGGTCTGGAATGGGGTTATCGTATGTAGAAAGCCGCGCCGGTTCAGGCGAGGGTACGATCCCGATGTTTCCCCAAGGTAGTTCCTTCGTACAGCAGGAGAGCACAACGAGGATGAGACGAGGCCGAGCGAGTCAGGACGAACCGGGGGAGACGGAGGGGTGACAAGACGGAAGGGGACCAACAATTTGTAAATCAGTTTGACGGTTTACCGTTTAGGCAGCGGAAACAATGTGGAGTAGAAAGGTGTCCAGAGGTACCCTGAGCTATTTCATTTGAGAGCAGCGCGTATCAGAACAGACTGATGCCGGGGTCTGGAGGTTCAAGTGGCGAGACAGTCCCGGGAGGCTCGAGACGGGAAACCGGGTGAGTAAACAGACCACCGAAACGTTCAGGGTTTGTTGATCAGTGGGAGGCGGCCACGGGAAGGAGTCTGCCGGGGAGGAGTGTGTGCGAGGAAGGAACTCGAGATGCATGGCCTTCGGGGGACGCTGCCAAGATGAGACCAGGATACCGGGAATTTGAGGTGGTGAGCAGACACCGGCAGGGGGAGCAGCACAAACATCCTTGCTGGCCATGTTCGCAAGCCAGGAGGAAGCGTGCTGCCCACACCACCGGAATCGACACAGTCGGACAAGGCTAGCTCGCTGGCTGGCGCTTTTGCTCAGACGGGGGAGGTGCAGAAAGTGGGTTGAGACTGTTTTTAGCACGCCGTTCGGGGCCCTGGTCAATCCGCTTGGCCATTTGTTCCAGGAGCGGACTTGAGCACAGGGTTGGGTTGGCGCAAGGGGGGGTGTCCTGGGAGATGCAGGGCGGATCTGCGATAAATGACCAGGGCGCTTGCGCGAATCAATGACATAGACAGAGGGGTGAGGCTAACGGCGGGCCCAGAGCAGAAAACCCTCTTGACTCAACCAGTTACCAGACCAGACCAGCCAGCGAGAATGTGCTTTTCCTGTCGTGACGATGCGAAATAACACCTTCTGCGCTTGGGGTAGCATGTGGCTCAAGAAGGCGAGGGGCCTCGCCGAAACCTGATCCAGATGCAAAGCATCGTTGGCCGGTAAACAAGCCAGGCAGCCCGGACAACAAGCTCAACGTCACAACGCATCTGGTGTCCGGCCGGAGAGGTACACCTGACAGCTAAGCACGACCGTTTGGGTTCAGGTGCAGCTGCGGGGAGCTTCGCTGCGCAGGGTGGGCGGCGGGTAATGAGGGGGGCGCCTGGATGAACTGAGCTCTCAAAGAGGTAACCGCTCTGTGCGCACATGTGGCGGCTGGAAGGGAGGCAAGCCAAATCCCTGCGACGGTTATGTCGGGCTCAATGCCGCCCTCAAGTTATTTGCGTTCGCCTTGGACGAATGCAGTAGTGGGCAGGTCCATGGTTAGCGGTCCCGAGGGAGAGGGTCGGTGCCCCTGCTTGTGCGAGTCGGAGGCGGTAGCAACACAGCCTCCCTCGTCTTCGCTATTACTTCTATGTAGTCTAATTTTCGACATGATGCCGTCACGGGTGATCGGAGCAGCCATCGGGGTGAAGCATACAGTGCTTTGACAGCACGCATTATGCGTTCAGGCTGGCCCGTGAGGAAAGGGTTAGGTTGCGGGTTCGTGATGCGAGCGACTCCCAGGAGCAGGGGGATGGGGGTGGGGAACCGGTCGATCTCGCGCCTGTAGCCGCATTGCAACATGTGCTTTGTGCGGAGGCGGTACGACGGCGGGCAGGCACGGGAGAGATGGTTTCTGCCGAACAGAGTCCTTACCGCGGTAAACTGTTGTATACAACGCTGCGCGTGATGACATGGGACGGGCAGGCAGGGTGGTGAAACGGGTAAAGCGCTGGATCTGCTGGAGGCCGAATTCGGGATAGAGGTGGAGATGAGTCTCGAAAGGTGCTGAGTGGAAATAGGAATTGAGCGGAAAAGTTTGACCACCCTTGCTTAACCGTATCTTCCTGCCCGACCGGGACCTCCCTCAGATTGCCCGATGCCGCGGAGCAATGGAGTTTGCAGTAGTGACAGAGCAACCAACGCAGGAGGGCAGTCGTGATCTCCGCACGGATCGATCGAGGTACGGGAAGATCGAGGCAGGCAGGTGCGGCCCACGGACCCAGAGAGGCTAGTAGCAATCGTATCAATTGAAATAATAACACCAAAGTGTAGTGTGTGCCTAGCAGGAAACGCCGGCACTTGGCTATAACACGGCGACTTAAGGCATCAAAAAGTCCGGGACGAACTGATGTTCGGGTATGCTTCGAACCAGAATTGAAATTCTGCGGGTGGAAGAAACAACAGCGCCAAGTTTATTTTTCAGGCAAGTGGACCGTGCATGCAGCAACAGGGTACAGGGACCGGTCCACCATCGGCCAATCGCGCAGAGTCTGCGGTATTGGGGGGGACCATGTAATAAGTGGGTTCTGTGTAAATTATACAAACTCATACCCTGGACCGGAAAGACAGAGCAAACAAACCGGGGCAAAAAGAAAGAAGTTTGAGAAAAAAAAGTAAGAAAGAATACAAGGGACTGGGATGACGGATACCTTGATACCTTGATACCTTGATACCTTGATACCTTGATACCTTGATACCTTGATACCTTGATACCTTGATACCTAATAAGAGAACTCGTGAGAGGAATGGGGTTCCTATTCAAAATACTGTGTACTGAAGTCCTCATCCGCTGGCTCCTGAGATGAAACAGCTTACACGGTAGGGAGTTCATTACATGTAAATCAGGCCTGTATATAACTCGTAACTCCCGAGTGTCCCTAGCATACCGTATTCGTACCACTCGCTGCGACTGTGGCAGGTGTCCATTCAGTGGTCCAAGCGTCGAAACCGAACATGCTGTGCTTCAGAAGTCGCTTCAAGTTTGTTTTCTCTGGCTCAAAGCAGCTGCCAAAGCGTCGTCGCCTCTTTCGAGGCCATTACTGGGCCCAGGGGAGGCTGTATTTGTTTTACCATGTTGCACCTGTTTCGCCTCATTGCGTCAAAAACGCCGATGCTGTTTTAGGTACGAGGTTTTCCGAGTGAAACCCCGTATCAACAACCAGAGGACGAGGTTTGCGTTGATTCAACTGCGTGGCTTTTACACAGTAGGTGGGCTATCTGAGATGCGAAAGGAAATCTGAGAAAGTTACGATGTACGTAGGACACCAGTACCGAGATGGCCGAGGTGGTGCCTGTTCGATACGGTGATACGGTGATACTGTGATACCGTGACGCTGGTCGCTTTCTGTGGCTCCTTCCTTCTTTGGGTGAGCCAGTCAGGCTCACAGGTTCCATCATCCCATGCTGTTGGTTTCCGACCGGAAAATTACCCCAATACCGACCTCCCCAACCATAGAAACGACCAGTTCATCCAAACAGCAAAGCAACGCCGTCCCATAATACTCTCCCAACCTTCCGGTCGGGACATGCCGCAGTCTCACCAGAACACAGGATCTGCGTTGAACCTTACTTTATCTCCCACAGTCCATAAACTGCGGCTCCCGAGCGGCCACGCGTTTCCGACTTGATGTTGTGCATCACGACGCGCTTTGTGGTCGATGGTCGCGTATGGACCAGTCGCGAGTTGGATATGCGCTGAATGAGGGCCCGAGTGGCCTGGCTGGATCATGGTCAAGGTTTGTGGAACATCAGCTACGCCGGGGCTCCTCTCTCGCCGCCGTGGAGTTTCATTTACTGGGTCGTGTCGAGCGCTAACTTGGGGTTTCAAGTTTGCTGCGAAGAGGGCGGCCCTGGAAGGCATGCTTGCGGCACCTCACGCACCCGAGGCCCTGCAGATGCAGACCGGCACCACCCTCGCCAGCGCATGAACACTGCTGCAACCTAGCGGATGTAGCCGACGATTGACGGGATGTCGTTCCTTTTGTTCTGACAACACCCACCTATCCGTTTCCGGGCGCTCTTTCCGACAAGGGCGCTTCCTGGACCCTGGGTCGTGAGATGCCCAAAGCAACAATTGCCCCGTGCTTGCAGTCGAAAAGGATGCTTGATACATCGCGACGGGTTTCATCCAAATCCTCGCCAACTCGAAAGTGCTGAGCGGATCAAGGGTCTCAGCTGCCTGTAAACACGGCCCCACGTCAGATTTCGCCTCAGAAGCTGCAGCATGCGCACTGCTGCTGGCCCGAACGAGGCTGTATGCCCCGAGTGACCCAGGTTTTGCAGGAAAGCTGCTGACCATCGCGAAGGTAGAAACTGTGCATCGAGCACCACTTGTTTAGAGACCCAAATGCTCTCCCCCCCCGCGATGCCTGCTTGTGGCACGGCGAGCAATGCCTGCCGCCAGTGAGGGAATGTCAGATGGTCCAGCCTGCAACCACCAAGAGCGCCGACCACATGGGATAAAAAAAGCTCGTCTCGGCCAATGGAACCTCGAATCCTTTATTTGAAACAGAACCAGAGCTGGGCCCTGCTGCTCGTTTAACACCTCGACTGAGAACCTCCTCCTCTCCGAAGCGCGCCCCACCGCGATGCTAGTCGTCCTCAACCGCGGTGTCATCGAGGTCGTGAGACGCGCCATTGTTGAACGCGGCGGGACGGTGCCATGTTGACGCTGGACGGGGTCTTGGAACTCGGCTGCAGAGCCTGACAGAGCTAGCACCGCTTCGGCCACTCTCCGACTTCATACCTCTTTAATCTTACTTCCCGTGTCGTCTGGCCGTTGAGCATTATCCCACAACCTTCAGGACGGCGCCGCATTTTTTCCACATCGTCCCCGCCACGAGCTTCGTGGCCCGTTGGTAAAGCGCTCAGTAAGACTGCCGCGCATGATGGTCTCACATCCAACAAGACTCTTGGTCAACGTGTCTTGGCCACGCGCTCTTGATCACAGCTTGCGTCATCGAGTACTACCTTGCTCATCAATATTCAGCGTCCCAACAACACACCACCTCCCTGCCACGAAATTGAGGATACGGTCCCCCAATTATTATCAGTGACGGCTTTCCAACAACACTTGCGCAGCCTTCCGTTATTGCTGCGTGTCTTGCGTGAATCCAGTGCACTCCCGATCTTTGACCCCGGAACTTGCAGATGTGCTGTAAACTTGTGGCGTTCCGAGCGTCTCCAGCTGGTCGAGAAATGCACCTTCCCCCACGCTTTCGTGCTGGTGGCCGGAATCATGCTGTATGTCCGTGGGTATAATCTGTCCATACAAACGTGTGAACTTGTCGTCGCCCAGCACCCTTGCTTGCGCTAGACCTGGGTCCCTTGGCCGAGCGACAACAACCTGAAACAAGACCACTTCTTGACTGAGTAATTCTTGCGACTCGGGGAGGGAAAGCTAAGCCGAACCGATGTCACATTGGCTTGCTGCGCTCTTTCGGGGCCGGACTTGGTTCTCGGAGAAGCACACGCGGGCCGATGCTCAGGCCTGCTTCCATAGTCCTCAATTCACCGGTCCGGAAGGAGCAGGTCCGGAACACCGCGGCGCCCCAGATATATCTGTCACGGTGCTAACATGCAAGTACCCGCTTTCTATCCCCAGACATCTCCATCCTTGCGATGCTATTCCCTGTCAGCGGCACCCAAGGGACCTTGATGAGATGGCGAACACCAGACGAAGTATTCTTACTGCCGGGGCGAATCTTACGCGGCATGTGCTCGCGCCAAACCTTGCGGGATTGTTTAGGAGCATGTTCTTCAGGGCCATGCGACTCGCCATCTGGCTGCCCGAAGTGTTCCAATTGGGTTTGTACGTCGCTACGCTGACGTGTTCGTGAATAGACACAACAGTCCTTCTCAATCACAAAACCCGACGATAACGGGACCAGGGGGTGCCAGCAGATCGCCCCCCAATCGGGCTGCAAGCGGAATGCATCCATCCTGGCACGCCTGGCCACAACCGGAGCTCGCACGCCTACAAGTTGGTAGATATCACGCAGTCGAGAAACGCCGCCGCTCACTTCAAGACGGGGAGCACGCATTGGACAGACAGGACGAGGTCTCCAAATTCCGGCGAGCCTCGTGACGAAAGACCTAGTGGGCGGTAAACTCTTGTCACACACATACCATGCCAGACACGGCACTAACACTCTATTCCATCAATATATGGACGATAGAGGAAGGTTCGGCCTTGGGATATGTCTAGCATCCGCGCGGGTGGCGGGAACTCACATCGGGTATTCGTTTAAAGACCATTCGCTCCCCGCCGACTTTGGGGGCGGACACCTCGCCGCGTCTACCGAACTTCGAGAAGGAATGAAACACGGGAACCGACAGGCTCACCGGACTTCCGTGTGTCACACAAGCGATGGCTTTGCGATAGGACAAGAGGAAAAGTAGTTGCCCGTCACTGGTCCTCGAGGCTAACAACTGCAAGCATGATCTGGGCGGACGCGCCAGCGTACTCACTCCGTGTTTGCCCTTGCTTGCCCGATCCCTTACGGGATGCGGCAGGACTACGCACAGGATGCAGGCGCCGCTTATGGAACCCCGGCCGCGATTTGTTAGGAGATCAAGTTTGATGATTTGCCTCGGATCGAGACAACGGCCGGAGAAGTGCCGGGGAGATTTGATTCATGTTTTCATGACAAGGTTTCGACTATTGTGTAAGTGGCCCGCTTTGACAACTCGGGAGTATGAGAACAAGAACACGCCAAACGGTTGTCTCTTTGCCACGCTTTGGTCGGATCTCCCGTACCTTTGCCGCACAAGCCAAAACACCGTTCCTTTTTGGCTCCAAATACCCGCTTGCTTAGGTTACATCAACCTAGCACGGTCCGTGTCTGGATCACCCCATGGGGGGTTATCATTCAGGGGCGAGACGTCTGTTCCCGATACCATAGATTAGTCAAGTCTGGAACCGATGGCAACCCGCGGCTGGAAATGTCTGGATGGACAGGCACGGACGGTGCGTTGCAACGCTGCCGCCAATTCCCCTAGGGCGGCGAGTCTTGAGCCCGGTTGCAAGCCACCGACTCGCCAAGCCGACGACATCTACCGCACTCACCAGTCTGAAAATGATGGCGGCACCGGCCTGGCTTGCGGCTGCGCGGCTTCCTCACATATTCCCTTTCCAACTGCCCCCCGTTTCTGCTGTCGCCAACTTACGCACTCTGTCTGAGACTTGCTTGCCGAGCGGGGAAAGCAATACGGCGGCTTGCAGGACAATGGAAGCAAGCAAGCAGCAAGCATGCCGATGACGGCGTCCAGCACCTGTTGCCATCCTCCTTGTTCTTGCATACCTACCGTCTGGCTCTCTCAGCGTCGAACTAGCCTAACCTGGCTTATGTGGCACCTGACAGACCTCCCTTGCCTTCCTGCTCCTCTTCACGGAACCAGCCGGGCTCTGAGACGTAGACTTATCCCATCGTGACATTCCTACTGAACATTAAACGCCCTATGCCGGCGACTGGCTGGAGGTGTTGACGATCGTCGTTTCCTCTCTACATACGTTTTAGAGATGAGGCGTTGCCACGCTCCAGTTCGCCCCCTTCCTCCCCCTGTTTCAAGGGGGAAAAAAAAAAAAAAAAAAAAAAAAAAAAAAAAAAAGCAGAATCGGAAACGAACAAACAAACACGGGCTTGCGTCGTTGACCAGCCCCCCAAGCCACTCTGTTTCTGTCTTCCTTGGGGTGGTACGAAGGACGGCAGAAGAAGCGCCACATTTCCGCGGTCAGCAGTGGGCAGTAATATCTACATGTCTGTGCTACTAGGGACATTCCTTGCGAAGGGGGGCGGCGCGCTGTGGCTTGATCGCCGATGTCCGTCACTCCCGAAACATGGTGGCTGACGGTGTGAGGTTGCTATGTCGTACAAAAGGGCACGGCGTGTGTGGGTTGCGGATGTTTACGGTCTGGGGACGGATCGCTTGCTGTGTGGAATCTCAACCACGGAGAAGACGGGCGATTTGGGAAATCGGGAGATGATGAGAGCATACTTTTTGTAGCTTAGCATTGTATTGAGTAGGGGGATGGGCATAGGACCAGGATAATCCTGATCGTACAAAACCCGGAAGTGGCACGCCAGCCTGGTGAACTCCTAGGTAAAGAGCTCATGGTGCCAAAACAGAGCCCGAGGCGTAGCGATACCGTGGAGAATGGAAAAGGGCACGTGCGAGATATCACCGCCTCGCTCCTCAAGGCCTCATTTACATTGGCACCGGGCGCTTGCCACCCTGGCAATGCCTAAAAGAATGCGTGTCCCTCAGATACTTGCCGCTCACACAGTCACGATGAGGCCACGGGCCAGTTTCCATTCATGGGGGTGTTCCTACAAGGTGTCTATTCCAAACCCACCTCGTCCGCTGTCTATGTCCACCAACAAGTTATGTACCACGCAGCTGGTCTTCAAAAAAGACCCAACATACATACAAGTATGCGCATTGGTATTCTGCCCTGCCTTTCCCCTATCCGGCCCTCTCCCGCATAAGAAACGGAATAAGCACACCACAAAACCGCAAGAATATTCTACACCGTGAACAACAAACAAGGCCCGCCAAACGAAAAAGAAGAAACGAAGAACGACATAATACAATCAAACGCCTGTAATGCGCAAAGGCTCTCGCAGTAAAAACCCTCTTCGCTCCAAGTAAGCCACGCCAGGCTAGGTGAAGTGAGAAATAACAAGCAAATTCCAGCCCATTTCCACTCCGCTGACACAAGCAAGCAAGCAAGCAAGCAAGCAAGCAAAACAAGCAAGCAGCTTTCCTCCCTCCCTTCCCTTTCCCTTCGAGTTATCCTCCCCTCTTTTCTTAATAGACAGACAGGTAGTAAGTATGTACGTTAGTAAGGATGCAAGTCGGGTCAGTGTCTATGTACTGTGAAGCATTGTACGTTTGCCACCCCCCTCTCCCCTCACCTTTTATCCACCACCACCACCACCACCACCACCACCAAACTATCCCACCCTCTTCAAACTTCGTTCCCCTCAAAACCTCCCCACAGCCCCCCCACAACCCCAGCACCCCCTCAAAAGAACTTCGCCAACGCCGTACTCAGATCAATAAAGTCCACCGGCTTGGTAACGTAGTCGTTGAACCCGGCCTCGACGCACTTGTCCTGGACATCCGACATGACGTTGGCCGAGAGGGCGATGATGGGCAAGGGCGGGCCCTCGGCACCGAGGCGGCGGCGTTGCGCCTCCCAGGCACGCACCTCGCGGCAGGCCTGGTAGCCATCTTTTCGCGGCATGTGGAGGTCGCACTGTAGGCGGTGTGGTTAGTTTGCAGTTTCTTTTCTTTTTTTGGTTGTTGTAATGGGTCGGATGAGAGTAGGGGGCGATATGGGGAAGGGGGGATGGGGATGAAGAAGAGCATACCAAGATAAGGGCGTAGTACCCCCAGCCCTTCTCAAAGACCATCTCGGTGCACTCAACGCCGTCGGCGGCCAGCTCAACAGCGACACCAACCCGTCTGAGGTACTTCTGCAGCACCTTCTGGTTGACGGGATTGTCCTCTACCAGCAGCACCTTGTAGCCCTTGCCGCCCATGCGGCGCTCCATGTCGACGTAGTTTTGGCGCTGGTCCTCCACCAGCCGCTGGGCCGTGGACCGGTTGTGGTCGATGCTGAGGTCGCGCTCCTTGGCCGGGTCGAAGATGACGGCGAATCGGGAGGGCTTGACCGGCTTGTAGATGTACGTCACCCGGTTCTCGGATAGGATGTCCTCGTGCTTGGTGCCCGCAACGAGCTTGGAGACGGCCTGGCGCTGGACCGAGTCCGAGAGGATCAGGATGGTCGTGTTGCCCAGCGCGCTGGGCTCCAAGTGCGAGGCCTTCTCCATGAGAGAGATGATTTCTTCCGGTGTGGGGAGGTTGACGACAATGTGTGTGAAGCGAACTGCGTCTTCGTCACTGATGAATGTGTGGGCCTCCTCGACCGAAGCGACGGCCGTGATCTTGTACGGAATCCCCTTGGGCAGTGTCATCTCGATGTGTTTGGTCGTCGCTTCGCGGCTGTGTGTCTGCGGGCAGATGATGAGGATGGAAAACATGGGCGGCGTCGATTGCTCCTTGAGCGAGTTCTCAGTGCTAGCAGTGGGCGTGGTGGTCCCTGGACTACCCCTGCGGTTCGGCATTTCCAATTTCATCTGGGAGAGATCCTGTCCACTGGCCCGGGCTGCCTGGCTAAAGCGCACTAGGCCCGCGTTCACCGATGACATAGAGGAGCGGTCCGTTGCCCGGGTGCGGCCGGATGATGCCGACAGCTCGGAACTCCCGCTGGAGGCCGCTGCTGGGGAAGTAAAACCCAAATCGGTCGTGGTGGTTGATGGGCTGCTAGAAGGCGGCTCGCGGAGTGCACTCGCCGACGGGGCCGGGGCGGGAACAACAGGCGTGTTCTGCATTAGCCCCGGTGTCGGGTGAGGAACCGACCCAGCGTCAGGATGATCGTCCTCGGTAGGCAGCCCGAACCTCGCAGTGAAGGTGAAGGTGGATCCCTTGTTAGGGATGGCGGAGCCCTCCATCCTCCCTCCGTGCAGCTCGACGAGCTGTCGGGAGATGACCAACCCCAAGCCGCTCCCACCATGCTGCCGGGTGCTACTGCCGTCGATCTGGCTGAACGGCTTGAAGATGAGGTCGGCTTCTTCCTGGCTGAAGCCCCTGCCCGTATCGATGATGGAGAACTCGAGCATAATCTCGTCCGTTTGCGGCGGCGCCCCCTCGGGGTTGAAGACCCTGCACTTGCTGAACACCTCGCCCCGGCTGGTAAACTTGATGGCATTGCCAATAACGTTGAGCAGCACTTGGCGGATGCGCACCTTGTCTCCCTTGACCCAGGCCGGCACGTCTTCCTCGACCACGTAGTTGAGTTCTAGGCGCTTCGCAATGGCCATGGTCGACACAAGCTCGTTCACGTCTTCGATGAGCGAGCGGGTATGGAACCACTCGTAGTTCAGCTTCATCATGCCGGCGTCTACCTTGGAGAGGTCGAGGATGTCGTTGATAATCATGAGTAGGCTGTTGGCGCTGGTCTGAATGGTGTTGGTATAGTCTCGCTGCTCTTCGTTCAGCGTCGTGTCCTGTAGGAAGGTGACCATGCCCGAGATGCCGATGAGCGGCGTCCGGATCTCGTGCGACATGTTGCTGAGGAAGCGGCCCTTAGAGTCCATGGCCTCCTTCAGCTTGGTCTCGAGGAGTTTGAGGTCGTTGATGTCGGTGGCTGACCCGAAGTACGAGCTCGCGCCGTTGCCGAAGTCGACGTTGTCGATCGCGACGCAGCGGATAAGGTGCCATCGGTACTCACCGCTTTTGGAGCGCAGCCGGATCTCAGTCGTGTACGACAGCCGGCCGCTACTGTCGGTCGACACCTTGATGACCCCCTTCTTGGCGAGTTCGGTGAGATTTGCGGTCGGAAGGTCATAGGGAGAGCCGTCGTTGCTACCGCTACCACTGCTGCTGGAGCTGTTGTTTCGCAACAGTGGGTGATCAAAGCCCCTGATGCCGCCATCGGGAACGGACAAATGCTTCCCGGCCTGGCGGGTAGCGGTGTAGTCAGCCGAGAAGGAGCGGCCGTGGTTCTTGAGCCCTGCCCTGGCGTCCTGCTGGGGAACCGATTGTCCGCCCGGAGGAATCCGGCATTTGGCGAGGTCGTCTGGGTGCACATAGTCCATGAATCCAAGGCCGAGAACCCCCTCGGAGGGCGCCTGGCCGGTGTAAGACAGCCACTGCTCGTTTGCAAACGTGATGCCCTCGTCTTCGGTGGCCGTGAAGATCATCTGCGGTATCAAGTTGGCCAGCAGGCGGTGCTTTGCCTCGGAGGCCAATATCTCTTCCTGTCTCGCCGCCTTGACTTCTGCGATGTGCTGGTCGTGGATGTCCATGTAGGACCCCAAAAATTGCATGATGACGCCTCGCTTGTCCTTGGATGCGACGGCTCGGGCATAGAACCACCGATACTGGCCGTCAAACCGCCTGATCTGTACCGTCTTGGCGAACTGCTCGCCGGTCCGGACACAATGACTCCACTCGCGGAGGTATTCTTCCCGCTCGTCGGGATGTATGCTAGCCCAGGGGTCGGCAGCCAGGTCACCCGAGGTCTGCCCGCGATAGGTGAGGAAACGGCTGTTTACCCACACGATTTCGCCCGTCTGCGGCAAGGCCACAAAGACGTGGGCGGGCAAAGAGTCCAGAATGAGGCCCTTCAGTTTATCCGACGGAGGTGTCATGTCGGTTTGCATCATCGACCCGGATCTACTCGGCGCCGCAGGGTGGGGGATTCCTCGGCCGATCGATGAACTCGGTGGGAGAGATTGGAACGTTGACGCAAAGTCGGCGCCGTAGGAGTGCAGTTGGGTGTGACGGTGGGGCGTCGAGCTCGGTGTTGCAACCATCTTGTGATGACTATCGACCGGAGATCCCGTTGCACTACTCGTCTCGCCAGGAAAAGCCTGTTCCTTCTTCTCGCCCTGCGCTGACCGTCTCAGCTGAATGCTGGCGGATGGGAGCTCCTCTGGCTCGGGCCGTAATGATTCGGAGCTCCTTCGGGGCTCGGTCATGGCTAGGCTGACCGTAGCCGGATCGTGCATCTGCACCTTGCCCGTCGACAGGCGCAGAGACGACCGTTTCTCCGAGAGAGGTGTTTCTCGCGAGTTCCTTCTCGGCCGCTGCCCAGCGTTCGGCGGGTTCTTAACCATGGAGCTGAAGTAGCTGTCGGCGGTGACAGGGGCAGGACTCGCAGTAGTTCCCCACTTGTTGTCCATGACGAGACTGAGCGAGGGCAGATCCCAGGTTGGTGTCCCACCGGGAGAGCCGGCGCCGCTACGTGCCGGGCCGGAATACTCGCTGGGGCTCGTCATACTGCCGGCGATGGAGCCTCGCGAGCCGGCACCCTCGGCGGTGGGCAAGCAGGCAAACGAATTTAGCGCGGCGGAGCCGGCCAGCGGGCGCCCGTCGGGACCCAAAGCCCCAAAGCCCGTTGTGTGTGGTCTGCGTTTCTGCAGCCCGTTTAGCTCGGTCTCCATGTGGCTGTAATGGCGGGCAAGGGAAAAGGAGGTGGCAAGATGTGGAGCAAGGTGTTCCAAGGAGTGGCGTAGGTTAGAAGGATAGGGGATGATGGGGCTCAGGATCGACAGGATCGCAATGGGCGCGTGCTTCTCCTTGACGGGGCGTTCGGGGGACAGGTTCGCAGTTGCTGAGCCATCTCCGTTTTTCCGCGAGATCTTTTGCTCCATAAGCGAAGGATCGAGCTTGAAGGATGTGTTGGGCCTCGATAACAGCACGTGCGTAAGGGGAATGTGCAGCACCGTCCAGGAGTTGTCGACACCGATAGCTTCTGGAGGGACCATGGCTGAATAATCAGCTGGGGCGGAGGACGGGTTGAACGATTCTTCGTCGACCATGGCCTTCGGCGAAGAAGGGATTCTCGGTGGGATCGGCCCTGACGGCGGGAGACGGTGCCGGAGACTGCGACCAAGGAGACGGCGGTGTTTGTTCGTACTCCTCGTATCTCTGAATGGGTGGCTTAGGGATCTCGTCCTCGAACCCGGGAGGCGATCGTGGATTTCCTCTCCAGCGTTTGGGGCCGCTGGCCACGGCTGGATGCGGGTGACAACGTGGCGTTACCAAGAATGGACGAGAGCTTTGACATAGAATCTGACCGTGGTTCCCTGATCTTCCGACGGGGCCCCTCGGGCGATTTGGCTCCCACTGCGGCGCGAGGGTCAACAGGCTTCTTACCGGCCGCTTCCTGGTTGTTGAGGTAAGGGTAAGACCTGGTGAGGGCAACCACGCGGCCACGCTCCAGAATACGGACGACGCCGTTGTGGTCAATCAGGGGATCAGCTTCGTAGTCGAGAGCCTGTAGCACATCGAGCAGCTTCCCATGCCCTTCCCTTTCGGCTGTTAAGGGCACTTCCCAGCTTGGAATTTGCTGTTTCTCCTCTTCGAGGGCGTCGTGCTGCTTTAGGGCCTCTCTGTTGAGGCTGGTCAAGTTTTCGCCGTCATCGATGGCATCATGGGCGCGACTGGCGGGCTGGTGGTGAGATTTGCTCCTCGAGAGAAGCTGGGGGCGACGCTGATCGGAAGGCGGCCGGTCGTCTGCTGCGGCCGGTCGGGTTTGTTCATACGATGTGAACGAATGCCGACTCTGTAGGGTGGGACGGGTCGGTGTCTGTTTCGCAGAAGGCATCCCGGTCTGGAGAAAGCGTTCCGAAGATTCACCCGTGCTGCTCGGAATGAAACTCGAGCCCCTGGCGAGGTATCCCACACTCAGTTCATCCTCGCGATGGGCATTGTACGTCGCCTTTTGGCCCCATGGCACGTTCTCAATGTCCGTCGGGTCGGCCGGGATGGCCAGGGTCACCCTTTCCGCCTTGTACACGTCAACCATTATTTGCACCACGGTGTGCCACCAGGCATCCAACCCCGGCTCGGCCGAGAGCATCAGGGCCAACTCGTAAAGGTTCGGACTCGGGAATTCACGGTTGTCTGGCATCTCGTGAGAGCAGCCGGGTGGTAGAAAGGTGAGGGCGGAGGCCCGGCGTAGAGGGGTTCGAGGACGCGAGTGTGTCCTGGCCCTTGAAAACGTCGGAGAGCGAGCGGGACGCATCGGGCGGGGCTGTGGGCGAGAGCGTGGTGAACGGGCGGTGGATGGCAGAAGACAGGAAGGTGCCCCGGAGACATGCGGGGGAACGGGTAGGAGGGCGTGCCTGCTGCTGGACCAGGCGTAGGCGGGGCTTGCCGTCCTCGGATCGTATGATTAGACCCTGTCGAAGTCGCGGAGGTCGAGGTGGCCGGTGGCTCGGACCCGGACCCGGATCCCGACCCGGATCCGGACGACCGGGGTAAGGATGACGGGGAGTTCTCTTCTTGTATCGGGGAGATTTTGTGGGGCCCGGCCATGGGCGGTTGTCCTCCTCTTAGCGGCAATTCCCTCCGATCCATCTGGCGTGCCAAGTTCTCGCGATACTCGTTCAACTGCCGCTGCGAGTCCCTCAGTTCCGGCCCCGGCCGCGGCCGCGGCCCCGGCTCCACAAGGTTCTCTGCCCTGCTCTGGCCATGGTCGAAAGTCGACGACGGGGGGCCCGCCTCCCCTCGCGGGGTTTCGTCACCCCGGTTCGGGTCTTGTTCCTCGGGGTGCGGGGCCGAGCCTCGGAGGCTAGCCGTCTCAGGTTCGAACTGGGGTTCGTACTTGAAGGATATGGATTTCTTGGTGGGCGGGTGAGGGCCTGGGCCTGTACGGCTCGGTACCTGTGGCCCCTCCGCCCTGCTTAACGGGCCGCCTGACATTTGTTGTTTTGTTGCTGCGGTCACCGGGTTCGTCGAATGCGACGGCGGCACAGCATCATTGGGAGGGGGCCAATTCGAAGGTGAAAGCTGCGCACAGCGCGTATTTACCCCAGCCCCACTCCGCGGTCTCTATTATGCCCGTCTTTTCCGTATCGGCGTTCTCGGGCCTGTCCTGGTCTGACGATTTCGCCCCGGGCGTAAATGGTTCGCAATCCCCCGTTCGCATGCCTCATCGAGTGTGGTGGTGTTCCCGATGACGTCGGTTTGGGATGGCCACAAAGGCTCGGGCGTGGGATCGGGCAAACATCCAATGCAATGGCCGAAGATGGGACGATATCGGGATATCCAGGTGGAGGGACGAAAAGATAGGTAGGAGTACTAGAAGAGAAACAGAAAGGGTACGGGAATGGAACGGTGCGTCACTGGTAGTGTACACGTCAGGGCACAGCCGGGAAGTCGGCACTTGGGGTCGCTCAAGTGTCGGGGTATTATTGAAAATGGTAGGGGGGTTTGGTAGGTTGGTTGAAAAAGGATTAAAGGTCGGTATGCTGATCGATGGGGTCGAAGGAAGCGACAGAAAGAGAAAATAGGTATGGACGTCGTGGGCGCCAAAAGTTGAGTTACCCCTTGTTGTTCCTGTCCTGGGAAGACAGCCCGTGGGTGGTTAGACGCAAAGGTGCTGTAGCGCGTGGGTGTGTGGGTGAGTGGCTCAGCGGGTGCGTGGGTAGGTGGCAGGTGGGTAGGTGGAGAGGCAGGCTTGCTTGCCTCTTGCCTCTTGCCTCTTGCCTCTTGCCTCTTGCCTCTTTCCTGGGTATGGAGAGAGGTCTTGCCTCTTGGGTTTGCGTTGTGTGGTTTATGGTGTGTTGGTTCGTGGTTGTCACGTTCTGTGGTGTAGGCAAGTGGGTGTGGGTTGCCTATGTGTGCTACGCGTTTGTCGGCAATGGGTTACATACTGGGCATCGTCCGTGGGGAAAACGCAAGGTAGGGAGGCACCGAGGCAGGGTGGGCTGCGAGAAAGAGGAACTGGGTGGGTTCGGAGGTGAGAGTTGGCAACGCCCCCAGTGACCCAAAACGGGAACTATGACGTTGTGCCGCCGCCTGCGCCCGAGTTCAGATGGTGCAAAATGCTAAAATGCTAAAATAAAAAACCCACAATCCAGCCATCCCGCATTGACGAGCAGTCAGCCGAACATCGAAAAAAAATAAATTACTTCGTACATTTGGGAGTTATAGTGTCCCAAGGCATGGGAATTCCGAATCCTGAACCCACAGGCGCAGTCATTGTTTCCCGTTTCTCTTAGTTAAAAATGCAGCATGCGCAAGTGGAGGCGGCTTCACTATCACACACCGTCTGGCTCAAGCGCTGCGACCTTTGTGGAGTCGCTGCGAGGAACGATGAATGGGAAACTGCTGTGGGATGGATCCGTGGGTGGGAGTGAGGTGGGAGAAGGAAGGGGGAATTGCAGCGATGCATGCAGGTCTAAATCTCTGTGTGTACGAAGTACCTGGGTATGTATGTACTCCGTCGTACCACCATCAAACAAATTCCAAATCTTGTGGTTTATCTGAAATGTCCCGTCCCCTGGCGGGGAATTCTCATATGAATCTGGCTTCGGGATGGAGAACCGCATTGTGCACATTCAGGGACCAGCAAGGGTCCTACTCTTGTTTGGAACTGACAGGGGTGCGCGGGGCCGGGCCAGTGGCCTGACTTGGGATTCTCCTGCCTCAATGTTCGCCCAGGGAAATCCCTACCGGCTGCCCAGCCATGAAATTAAACGTCTGCCCACCCACAGCCGAATATTCATACATTTCGCTTGCTTGTGGCCGGGACAGACGACGAAAGCAGTACCGAAGCGGGAAATAGCGTTCAGCTTCGGGGGTGCCGTTTGTGTCCGAGTCCGGGTTTTTAAAGATTCGTTAAGTAACTCGAGGGGTGACCGAATTACAGCCATTCCTGTTTGCCCCTGCAAGCGGTAACTACACTAGGCGGTGGCGCGACGCCAGTTCTTGATGCGCCTCGTGCAAATGTCTCGGTTGTCGGGAAACCGGGACGACCTACGATGGAAGTACACTCGGTACGAATAGGCGGGAGCTGCTCTGAGGGATTGACCAGGTCACACCACCTCTCATCACGAAGCGGGTGGATGTCCCCCCACGGAACGACAGAGACCCGCGATGCAGCTTCCCAGTCAAACCAGCAAACGTGCCACCGAGACATCGTCATTCTCGAAAAATGCATTTGGCGGTCAAGCGAATTCTTTCGACGCGCAGGCTCGGCAGGCTCGCGTTGAAATCCCAGACGAGCGGCCCCCCGAGGGGCACGCCTGTTGCAGATTGGAGGTTGTCGATCTCTGAAAAATGACGTCACAGGCTGCGAGCAAAACCGATGAGGCGGCTGACACCCTTTGCGGGTCGCCATGCACAGAAACCGGGTTCGTGGTTGGCTGGCTTCTCCCCGACAGCGGCACACAGTGTGTACCTTACAGTTGGTGAAATGGTGACACTGTCCGCAACCGATGTGCAGTTAAGGCAGTCAACCCCACTCGAACCACCGACTGTCAAGACATTGTCCGTGTACAAAGTACATACATCCAATAGTTACCTTACATACCTCGGTACTCAGCTGCAAGTATGTCCCAGCCTGGTTTCTCTGCCCCTTTACTGTGTAAGTTGGTTGCTCCGGCAATCTGGTGCACCTCTGCACTTAATCTCAGGAGAAGATCCATGCATGGCTGGCGTCTCCCTGTTGGAAATTCTAACAGCCTTGGAGAAGGGGGGCGATTCAGGGTTAAGGCAAGGGGAAGGCGTGGGCTTTGAGAGAGGGTTAGGGCTGCGAATGAGCTTTAATTTGATGAGGGTTGAAGGGCTGGGAAGGGAGAAGGTCGTGTTTGATATCCGACGATGGCTTACTTCTATTCTTTGACGTTCGTGATACTTGGTCTTGTTGGTCGTTGCATCCAATGGGCCCTTGTCAAAGGACTCTCTGGAAAAAGGCCCTGGAAACGAAATTCATCACTGAGGCACACCTTCGCATCTGCCCCTGATTTTAGAAAGGTAGAGATTCATTAATCACCTAGAAAAGGTTCCTCTTACATTATCTTACATTGCGGTTATGGTACCCTCAGCAGATCCCTCACTCATCCCCTCCAGCCTTCACAACATCTTCCCACGAGAGATATTTATTCGCGGGCGTAACCGCCCCCAGCACATGCTCCTCCATACTCACCAAGATCGGAACACCGCCCTCCAGCCGGGAAGCAGAAAAGCGCACGTAGCCCTGCGGGACATCCGCAACCGGCCTCGGCCCGTCCCAGCCCATGTCCTTCATCTCCTGCGGCGAGATACTGACGACTTTGGTCAGCCACTGGCCCTTGAACACGAGGAGCCGCGGCTTGCCGGGCTCGGGGAAGGCGGCGCTGAAGAAGAGGGCTAGGGGTAGGTTGGTGGGTTGGAGGTGTTTGTGCACGGCGGCGCAGGCGCGGGTGAGGGAGTCGAGGTCGATAGCCGGCTGGGAGGCCGAGGCCGAGGCCTCCGCGCCCTGGAAGGCTAGCGGGCCCTGGTCTGCCTCGATGAGGGAGGCGGACTGGAAGGTGAGGTCGCTGGTGACTTGGGAGACGTGCCAGATTTTGTATGTGTCCTTCAGCAGGGGGCCGGCGCGCGAGTGCCGGAGGATGTGGGGGATCTTGAGGTTCTTTGTGGGGGACTTGGTTGCCCCCCCTGTCTTTAGGTCGTCGCAGATGCATGTCGCCACGTCCAGTGCGACCTTGCCGACGAAACACTGCACCACGACGGCCAAGTCGGTGGACCGTTTCGTCCTGTCGTCTTCAGTGAGGGACTGGCGGATGAAAGACCGCACATGCTTGAAGACTTCCTCGAGACGGGGCTGGGAACCGGAGTACAGCATGGAACACTGCGCCCAGGCCTGTGTGTATATGGACTCGACGATCCCGACGAGGCGTTCCTCGGTGCCCGAGACGAGGCGAGGGTCCTGGGGCTCTTGGCCGTTGCCGATATGAGTGTCAAATTGGCTCAGGACTCTCATGATGGCTCGTTCGGCCCACCAGAAGAATTCGTCGTTCTTCATCGAGCAGAGGCTGTCGAACCTTTTCTGGATGTCTCTCTGGAAGTCAGCGGCCGCTTGAGCTCCCGCCGTGCCGGGTAGGTTCGACCGCTTGTGTTGGTCGAGGAACCTGGCCAGGAAGCCCTCCCGGACTTCGACGTCGCTCAGCAGTGCGATGAACGAGTCTGCATATTCGAGCGGCTTTCCCGCCGTGATCTGGCTGTAATAGCGCAGCATCACCTGCTTGCGCCGCGTGCCCTCGTCCCGGTTGCGGACGGCACGCTCGAGAACCGCCTTGTAGGGATGTTGCAGCCTCTTGAGGGAGACTAGATGGCACAAGAGCTTGAAATTGTCCCCTGAGTCGATTCTCAGCCAACGGATATCGCGGGAAATTTCTGGGTCTGTCGGTTGCAGTACTCTGTCCAGAAAGCTCTTCAGCTGCGGAAGGGAGTGCAGCGAGTGCTCGGCTACTTGGGTGAGAGGACCGCGTCGCCGTCTGTCTTCCCCGTCGGAATCCTCGCCATTGCCGTCATCGCCGCCGCCGGGATTCTGGTCGCCCCGCTGAGGTTGGTTCTGGTCATTTATGTTACTGTTCTGGGACTGAGACTGGGTGCTGGGATCCGGCCGCGGAGCAGGGTTTCTGGTTCGGTTGGGTTTTCCTCCGTGGCCAGCGTAGTCGAGAATCCTTAGCTCGTTGCTAGTATCGGGAAGGCGAATGAAGTGTGCATAATCATGGTGCATGTGCCCCGGCCTCTGGACGGAGAGCTGGTTGAGTCTGTTGGCTAAGTCCGCCAGCTCATCCTGCACTAAGACGCGAGTAGGGTTAATCTCCATGGTCGAAAACCTGATGCTGTGAGTTAGTCGCTCTGGTGTTGTGGTGCGAATTACAAAGGGATGCAGGGATACAGGGGAGGGGAGAGGACGGGTATGGAAAATGCGAGCCTTGCCTCCCTATATGTCGAGCCTCGTCCCAATGGATCTAAAATACCTAGTGGCGGAGGCGGCGCGTTAAAGCTGAGATATTTCAGCTAGCTAGGTAATAACTAGTCCAATGGCGTCGAGCGCAGCCCCGTATCTGACCCTGTCAAGGATCGCCAAGCTCGCAGCAGCGCTTAATGTGCAAGTAAACGGTTGCCTGCCCCCCCATAGCCTGGTGCCTGGGCACCCTCCAAAGCCCTCTACCTGGTATTCTTGTTCAATTACGTTCTCAGCGCTGCTGTTACGCTCTGCACCGGTAACGATGGATAGCCCGGTCGACTTTTCTGCACTGGCTGAGACGGATGATGAGCCAGATTGGTTAGACGTAGCCGCTAATGCACCGGCAGGGAATCAAGGGAACCAAGGGAACCAAGGGAACCAAGGGAATCAAGGGAATCAAGGGAATCAAGACCCAGGCTCTAGCAACGCTGTCCCCTCGATGCTCCCGCCGACGACGACTGCAGCGCCGGCTGCAACAAAGTCAACACCCATTCCGGCACCAACGGCAGCTGATTTGATTCAAGAAAAACCGTGGAAGTATGTGGGTTACCAGGCTTACTCTGACCTACTCGCTTCCGAACCCGACTTTTTTGTCGCCCGTCGGTTCCGGAGCCTCAACGTACGGGTGGCCCTGCGCATGCAAGATGAAATCTCGAGGCTAGAAGAGAAGCTCGCCCAGATCGAGGAGGAGAGTCGCCGGCCGGACAAGGAGGTAGATAATGGTACGTTTAGGAAAGATGTCGTCTCCGAGAGGGTTGAGCTCCTGGACAAGATCTCGACGTCCCTGTATCGATACAGTAAGTGCAGCAGCCCCGGTTGATTTAGGCGAAGGTAGTGCTGTACCAGGGTCACTCACCTCAGCCCTCGGCGTGCCTAGACAAATTCATCATTCAACAGACCACCTTGTTGAAGTATCCCGCGGCGCCTTCCTGGGACATCGCCAGCCTCAAGAACTGGCATTTGAGCCATGCCAACGAGGCGATTCATCGGGAGGAAAAGACCTATCTGGAGTACCCGGATGACCTCATCCCCGTCGGCCCGCGAGACAAGACGCCGCTTCGCCGGGGGATCGACAAGTTTCTGTTCTTGCGCACGCTGCCCTTCTGGCGGGATGACCGGAGCAAGACGCTGTCGCCAGGCGGCCGGCGCAGGGTCGGGGATGTGGAAGACGGCACTGGCAGTGGTAGCAAAGACGCCGACCTGCCGCCGGACGCCCTGCACCCAACCATGAGTTTCTACAACGACAAGGTCATGGACCATTTCGTGTCCATAGTAACCATTTCCATCGGCCTTGTGATGCTGGTGGTGCCCATCTGGGTGCTCCAGGCCCTGGGAAACGCCTCTCACAAGCTGGGCGTCATCACGGCCTTTGTCCTCACCTGTCTGCTATTGACGAGCTTCGCCATGACGTCCCGGCCTCTGGACGCACTGGGGGCGACGGCCGCGTGAGTCTTCTTCGGTTCCTCTGCTGCATTCTGCCGTTAGTGATAGCTGTTAACTAACTGTGTCTCAAACACCGCCCAGGTACGCCGCGGTTCTGATGGTGTTCCTGCAAGTGGGAGCCAATTAACTGGCCGCACTACTGTGGTTGGAGTTACTGGACGAGTTAGTGGCGGCTGGGCTCCTCGCCATTTGCTCCTTTAGAGGGGGAAAGGTGGGCGGTGATGGTGCAATCCGCTGGCGATGCTGCCCATGAGATTAATAAGTGTGGTGTTGTCATGCACGATTGCCATCCACGCAATGTCATGGTCGACGGACACTCTCAGATACCCTTCCTCGTCGACTTTTTGCGTATTCCGTGTTTAGAAAGGCGTTTGAGGATAGGGTGGAGTTGATTGGGAGGAGGAGGAGCCTTGGGATCCGGATGTCGCGTATTGGGGGACTGTGGTACCGACTGGGAATTAGATGCAGTTGATTCTGCTGCGGGAGAGTGACATGGACCTGGACCTCGAGTTCCGGGATTGTGAGAAGATCCTCCAAGACACGATACGCGAGAAAGCAGCTAGCAAGCGGTGACGAAGGTTGTCGCTGAATGTGTTGTAAGAAGAAAGGGGTGAGTTTCAGCAGGCTTTGTAATTAGCCCTTCGCGAAAAAAGAGGCTCTGGCCATTAAGACTCGTGAATCATTCCTCTGGTATCCGTGACCAGCAAGTGCCGTAGAATCGAGAACCGCTTTATGTGACCGCCGAATTTGGCAGGGCAGTGCCGCCATTTTGGGAGGCCTCGACAGAGCCATACCTGATGACATCGGAAAGACGCCATTCCCGGAGGGTGCGACAGCGTGTTCTGCATCATTCCACGACTTGTCAACGAGTAGCAAAAAAGATGAACCAAAATCGTTCAATCAACTCAAACAAATCATTTTGAGCCAAGCATAAATCGAGAGAGCAACAAAAGCCAATCACAGTTAGAGGGAGGGACCTTTTGAAGCTAGCACCTGATTGGTGCTCCCCCAAAAACCAACCCCACCAGGCTGCGAGGCTGCCGCTGAAGCTTTGAGTCCCTTGTTCTCGATGGTAGCCTTGCCAACGCTTCTGTAACGCTTTTGCCACCTCGATAAACACATTACGACACTCGCCTGCTGCAGCCCAACACGGGACATTCGGACGGGCTAATGCCATGGCATAACGATTTCCTGATTTTAGGAACCCGATAATATAAACCACGAAGTTAGATTGAACCCGGCGCATCGAATTACCCCAGGCCGCCGACGAGAATGGCCGACTCTGACGGTGAATACGTTGGCGACCTCTCGGATGACGAACTCGGCGATCCTCGCGTGGCCTCTGCTGCGGACGGCAGCTCCTATGGTACTCGATCCAAGGCAGGCCGCGGTAATGGAAAGGGAGGCGATGGCCGTAAGGGGGGCCGTTCCAAGGCGGCTTGGGAAGACATCAAGCGGTCGTGGGAGCATGTGGTCGAGACCGAGGATGGGAGCATCACAGTCGGGGCGCTCCTCGAAGCCGAGAAGCGGCGCCGGCTCATGCGCGACACGACTCCGTTTCAGCGTGGCATCATCCGACATGTGATGCTTGTGCTCGATATGAGCTTCGCCATGGCCGAAAAGGACCTGCTACCGAACCGGTACCTGTTGACGCTCAATTATGCCGTCGACTTTGTGCGGGAGTATTTTGAGCAAAATCCTATTAGCCAACTGGGCATTGTGGGCATGCGTGATGGTATCGCTGTCAGGATCAGCGACATGGGCGGGAACCCTGCGGAGCACATCGAGAAGCTGCGGGTATGGGCTGAGCAACAGGAACCGCAGGGCAATCCAAGTCTGCAAAACGCCCTGGAGATGTGCCGAGGCGCATTATTGTTTGTAAAACCTACTCAACCGAGATTTCATTCTCAATCTAACAAACTCCCACTAGCCATACCCCCTCTCACGGCACGCGCGAAATCCTCATAATATACGGTGCGCTGCTGTCCAGCGACCCCGGCGATATCCATGACACCATCACCAATCTCCTCGCCGACCGCATCCGCGTATCCATCGTAGGCCTCGCCGCGCAGGTAGCTATTTGCGAACAACTCTGCAGCCGCACCAATGGCGGCGACCCCTCCAACTACGCCGTCGCCTTACACGAGCAACACTTCCGCGAGCTCTTCCTCGCCGCCACTACACCGCCAGTCACCCACCCCTCCTCCTCCACCACCACCACCGACAAAAACGACCCCCACCAACAAAAACAACCACCCCCAACAACCCACCCCCAACAACCAAGCCTCCCTCCTGATGATGGGCTTCCCCTCGCGGGCGCTCGCCTCCAAAGACCACGTCAGCCTCTGCGCCTGCCACAACCGGCCGACGCGCGAGGGGTACGCGTGCACGCGCTGCCGCACCAAGGTGTGCCGCCTGCCGGCCGAGTGCCCCGTGTGCGCCCTGACCCTCGTGCTCAGCACCCACCTGGCCCGCTCCTACCACCACCTGTTCCCCCTGCGCGGCTGGGCCGCCGTCTCGTGGGCCGACGCCCGCGCCCGCGGGTCCAGCGCCTGCTTTGCGTGCCTGGCCGCGTTTCCCGCCGTGCCGCCGTCGGGGCAGATCCAGACCCAGACGCAGGTGCAGGCGAATGGGAATGGGAATGGGAATGGCAGGGATACGGATAGGGATAAGGGGAGAGATGCGGCTGAGGTGAAAGCCGCCGCCGGGGTTAGCGAGAGCGGCCGGTACGCGTGCACCGTGTGCAACAACCACTTCTGCATCGACTGTGACGTCTTTGCCCACGAGGTCATACATAACTGCCCGGGGTGTCAGAGCGACACCCGCGGAACGGAGGGGCTACAAGCGGCGGATGGTAGTAGTGGCGGGGAAGTGGTGAATGGAAATGGCCAGGCTTTAGGGAATGGCGCGAGTGAGGCTATGGTTCTAGATCCGTAGATGACAAGGATGGTAGGCGCAGTGGTATGTTTGATGTGGGTGGTCAAGAAATCCTGACTTTACCGGCCTTTTTTCGGATCGAATCGGAGTATTTAGACTTTCTGGAGGGCGTGGGATGGCAATCATGGGAACATAGCCGGTGTCTTCTCACCGAAGGGGACAGGAAAACACCAGAATATTTCCCCAAGTGGGAGAGAGAAGGGCAGCGCCAATTGAATGGATGCTAGCTATAAGAACAAAAACGGTATCATAACTCGTCGCTTAAACAAAGATACTCATAAAAAAAATCTACAAGTTCCCCCGCTCGGCCTGCTCGCGCTCAATGGCCTCGAACAAACTCTTGAAGTTGCCCGCGCCGAAACCGTCAAACTCATTACGTTGGATGATCTCGATGAACACGGTCGGACGGTCCATCAGCGGCTTGGTGAACAGCTGCAGCAGGTAGCCCTGCTCGTCGTAGTCGATCAAGATATTCAGATGCTCGACGGTATCCAGGTCCTCCTTGAGCTCCCAGTTGCGCTTCTCCGTCTTAAGGCGGGCGCGGATGGTGTCGTAGTAGCTCTTGGGGACGTCGATGAACTGGACGCCGCGGGCGCGCAGGGCAGCGACGGCGGCGAGGATGTCCGAGGTGAGTAGCGCGATGTGCTGGACCCCGGGGCCGCTGTTGAAGATGACGTACTCCTCGATCTGCGACTTCTTCTTGCCCGGCGCGGGCTCGTTGATGGGCATCTTGACCACGTTGTTGGGGCTGGCCATGACGATGCTGCTGAGCGCCGAGAACTCGGTGCAGATCTGGTTGTCGTCCACCGACCAGAACCGGTGGAACGAGAGGCACTGCTCGTAGAAGGCGCAGGCCGACACCATCTCGTTCCAGTCCTGGTTGCCGACGCAGTGGTCGATGCGCGCGAGGGGCACGTCCGGGAGTGCCGCTAGCGCGGGGGGAACCGTCGACGTGGGTACGGTGCGGAAACCCGGGAGGAAGGCGCCGTGGAAGTTTTGGCGCGCGATCAGCGTGTGTGTGGTGTCGCCGTAAGTGCGGATCACGGCGGTGCGTACGTGGCCGTGCTCCTTGTTGCCCGTGGTTGTGGGCGGCTGGACGGCGTCGGCGCCTTCGGCCACGGCCTTGTGGTAGACACCGTCGACGCTGTCCACCTCGAAGGCGACGTCCTTGACGGCGTCGCCGTGCCGTTCCATATGCTCATACATCTCCTCGAGGAGACGCTTGTCCTCGGGCGATATGTCTTCATCCTCGGGCAGGTACTTGGCCGAGCGGATCGGCGATGTGAAGACGAAGCGCACATCGTTGTTGGCAACAACGTATGAGGCGAAATACCGGCTGCCTGTCTCGAGACCGCGGTAGGCGACAGTCTTGAATCCGAAGTAGGTCGTATAAAAGCCGGCGGCTTGCTTAGCGTTGCCCACCCACCAGGTGATGTGGTCGTAGCCGTTGAAGTTGGGGGCGGGGCTCTGGACTTCGTAGGTCGAGGCCCCAGGGGAAGATTCGTTGTCCGAGATGGCAGACGGTGACATGCTCACTCAGCAGGTTTATGGGGTGTAACGGATGGGGAAGACGGTGGTTGGAAGAAACACTAGGTAAACGGTCAACCGATGTTGATTAATAAATTGGTAAGTTGTTGGGATTGCACGAGGTGTGTGTTGAGAATCACGATTCAGGGCCGGGTTGGTATCTTATGTATGTAGGTAGAATGACGGGAGGTGGTAGGGAACGGTGACTTATATGGGACTGAGCGTCCAAGTGAAGTGCTCGGCTTAACAGCCACTGCCCCTGTTCCAGGTAGGTACACAGTAATCGGACGCTGACCAAACCAACATGCTGTTCACACCATGCGCCATGAAATCCACCTTGTACCGTGTAGGCATTGCACAGGCCAAAGCATGCGCCTCTTTCGAGCGAGTCTCAACCAGTCTCAGCCAGTTTCCATCCAAGAGAGGGGCCTGGGGACGTCTCGGGTCTTGCGGCATGTCTCAATACCCAGTCGCTGACCGGCTTTTGCCCACTGTGCATCGGCTTTCAACAATTGGGTAGTGGCTTCTTTCAGATGACCGGAAACCCCCAGACCTTCCGCATTTGCGTGGACAATGACGATACATGCACAGTAAAGCCGAGTTGAGGAAGCGGTGATGTTTGGTTGCCGTTGGTTGGTGGAGAAGCGGAATGGCACCGTGGTCGGGTGGATCAACGGCCAAAGCCGCACAATGCCGTCGATTACCGAGAGCCGCACCCACGCCGCGCCCCGTGCGGACAAGAGAGTTTGAGTACCCGGGCGGCGACGGTCAGCAACGGCGAAAGAGTCAATCGCTCCGTCATATTGAGCGCGGATTGAGGCACGAGACCGCTTTCCCGGGTTTAGCTGCCGTGCGCCGTTAGTGAAATAGGCAGGCTTCGATTAGCAAATGTTGCTACCGTACCCCGTTCTTGCAACTCCGTACTTGCAACTCCATACTGCCACCATCGCCAACACCACTGCTTTTGTGAAAGACGGTAATTGTTGCCCTTTTTTAACTTTCGAGCCAGTTCGTTTCTTCACGGCCACAGCCTTCCATCCGTCTGTTAATCGACACAATACAAAAGTAACACATCGTCGAAGCACGGAACCCACATTCGGCAACCCATCACGATGGCGCACGTTGAGCTGAGCCGGCGAGACATCAATGTTCTCGAGAAGATCAAAGACCCAGAATTCGACCCGTCGCTCTTGGTCCAGGTCGATCCCACCCTTCCGAAAGACCCCCACATTTCGGACCCCGATGATTACCAAAAGGTAGCCCAGCAAGAACGCGATATCATCATGTCCATCCAGAGGTTGGAGATGCAGCAGGCGCAGAAGCGGTCCAGTGGGGCACCAGATGCCGACATTGCGGCGGGGTATCGCGACTGCGTCTCCAAGCTCGGCCAGCTTATCCAGGATCATCCGCGGTATGCTAGCGCCCGCAACAACAGAGCACAGGCCTTGAGGCGGTTGTACGGAGATTCGGTGCTTGTTGCGGGTGCGCCGGCAAATTCGCCGGCGCTGCTTCAGGGTGTTGACGACACTGAGCGGCTAGAGGCGGGCAAGACGATGTTGTGCGACCTCGACCATGCCATCTCCCTTCTCACGCCAAAAGTCGCATATTCCAGACTATCCCCCCAGGCTGCGAGGGCATTATCCAACGCCCATACCCAGCGCGCCGCCGTCTATCTCATGACCTCCAAACTTCTCGATTCCATGTCGGCTTCGGTAGACGCCGAGAGGCCAGAGGCAGGCTGGTCGAAGCTGGATTTCGAGGAGCTCGCGTCGCGGGATTTCGCCATGGGCGGCAGATACGGCAATGAGATTGCGAAGGGGTTGGCTGTAAGCACGAACCCGACGGCGAAGCTTTGCGGGCAGATGGTGCGGGAGGCGATGAAGAAGGAGTACGGGCCGGGTTTGGCATGATGCTTGGTTGTATCGGTAGAGATGAACAGGGTGAGGTATGCATGTTCGAGATATTGGGGCGGCGTTCGGTTTGTCATGGGGTTCTCTCATTGGAACGGTTTGCCGGGTTTGGGTTGGAAGCGTGCGGAATAGACATATCACGAGCTCTTGAAGAAACCGAGGCGACTGTATGGACCTTTCTTAGCGGAACACTTCAAGGCGTGATTGCGGAAATTTAACCTACCGACGGGCCGTCTCAATAGTCTCCCGGGTCGTTTTGCCCTTGTCCTTCTCCTCACGGTTGATCCTCAGCGCAGCAGCCGAGACGCCGATGAACACGGCGAAAATCGGGTCCGCGATGCGAGAAATGATGTAGACTGGGGGCGCCATTGTCGGAGGTCAACGCGCCTACTAGAAAACTAAAGTAAAATTGAGAACGGTAGAAACAGTACTAGATAATTACCATACGCAGTTTAGAAAGTTTTGCGATTGAACCCAACCATGTCGTGATTCGAGATGCGCTTGGAGTCGAGCGTTGAGGAAGCCGAGTGGAGCTCTCTGTGACTGGGGTTGCTTGGCCCATGCACGTAGCGATTAAGCGCACGGTCCAAATATTAGTCATCAGAGTCAGCCAATCCGCATCGTTTGCCCACTCGAATTTTGGCAGCCCACAAACTGGAAATTATTTCGGGGAACGACCTCCAAGAACGGTTCAGCCCTCACTCTCTGTGCCCGCAGTCGACTTCAGGAAAGGCCCGAGGAAACAACAGGTATGTCGCGATCCCAGCCCGCGCCCGACTGCGAAAAAGGGGATTTGCTTTGGTCCTTCTGGCTTGCTGACTCCGCCATTACAACAGAACCGACAAAATGAAGTTCCTTAAGACGTCGAGGGTCTGCCTCGTTACCCGGGGTCGCTATGCCGGCAAGAAGGTACGCCATCCTCAACGAACCTGCGTTTTTTTAGTTGGCAACACCGAGTATCTGGGATGAAAGTGGCATGGAAAGCGGGACGCACTGGGACGACAGGAACAATGTTGAAAGAGGTGGACAATGGGAAGGTCTCGCGGGGAGCACGGGTGGAAGAAGTTACGCGCAGGACTTAGAAACCCAGAACGTAATGCTGACCCTTCCTGCTTTTTTAGGTTGTGATCATCCAGCCCGTCGACAGCGGTAACAAGTCGCACCCCTACGGCCACGCCCTGGTTGCGGGCATCGAGCGGTACCCGAGCAAGATCACGCGCCGCATGTCCAAGACGAGGCAAGAGAAGCGCTCCAAGGTCAAGCCCTTCATCAAGGTCATCAACTACAACCACCTGATGCCCACCCGCTACACCCTCGAGCTTGAGGGTCTCAAGGCCGTCCTTAACGCCGAGACCTTCAAGGAGGTCAGCCAGCGCGAGGAGGCGAAGAAGACGGTCAAGAAGGTGCTCGAGGAGCGCTACACGAGCGGCAAGAACCGGTGGTTTTTCACTCCTCTGCGTATGTCTGACCTACCACGGCACCCCATCCATTGAGCAAGAGAGACGTTGTACTGACGATGATGCAGGCTTTTGATCGGTTTTTCCTCACAATTGGCTGGGCGGGGCGAATGGGTTATTCGGGCTGTACACAGCATTCATCACGGAATAAAATCTGAGGCTCACTAGCTGAATTTTACGGCATTTTGACGATACACTCGTCTGGCGTTCACGTCGTTCCTCCTAGATATCTAGCCTGCGTGCCGTCGGTTCGGTATGGAAGCCGGGTTTGGGGCGAGGCAGGCAGGGGGACGGAGCGGGCGGGAGCGTGGCACTCAGTAACCGATGATGTCCTGGCCTAATGGGAAATCCAAGAGTAGGACGAGCAACGCAGTCTTTGGCAACGTGTTCAACTGCTCCGTTTGTGATAGCTACCTACCTCTGGGGAATGTGACTTACCTTGCGTGTTGTATTCGTAACACATGACCACCCCCCATCTCACAATCAGCAGCTTGTCCTTGGTTAGCCCTTACAAAATTGACCATACTGCCCTGCCCCCCTTCCCAACTTCTCAACAAGTCAGCTATCTCGATGTACAAACGAGCAAGATAAATAAAACTCGCAACGAGTTCTGATTCATCTGATCCATAAGACACAAACACGGAGGAGTTTATGGATGATGTTATATCTACAATTCTATTTTCCTCTAAGGCTCGCCTAGAAAACCACATAGAAAAGCAAACTCTCCCCAAAATTCCATGCTCGCAAAGCAGACTCCGTGTTCGTGATGCCGCCGCCTCCACGCCTGCTCACTCCTCCCGTCCTCGTTTCTATAATGCCGACAGCCCGTTCGTTCCCTTTCTCGGCTAGCCGTTTTTGAACAAAAAGCGCGACAACCAAAAGCGGGAAAAATGAAAGATAACCAGACCGAAGATGGTCGTGGTGAAAGAAAACGCAAATAGTAGTGCATTATGTACTCGCCGAGTATCCCACCGCCGGCGCCGCCATATTTCGTGTCATCAGTTAGAAGTTCCCGTCCTCCTACCCATCCATGCACCCATACTCCACTTCCTGATCCCGAGGGCTCGGGGCGAAAGAGAACTTTCGTCCTTTCCCATTTGTGCATTAAATCGTGGTACGGTGGAAAAAGGGGGGATTAAATGAATATGCCAAAGCGGAATTCCCCAGAGCCAGGCCTTGTCTCCCTTCTTCCTTCGCCCCTCACTGCCTCGCACACACACGGCTTATAGCTTCGACAGGCCCATCTTGTTCTTAGCCTCATCTAGGTAGCCTGTGGGGTCGTACGACGGGGCAAGCCCGCCGAGGACGACGAAGACGGTCATGAGAACGAGAGAAATGATGGCGATGCGGCGAAGCACGGGGCGACGGTTGCCGAAATCGGCCCACTGCCGCCCGGCCTCACCCGCGTAGCCCCTTGATCGCCTCGTAGCAGAGCTTTGTAGTAGACCCATGCCGCCGAGCGCGATGCTGTAGCCGAAAGAACTGGAGGCCGGTAAACCTGGGTGCCCCCAGATCATCATCGAGGCGAGAACGAGGAGGATGTCCTTGAGCACACCGCAGAGGGTGAGGACGAGGGACGAAGGTCTTGCCAATCTGTCGCAAAGACGTTAGAAAAAGCCCTCACTGGACTACTGGGAAAATAGAATGCTTACCAAGAACACGACGGAGACGTTCAGCAGGAAAGCGCACATGCCGTTCAGGAAGAAGGTGAAGAGCCCGACATTGTAGATCTCGGCCATGCTAACCTTGGGCATCTCCCAGAACAGGGCAACCACGAAGTTCATGGCAGCGCAGACCGGGGCAAAGTAGTAGAGCGAGACCAGGGGATCCATCTTAAACTCAGCGGAGCTGAGGAGTCGCTGAACCATGGTGAGACGGAGCGCCTCAAAGATGATACCAGCAATCTGGTAGATGAAGCCGATCCACACGAACTTGACCTCTCCGATCGAGGCGATGACGACACCAACGACGATGGTAGAGACGTTCAGGAAGACCTTGAGGTTCGGCTGCGAGACGCCGAGCGCCCAGCTAGACATAAGGACGGCAACGGGGGTGGTGGCCTGTCTTGAATTAGTCCCAAGTCCTTTTGCCCTAGTGCGGTAGAAGCACTCACCTTGAGCATTTGGATGAAGGCAACACTGAGGTAGAGATAGGTGAGGTTGCCGCAGATCAAGCTCAAGCTGAAGAAGAAGCCGATCGGGACGATGGCGCGGAGGTAGACGCGGCCCGTCATCTTGACCGTCTTCCGGCCATCGAGCAGCGTCGTGTACCGCGCGAGAAGCTGTGTCATGATGGTCGCAAAGGCCAAATGGAACGTAGTCAGGAGGACCGGGTAGGCTGCCAAGTCTCAGCATTTTACTTTTTTCGGTTTCCCGTCTTCCCATCTTGTCATGTTCTTACCAAAGCCGAGCGTTGAGAGAATCCATTTGTTGAAGAGGATGACGGATGAACTGAGGGAAATCCAGACGCTGCAAATAAAGCATCAGCTATTTGTTGGATCGCGAGGCATTGCCCGTCGAGGATATCGGGCGGTTGTGGTACTCACGTAACGTAGAGCGCGGGATGGAGGGATGCCTTGGGGGGTTGCGATTTCTCAACCTCGGGGTTGACGGTGGGAAGAACTGGCTCGCTCTGCTCCCGGGGCTGGTCGCCCGAAGCGCGCGTCTTGTCTTCGACTCCCATTTCGAAAGCTGGGGGCGGTGACGTTCCGAGTGTTCGTGAACGGCCGTCTGTTTGATGAATTCAATTACAATTGCTGAAGCCAGCAGCGGTGTCGAACGGTTTAAGGTGTACGAGGCAGGTCTCGGAAAAAGAATAAGCAGAACCCGAACCGAGGAGTGTGTTGGGGGCGCACGCGGCGACGTGGGACGAGATAAAACGAATGGATGGTCAAGCCAGCTGCGACAGACCGGGAGGTAGGTATTTGTCGAAGAAATTCGGCGATGGCGATGGGAGATGAAGATGGAGCGTGGGGACGTCCACCATTAATTGGGTCGTTGACTTGCGGGCTGTGTCGCGGGCTGCTTCTGGAACGGCGGCCTGCTTGGACTTGACTTTTTTCAGGGGCGCGTTTGTTGCAGGGAACGCTCTGGGAACGGAAGCCAGGCCGGCCTTGGTTCAGGAGTGGGGCGCGGGCGGCGATGTTGCGTGCTCTCCCCACCACCAATCAAATATGGATCTGGGAGATTGGTGCTGGGGACGGCCCAGATTGGCGGCAGCTTTCCACAAAGCCCGGACCACAACCTTCAGCAACGGTGCCAGCCACGCCAGTGCTTTCGACGAGCAGGGACCCAGGAGCCAAGGCGACTCGCCAAAATTTCGTCAACAGCCGTCAATTGGCACAATGCAGAGATAAACCCGGGTCTTCATCACACCGAAGAGGGTATCGATGCGCTCTGTGATTTACACTGCAACCGAAGACGAAGTTCCACGATTTACCAAAACAGGCAACTCGCCTTTTAAACTAAGACATTTCTCATATTGGCTATCGTGGGGATCAGTTCGCTTGACAAGGGCGGGCAAGGGCGGGCATGATAACATAGGTTTGAAAGATCAGCAAGCCCGGTGCTACGGTGTCGACCACCGATAGATCCCAGGTCTATCGCGGTGGACAAGGTGACAAGTGGAATGCGAACCGATATCTGCAAACAAGATTGGGGTAAGATTGCGCTGGGGGTCTGTTGTGCATCAAATCAGCAGCCTCCCGCCGCCCACATGTTGTGGCTGTGGAACCTCCAACGCAGCCTTCGCTGGTTCAGTTTGCACACAACGACGCGCTCGTGCGGCCCCTTGCAAACCCTCGTATGTCCCGAGAGGTTGAAACTGAGAAAGCGTCTCCCTGTTTGTACATCTGGATGTACCTAGCTCAGACGGGACAGTCCCTTGAACGCTATCAGCGGGACACTTCGGCTAGGTACAGTCGAGGTGTTAACAACGCTATTCTTCAGTCTGTTTGTGATCTACACCGCATCCCCGCCTTCGACAACACATTCCGGACCGGCGGGAGCAGACGGGAAAAGAATGACCGGGCGCATCTTGATTCGTGCAAGATGGGAGTTCTGGCGGAAGCGCATGGCGATCGCTCATATCCGTTGTAACAGAGCCAATGATGAGATCCCCATGCCGGCTGAGAACCAGCGAGGACACAGCGATCGCAAACCCAAGAGTTTTTCCGCCGCTTGGTGAACTCGACATTGCCAGTTAGGTAGTTTATGAAGCACACCAAACTGATAGATATCCATGTCTAGAAACTGATTGAGTTCTTCCGTCAGTTGTGGATTTTCCCAAGCCAGGTCTTCCATGGGTGCCTCTGCTCTCTCGTCTTGCAGAGTGTGACTGTAACCGACACAGCCACAAAAACCAGCGCGGGCCTTTGAGAGCCCGGGTACCTGAGTCGTTGTGACAGCATCCGCCCGAGCCGCCTTGTTTATTCATCCATTCGCACTTGACCCTCGATGACGCCCCGAGGTATCATTAGGATGGAGGAAAAGAGGATGGAAAATACGGAATACCATACCTAAGTCGACCTTTAGACTCGGATATGGGTGTCTTATTTCAAGTTGAAAGACAGTCTTACCCGCAAACAACAAAAGAGAAGCGAATTGCAAGTCTGGGCGTATGTTCTGTGGACCGGGCCACATCCATTGATCCTACGAGGAGACCCTGGGATGGGCCGAAACGAGAGGGAGCACAAAAAGATGTTACTCTAACGTCATCTTCCTCCTCGGCATTCCCAACCTTCGCATGGTTATTCCACATGTCGTATATAGATAGCCACTCAACGATTGACTGGTTACGCCCGTTGGTGTAACCTGTGCTTGCATGTCGAGGGTTGTGGAACATGTCTGAATCAGTGGGGTAACTCCAAGGTACTCGGGCTGTACTTCGTACGTCACTTCGTCCCCAGGAAATTTCCATTCCAAAGCAATGCTAGTTATCGCGCTGGACGAAAAACCTCGGTCGATCATGCTCCAGCAAGTACCCTTTTATTTCCACCTCTTCCGGGCTCCTTGAGGCTGATCGCTCGAGCCGTTGGCGGCTATGTTCTAGTGATCGCCCAAAGGGCTCGGTGTGCCGCCCTGGCGATCGAGGTGGTGAAACAAGACGCAGTTAAGTAATGTGGAGTTGATTCGCGGCTCGCACCAACTCGAAACAAGGCTCACTTGCCACGTCCCCTGCAACCCCGGTCTCAGTGGTGCGGCACGTCAATCGCTGTCATATCGAGACCGGACTCTTTCGCTGAACTCGCTCTGTTGGTGGTGGGACATGCCCCTTTCCTTGTCACCGGCATTGCAGACATTAAGCTATTGCCCGTTTGAGAATCGGATGCCCCGGTTCGCGGCCGAGAGAGCAAGCTGCTCGAACTCTTTTCGGATTGCAACTGTGACCGGTAATTAAACTAACTGTTGTGGTGGCTGTACACTCACGACCTAACTTGGGCGTTGAACACAGAACCGCGGAAGATGGGGGAGTGACTTGTGCTGGTCGGGTGTGTGTTGCACTCCTCTTACATGCAAGCTAAACTGGGGTTGGTGTCGGGTGCCTACCATGCATGTTTGCAAACAGAAGGATGGTCTCCAGATTTTTGTTTTGTTCAACAATGAGACGCGTGCTCGAGGTGAGGCAGTCGGGCTCATGGTGGGATGGCATCGCAGAATTTCCTCGAAATCTTTGAGACGGCGGGAGACATGGGGGTCGAGCAGCCCTGCCCTGGTTTCCAGTCCCGCTTCGCGGCATCGTGCAATTGGGCCCCACAAAACCAACCGTTTCGAGATTGGATCAATCTTAGCCCCTCCATCAACCCCTCCTTCCGCCCCTTTTTTTTCTGGGGCCTGATAGCGGTCTGGCCATCCCAGCAACGAGCCCAAAGTCAACAGCCAGGGTCCAAAGAGCTCGCTGCCCGCCTTCATAACCACCACCGCTAGAAAGAACGCCCGTGTTTTTGTCCTGCGCTTCCGTCCCGCTTTCAACACCACAGCTCTTTCCAGCGTTGTACGCCTGCTTACTAGAATTTTTTTCCCTGCAGACAGCACTCGTTGCTCCCCCATTGCGACTCGTGCGAAAGTGCCCTGCCCCGCACTTGCTCGAGATCTTCACTTCTCTCCCAAAATGGCGGATATGTATGTTCCCACAAAACGATGGTGTCATGAAATGGAGGTGTGGCTCCGAGTCGAGGTTGCTGACGGGTATTATACAGTCAGGTCGATGTTCTCGTCATCGGTGCCGGGCCGACTGGCTTGGGCGCTGCTAAGCGTCTTGACCACATCGTGAGCTCACCGCTCTCTGCCCTGGGGCTACCGGCGGGCGAGGTTTTGCTAACTTGGGTTGTAGAATGGGCCGTCTTGGATGATCATTGACGCCAACGAGAAGGCTGGCGGTCTTGCGTCCACTGATATTACCCCTGAGGGATTCGTAAGTCACGCCTTGTAACGCATCGCAAATTCCTCCTCTGACAGCCACCCTCGCAGCTTTACGATGTCGGCGGTCACGTCATCTTCTCCCACTACAAGTATTTTGACGACTGCATCAACGAGGCCCTGCCCAAGGATGACGACTGGTACACCCATCAGCGCATCTCGTACGTGCGGTACAAGAACCTCTGGGTTCCCTACCCCTTCCAGAACAACATCTCGATGCTGCCCAAGGAGGACCAGGTCAAGTGCATTGACGGGCTCATCGACGCTGCCATGGACGCCCGCGTCTCTACCACCAAGCCCAAGAACTTCGACGAGTGGATTCTTCGGATATGCGGTGAGGGTGTCGCCGATGTCTTCATGCGGCCGTACAACTACAAGGTTTGGGCCGTCCCCACAACCAAGGTACGCATGTCCGTCCGATTCTCGACATATCGTGTGCTCACCTCATATCTCAGATGCAATGCGAGTGGCTGGGCGAGCGTGTTGCGGCTCCCAACCTCAAGATGGTCACGCAGAACGTGATCCTCAACAAAGTTGCCGGCAACTGGGGTCCCAACGCCACCTTCCGCTTCCCCGCAAGGGACGGAACTGGTGGTATCTGGATTGCTGTGTCGGACACACTTCCCAAGGAGAAGAAGCGGTACGGCCAGAAGAACGAGGTCACCAAGGTGGACGCCGAGAAGAAGACGGTCACACTGAAGGACGGCACCACCATTGGCTACGGCAAGCTCATCAACACCATGGCCGTCGATTCCCTTGTCGAGAAGATGGGCAACCAGGAGCTGGTCACTCTCTCCAAGGGCCTGTACTACTCATCGACCCACGTCATTGGTGTTGGTATCCGCGGCGAGCGCCCCGAGCGTATTGGTGACAAGTGCTGGGTAAGGCAGACAAAGCTACTCTCCGGATAGGTTCATGGCTAACACGTGTGCCAGCTTTACTTCCCCGAGGACAACTGCCCCTTCTACCGCGCCACCATCTTCTCCAACTACTCCCCATACAACCAGCCGCAGGCTGATGCTAAGCTGCCGGCGCTGTACCTCGCCGACGGTAGCAAGCCCAAGTCCACCGAGGTCCAAGGAGGGGCCATACTGGTCGATCATGCTTGAGGTTTCGCAGTCGACCATGAAGCCGGTCGACGAGGAGAACCTGCTGAAGGACTGCATCCCAGGGACTCATCAACACCGAGATGATCAAGCCTGATGACGAGATCGTGTCGACCTACCACCGCAAGTTCGACCACGGTTATCCGACGCCGTCGCTCGAGCGTGAGGGTGTTCTCAAGCAGCTCCTTCCCAAACTCCAGGACATGGACATCTGGTCTCGTGGCCGCTTCGGCAGCTGGAGGTACGAGGTCGGTAACCAGGACCACTCGTTCATGCTCGGCGTGGAGGCTGTCGACAACATTGTCAGTGGCGCCGTTGAGCTGACGCTCAACTACCCCGACTTTGTCAACTCTCGCCAAAACACAGAGCGTCGGCTTGCCCAAGGCTTTTACACCGGGTCATCGTCAAGCAGCGCTGTCCCTTCCCGGCCGAAGGCTTAATGGCAGTAGTTCGTTGTAGAAGCCTGGGGTTATACACTAGGGTTCTTAAGTCACGTAGAACGGGTGGGAACTATCCCATGTCTCTGTTGCACGCTACATGAACACTTTCTTTTTCGCCACAGCCGTGCGTTTGGCAATTTGAAGAAAAAGAGGACAACCCAAACTTTGTTGGACGGCTCATCGGAAGGACCAGAGTGCTATCCAAACCTGTTCTCCCACGGCCGGCCAGGGCTAACACCTACCTAGATACTAGAGGATTTTTCAGCCACGCGTGCCCGGTAGAAAAGACCTACGCCGGGCGATAGAATATAATACAATATCGGGGGGCAAGAAAACCAAATGTGATCTCCTTGGCAACAATGCTGTTTTTGGTTATCGTTGGTTTGCGATGGATTGATCTTTTCCCCCCCTCTGCGTCCTTCGTGTGAACCGTGCGGTGTGGCTTGCAGTGAACATGAAGGCGGCGTGATGTAACCGAAGCCCGGATTGGCTGCAAGCTTTTGCCCAGAACAGTGACGTCAATGGCGCTTTTCTGCCAAAAATGGCGCTTCCAGGGTCCATGACCCTTTTCGTTATTATGTTTGTACAAGTTGAAGCTGGGGATTTGGTGTGCGAATATGCCGTTTTTGGAATGACCGTAGTATCTAGAAATAGTCAGTGTAGGTAGTAGTAATACCTGGAATTCAATCCGGGTCCCGCACAAACCCAGGTTAGCATGCCTCCCTGCACCCGGATCCGTGGTAGTAAGAAAGAAGGGTTGACACCCAAAGAGGGTCAACGCAGTGTGACGGCAGCCCCTGCCTCGACTTTAGTAGGTGGTGCTGAGGAAATGGGGAAGCTTGAAGATCCCACCGCTTCTTCGATGTAAAAGCCCACTTTCGAAAATAATTGCGGGTTACCCAATGCGCACACGAGGGAGCGGTATTGGGCGCCAAGGTTGCTGGTACTGCGCTGGCCTGTATTTAATGCACCTCTGTCCCTACATGGAGACTCGACACTTTTTGCGGTGAGCCGTAACCGTCGCATGTCTCAGACAGCTACTCGACCTTGCAAGGCCATGTTCGTGGTAAACTCGTAGATACCTAGGAGTTGTTCGCGCTGACGGATCCGTCTTGCATTCCTCCCCGCGCCCGCCAAAGCATTTGCTTCCCCTAGGTACTATTGATTTGCCGCCTGTCGCCGCATCGTCCTCGGCCGTTTTGGGGCGCACAGTTCCTCCTGACCAACTCACCTGCACCACAAGATAGGTACCCCCGCCCTTCCCCCCCACCCGTTGTGCCATCCCCACGGGCTCTGCAACGGCCCTAATGTAAAACTGCTGCGGGCCACACCTCTTTTGAGACTGCGCTATTGCTCTGTTTGGACGGCGACTTGAGCTCCAAAAGACTTGACTCGCGGTCCGCCGCCGCCACGACGCAGTTAGGTAAGGCAACTGCTGCACTCCGGAAGAACGGCAACGACCGCTGCGCGCACAATACTCTCCGTAAGGCAACTCGCCTCCGTCGCGCCACAAACGAAAACCACCACCACAAACGGATCTCCCAGGCAAGCGCCAACATTCCACCGACGAGTGGTGTTAATCTTTTTTTTTCTTCCGATCTTTTTTGCCCTCCGGAGGAAACCCTCCACACCCCGGCTAGGTTGACAGTTGACAAAGACGGGTCCCGGAAAGCATCCGGAACACGGCACCCGCAAAATTTGGAGAGTCCCAAGCGAGGCTCGGGGACCCGCTCTGAGAGTGCTGCCACTTGCCAACGCCCCCGCTTGCCGAATCTCCGTTTTGCCCTCGCAACGACTCGAGTCTCCAGTGTGCGAGTGATGGTTGTCATCATCACCAACCACCACCAGTAACAGCGTTAGAACATGACAGGCTCAACGTTGACTCCCGCCCGGCCAGCCTTCGATACTTGAGACCCGCGGATCCCTGAGGTACTCCCATCCTCCCCTCCTCCCCGCCCTCCTCCTCCCCCCGGTCCGTCCCTCCGCGACGACATGGACTCCGCCGCCGCCGCCTCAGGCTGGCCGCCCGACGACCAGCTAATCGAATCCCCGGCCGACATCCTCGAACGGCTGCGCCAGATCGCAGGATACACTTGGGACGATACCCGGCAACCCTTCCACTCGACCTATGACAACTGGCAAGTCTATGGCACGCGGTTCGTCTCGCCTCACTCGACACGCCCGTCCGGCGCAAATGCCATCCCGTCGCACGCGCCCTATCACACAACCCAACCCGCTTATCGCGTCCAATTTATCCTCCCTCCAGCCGAGCGTCCTCTTCAGACCATCGTTCCTATGTTTCCTCGTCAGAGGCCGAGTCCGTCTCGGACCGCTCGACTAGCTCCGATGCCCCCGTCATCGAGCAGCACGTGGTCGCAAGGGTGTCGTACCACGTTCTCCGCGAAGAGAGGGCCTTTTACATCTCCAAGAGCCTAGTCTCCAGCGTCGACCCGAAAGGGGAGCGCATGGTGAAGCCACTGGATGTGATGCGGTTGCCGTCGGCCCCCGGCGACCGAGGTCCCATCATTGTTGCCATCTACGAGGATCCTGGCCCGAATTCTCTGGTAAAACTCCTGGATTTTGGACCCGCCTTTTACTTTGCCAAAAGAGACAGCGACCGGTGGGAACCGCGGCGGAAGGTCACCCCCAGGCTAGCGCCTCCCATAAGCCTGCAAAACTTTCTAGATTTCGCCATTGGTGCAGCCCAGTGTTTAGAGATCGTTCATCACGGGCAGGGAATCGTCCACGGCGAGATCCGCGGGGACGCCTTTCATTACAATATCGAAACCAACAAGGTCAAGCTAGTGTCGTTCGGGTCGGGGCTCCGATCCTTCGAGCACGGCCTGACGAGCACGGGATGGTCCGCCTTTTCTAAGGCGGTCGGCGTCAAGCACAAACTACAGTACATCAGCCCCGAGCAAACGGGGCGAATGCCGGCCGAGCCGGACACCCGGACCGACATCTACTCGCTCGGTATCTTGTGCTGGAGTCTCTTGACACAGCAGCTCGTGTTCCAGGGAGACTCACCACTGGACATCGTCCAGGCTGTGCTCAGCCAGGAGGATACCGATCGTCACTGCGATACGCATGGACGTCCCCGAGGTTGTCGGCCGCATCATTCAAAAGTGTACCGCCAAGAACGTCGCCGACAGGTATCATTCGGCCGGCGGTCTCCGCTACGACCTTGTGGCCGTGCAAAAGATGCTCAGCGATGGTGATTCCGAGGCGCTACGCGACTGGCCGATAGGTTCCAGGGACGTCTCATCCTCATTCAGGCTGCCGACGGGCATGCTGGGCCGAGAGCAGGAACGGGCCGAGTTTGTGAAACTCATCGAGAGGGTCGCTAAAAACCACTTCTTGACCCAAAACGGCAGCACAGCCCGAAATTCCGACGCATCGAGCCTTGGTACCGATCTCAACGACGCCGCCGACGGCTCTAGCGAAGGCGGAAGCTCGGCCGGTGGGACAAACCGCCACAGCACGTCCATCCCGCAGGCGGACAACAAGTCGAAATCGGGATCGCAACAGTCTCCGCCGATAGTTTCCGACTCGGCGGATACATCCCTGTCGACCATGTCCTCGGGCGTCTCGACTCTATCGGGCGGCCATCGGGCCCCCCGCGCATGGGACAGACATTCCTTTCTCGACAGCAATCATGCAGCTGATGGCCCTAATTCGGAACCTTCGCGCCATGGCGCCACTGTGGTGACGGATTCTTCGTCTGCCAGTTTGGCTCGTCAACTCGGCTCGGCCAAGTTTAGGAGACAAGGCCATTGCGAGATCGTCCTGGTAGAAGGAGCCGGTGGGCTCGGCAAGAGCTGCCTGGTCCAGTCTGTTCTTCCCGATGCCCGGAGACGAGGCTACTGCGCGACAGCTAAGTTCGACCGGGCGAGGCGGACGCCTTTTGGACCTCTGCTGAAGCTTCTCTCCTCGCTATTCCGCCAGGTACAGGGCGAAAGGAACACAGAAACGGCCTTTCATCAGTCCCTGAGGCATTACGTCCAGCCGGTTTGGCCAATGCTGCACAAAACCCTAGACCTCCCGGAATTCCTCCTCCCGCCCCCGCCAGCCGAGTCACCGGTCGCACGTTCCTCCAATAACCAACCTTCTAGACCCAACTTCAAGAGGCGAAGTTCCTCCCCAGATACATCCTCCGTGTCCACTCCTTCCACCTTACGAGCGTCGTCCGGCTCGGCCGCGCCGAGTTCGCGGGATTTCCTCCGTGCCGGCGCCTCTACAAAGACCAACCGGCTCATGAACACCTTCCTCGAGGTGCTGAGGGTGTTTACCCAACACAAGTTCATCTGCTTCTGCCTGGATGATTTACAATACGCAGACGATGAGTCCCTGGAGCTCATCAGCCAGATTATCAGCGTCAGGTTAAAACTGATGCTCGTTATAACATACCGCCCGGAGGACATCGCTCCCGAGACGGTGCGCAAGTTATTGACTCCGCCCAAGTCCGACGACTTCCCCAAGGGCGGCGGTCCGAGAACTACCAAGATCACGCTCGCGCCGCTTGGCGAGGAGGACATAGTCCGCTATGTTTCTGCAACACTCTCACTGCCCAAGGAAAGAGTCCTCCCTCTGGCCTTGGTCATCCAATCCAAGACGGCCGGAAACCCTTTCTACATGCGAGAAATGCTCAGCGCGGGCTACCGGAAAAAATGCATCTGGTACGATTACATCGCCGGCCATTGGAAATATGACCTGGATAAGCTATTCGATCAATTCCAAGGGGAGCAAGACTATGACGTTCTTGACACCGCCTTTATCACCCGCCGCCTAAGCGAGCTGCCAGCGGCTTCCAGGACCATTCTTGCATGGGCCGCCTTGCTTGGTCAGACATTTTCCTTTGATCTGATCTGCAAGCTTATGAGCGGGCAGCGGTACGTGGATGACCACGCAGAGGACGTGGGCGAGCCGCTGGTTGCCGCTTCTTGCGAGGTGGACGTTGTCGCGGGTCTCGAGGCCGCCATCCAAGCTTTCATCATCATTCCTTGCGACCGGGACGACCATTTCCGCTTCGCGCACGACCGTTATATCCAAGCCGCCGCGGCTCTCAAAGAGTGCAACGCCCGGTGGATGCACTTCGCCATCGCTCGGGTACTTCTCAAGCACTACTCGATTAACGCGAGCCTGAAGGATAACGCCGCCTCTCACATCTGCGAGTCAGTTGACATGATCAAAAAAAGGATCCCGCATCGGCGAGCCTTCCGGAACCTACTCTTTGAGCGCGCGCATGAGGCGACCGAGAGCGGCGCACGTCCCACGGCCGCCAAATACTTCAGCAACGCTGTCGCCCTACTACAGTCGAATCCCTGGGATGAGAGCGCCGAGGACGTGTCGTACGACGAGACCCTCCAGATCTACTTGCAAGCCGCCGAGTGCTATTTATTTATGGGCCATCAGAGTGCCGCTGGCGTGCTCCTGCGGACAATTTTCGACCACGCCAGGACGGACCTCGACAAGGCCCCCGCATGGGTGCTACAATCGAGGATACTCTCCCAGAGTGGCGATTCAAACCAAGCCCTGTTCTCCCTAAAGCAGTGCTTGGCCGCCCTCGATGTGGTCGTCGATGACTGCCCAACCATGGAGAAGTGCGATGAGCATTTCGAGCGTCTGGCCGAGAAGATTCGGACAACGGATCGCCAACTGGTACTGAACCCGCCCACCACCCTGGACCCGATGCTGTCCTCCGTTGGCGCGGTGCTGGCGGAGACGACGAGCACCGGATGGTGGACTGACTGCACTGTCTTCTACCAACTGGCTTTGCTGATGACGGAGACGCACTTCGACCGAGGGTTCTACCCTCAGTCCGGCATGGGCTTCCTATACATGTCCATCATTGCCTTGTCTCGGTTTAACGACGCCAAGCTCGCGGCCCAGCTGGCGAGCATATGCCTCGAGCTCCTGGACAAATCTCGCGACCCGTTCTCTATATCGCGGGGCTACATGATCTATGCCAACTTTGTCGGTCATGTCCAAGACCCCATCGACGTATCCGTCGGGCAAATGGAAGGGATGGTAGACTACACCCTAGCCGCCGGGGATAGGACAACAACCATTCTCAGCTTTGCGCTCTCTGCTCAGCTGAAGTTCTATGCTAGCGACAACTGCGCCGATTTGGAAGCGTTCTGCCAATATGGCTGCGAAGAGATTCCCAATTGGCATCTCGATACGCGCGGCGGTACGCTCCTCATTGCCGTCAGACAAGTCTGCCGTGCGCTACAAGGCAAGACGCGGTCCGCGAACCCCCTCGAGGTCATGAGCGACGAACACCATGACACCCTCACTTACAAGAACTGGCTCGCGGCCAACACCGACAATGGCGGTCGGTCGTTGCTGATCTACGAAACCATGGAGATTGTTCCCCTTTTCCTCTACGGCCACTACGACCAGGCGATTGAACTCGGTAAGGCCTGCCAGGAAAAGGCGCATCTTTTGTGGTCGGCTCGAAATACCAGGGTGACGATGCTTTTCTATGGCTTGGCTTTGGCCGGCGCCGTGCTCCGCCGGCTAGGAGACCCCCTCTCCCCGGGGGCAGAGGGCCTCAAGGATCACGTTAATGAAGAAGTCCGGAAGGTGGAGGAGCTCAGCAAGCGGATCAAGGATTGGCAGGTTGTCGACAACGTCAACTATCTCGCTTGGTCGAAGCTGCTAGACGCATCAGTTTCCGAGATGCTCGGCAACCACGGCATCGCCATCCGACAGTACGAAGAGGCGCTGGATCATGCCTCGGAGCACAACTTCACTTTCGAGGAAGCACTCGGGAATTACTTGATGGCCAATATCTTCATCAGAAACACCGCGCGGCGCTCCGCCCGCTCCGCGCTACGTGATGCCGTCTCCTTGTTCCGCCAGCTCGGAGCCACGGGCGTCGCAGACCGCATTGAGAGCGACCACAGCATTCTCCTCCAACGGGCCATGCGGAACCCACGCACTCTCGACCAAGGGGTGCAGACCGACTTTTCGGGCGACGCTGCAACTGCCCAGTATCGGAATGTCGATGAAAACGGCACCGACGATGCCCAGCAGTCTACCGTGGCCGCCCTGAAAGGCGAGCGCATGACAGCCTGGCGGGGTTCAATGCAGCCCGAGGCCGGCGCCGGGTTGCCTGCCCTCGATATGATCGACCTGCACGCAATCCTGACGTCTTCCCAGGTTATCTCCTCGGTGCTCAGGGTCGACTTGCTCCTCAAGACCATGTGCGATGTGATTCTTCAAACATGCAGTGGGTCTGCCACGCACGCTGCCATCGTAGTGCAGGACGAAGGGAGCACCGACTGGTGTGTCGTCGCCAGCGGCGACCCCGAGAAGGGCGCTGAACCGCACATGCCGGGCATCCAACTCAGCGTGACCGATCTCGTCGCCGAGAACGTCGTGCTCTACTGCACCCGTTTCCGCGAGGCCGTCTTTCTCCAGGATCTCCTCAACGACGAGCGGTTCGGCAACGTCGGCGAACTCTGGCTGCAGCGGAACCCGGGAAGCAAGGCTGTCATCGCCATTCCCATTTGCCACGGGTCGAAGCCACTGTTCGGCGTCCTCTATCTCGAAGGCACCGCCGGGTCGTTTACGGACCGCAACGTTAGCGTCCTGCAGCTTCTCAGCAACCAGATTGGCATCAGCTATTCCAATGCGCTCGCCATGAAAGCGGTCGAGAAGGTTTCGGCAGAGAACATCTCCATGGTTGAAATTCAGAAACGGGCTTTGGCGGCGGCGATCGAGGCCGAAGCCAAGGCGAAGAAGGCCGAGGCCGAGGCTATCCGCAACGTCAAGCTTGCTGAAGATGCGACGAAGGCAAAGTCCATCTTCTTGGCCAATGTGTCTCACGAGTTGCGCACACCGCTGAACGGTGTGATCGGCAATTCCGAGCTGCTGAGAGACAGTAACCTCAACAAAGAGCAGTTGGAGATGGCCGACTCCATTAGAGTCTCGGCCGACCTACTGTTAACGGTCATCAACGACATTCTCGACTTTTCGAGAATGGAAGCCGACAAGATGAAACTATACATCATCGCATTCAACCCTGAGGAGATGGTGCGCGAGGTCGTCCGGGCGGTTTCGTACAGCAACAGGGAAAAGACGTCAAAGAAGAACGTCAAGATCATCCAAGATATTAACCTGCCGCCCATGCTCATCTATGGTGACCCAATCCGTCTTCATCAGGTTCTAGGTAATCTTATTGGGAACAGCCTCAAGTTCACTGAAGATGGATCCATCACTATCGGCGCCCGCATCGACAAGGAGACGAAAGAGAACGCGACGCTGACATTCTGGGTCAAAGACACGGGCATTGGGATCTCAGCACAGCAGCTCGAGAACCTCTTTCAGCCATTCAGCCAAGCGGACGCGAGCACGGCGCGCAAGTACGGCGGTAGCGGCCTCGGCCTAAGCATCTGCAAATCGCTCATCGAGACGATGATGCAAGGCACGATCCGTCTCGAAAGCCAAGAACACCTCGGCACCACCGCCTGGTTCACTGTTACCTTTGACAAGGCCCGGCCGGAGGTCGTAGCTGGCGACGAACAACTTGCGCCGCCCGACACCCTCCCGGAACCCGTCAAGCCTTATCCCGCCAGACAACCAAGCGCCATCTTGGTCAAGGATCTCGCCTCCCCCATCAACGCCGCCGCCGCTACCGTCGCAACCCCCGTGACCCCCCCGACCCCCGCGACCCCCGACCTTTCCAAGATCCCAAAGTCCGAGCTCCGCATCTGCATTGCCGAGGACAACGTCATCAACGCCCGCATCGCGCTGCAGTACATGCAGCGCCTCGGGTACCCCAACGTGGACACGTACGACAACGGGCTCAAGGCGGTCGAGGGTCTGCGCGACAAGGCACGCAAGGGCACACCGTACCACATCATTCTGATGGACGTGCAGATGCCCGTTCTTGACGGCTACGAGGCCACCAAGCTGCTGCGCGACGACGAGCTCGAGTCGGTGCGCCGCATCCTCGTCATCGCCATGACCGCGTCCGCCATCCAGGGTGACCGCGAGAAGTGCCTCGCCGCCGGCATGGACGACTACCTGGCCAAGCCCGTACGCTCCGAGGTACTCAAGAGAAAGCTGGATGCATATTTGCTTGGAGATGCTGCCACCCCGAATGGGACCACTGAGACTCCGGCTACGGTTACCCCTACGGCTACTCCGACCAAGGCGCAGGCACAGCAAGCACAAGCACAGAGCCTGGTTTCAGGGGAGACTCAGGCTTCTTCTACTACTTCACCTGAGTGCCCGGAACAGGGCAAGGCCCAAAACCCGGCGGTGACTCCGACCCAGACACAAGTAAAAGGGTGACAGTAACAGATTCAGGGGGCGGGCGCCATGTTGATGTGAACACCGAGCGAGAAAGTGTGTGTGTCCTGAAGGGGGCGATTTTACTAAGCATCGTATCCGTTTCTTTTTTTTTTTTTTTTTTGCTGGGCCAGGTCTGGGTTGGATGGCTGGACGGGATGCATGGGTGAAAGGATGAATGGATGGACGGGCAAAATGGACTGGACTGGACTGGACTGAACTGGGCCATGGGATGGGGGTTTTGCATCTGCGCTTTACATTTTGCCCGGTTCTCACCCGTTTTTTTTTTTTCTGTTTTCTTTTTTGAAACAAACACCCTTTTCGGTTCTGCGTAGATACCTACCTTTTTATGCATGGGCTTTCTGGGCTATACCGCGTTTTTATGGTGTTCATCGTCCGTCGTTCTCGGTCTTTTTGCCCGCTATACTTACTAGATACATATACCATGTGGATGTGGGTGTTAGTGCTGGTGGGATATGGGTAACTATTGGCATGGGCTCGGTTCTGGAATGGGACTTTGGCGTGGGCTCTCTGGTGGCCTGGCCTGGCCTGGTCTGGCCAGCTTGGTTTGGAGCGGATGGGTGGCGGAGTGATTGTGCATATATAGCCTTTTGAAGATTGGACTTGGCGTGTTGTTCTGGTCGGTTTGGTGCGGTGCGATATGGCCTGGTCTGGTCTGGTCTAGTTTAGTGTGGTGCCTGTTTGTGGTGTTTTGGTGGGTTTGGCCGCGGTCATCGTGTCACATCATATACTTGTTCTGTTGGCTGGGTACATACTAGACTAGGGAACTCTATACAGCCGGCTGGCTTACCGTAGCTTCCTTCCTGCGAATGGCGTGTGGGCGGAAAGTATAGGTTCCTTCTAGAGGGCAGTGCTGTTGACGATGTTGTCGAGACGGAAAGGGAGAAGAACATCATCAGTGTGCCAGGTGGGCTTGTGTTGTAATGATGAACGTAGCAGCAGCAGTGAAGGGTCGTTTTTTTGTTAACAAAAAAAGGTATAAAACTTCCCGACTAAATTCCCGATATAATCGGGAGAAGGTAGCTGGCTACGAAAACCCTCGGTGACTTTGAAAGCCTGGATAGAGGATAGCTCGCTGAAGCCTCGATCGTGGCCAACCGTTTCGAGCTAGTTACATGTCGTGGTTCTAAATTACTGGTTTCTAACTAAGCGAAGGGGGTGTCTTCTACGGTTGTTTCGGGTTGGTCCCTGACAACGGGGTGTGTGTCGAGGGGTAAGCGTACGGTTCTGAATATGGCTCTACTTTTTAACTCGGTAAAGGTCCCACTGTGATACGACGCATATACAACTTGGGTATGATCAAGGGAGTAGTTGTATGGGACCATGCTAGCCTGGTTGATCTAAGTCGTCAAAGGCAACCAAGTAAGTTCACGAGAGGCATGGCCGACACGAAACCCCCTTAAACATCCTCATCATACACTCACACACACACAACAAGCAGCAAATCCTCACACCCCACACATCAAAACCAAAAGCTCATTCTATCCCCCCTTCAACCCGCGCAACCAGCTAATTACTATTTATTTATCGATAAACCTAACCCCTCACCCACGCCGCCACGCCCAACACAAACACACAAACCAGCACATCCGCCCTCACCGAGCCCAGCACCTCGCCATACCGCATCGCCAACTCCACCTTACTCCGCAACCCCGCCGGCAAGAACCCAACCGCCATACCCAGCATGCCACTCCCGCCCGCGGCCGCCGCCTGCAGCCGGCTACGGCCGCGGTCCGCCACAAAGTGGCGTGTGCCCAGCAGGAGCGCCTCGGCGGTCGCAAACGCCCAGAAGTAGTTCTGGGAGGGGGAGGCGCCGAAGTCGGCGCGCGCCTCGGCCGACCCGGCGGCGGCTGCCGCCGCGCTGTCCCGCGAGAGCTTGCTGCCTGTGAAGGGCGTGTACACGGCGATGTAGAGCCCCAGCGCGAGCGCGATGAGCGCGTGCAGGAGCCGCCAGAGGGTCGCGTGCCGGTTGGTGGCAGATTGTTGGGGCTGGGGGGGGAAGGGTTGGGCGCCGCTGCCGGGGGTGGTGGACGGGGGGAAGGGCATGCCGGGCATGCCGCCGCCGAAGGGGTTGTTGCCGCCGCCGCCGAGCATTTGCATCATCATGCGCATCATCGGGTCGTCTTCCATGCCGGGGGGTGGAGAGGGCATGCCGGGCATGCCGGGCATGGGAGGGGTGGCTGTGCCGGGCTGGTCGAAGCCGAGCATCATTTGGCGGAGCTGGGTGTCGGAGAGGTTGCTGTCGGGGGGTGGCACGCGCGCGGTGGTTTGGGGCTGGTAGAAGTGTTCCGAGATGTCGACTTCATCGGGGTCGGCATGTTGGGCGGCAGCGGTACTGACTGGAGCGCTTGGTGTTGTCGTCGCCGTCGCCGTCTTCGAGGCTGCCGGGGCTGGCGCGGGGTCTGGGGAACAACGGGATGGTTAGTTGTCGGTTGGATAGGGTATCTCGGCAAAAGTTGTTGGGAGTAAGCCCACCTCTCGGAACACCGCCTCCCAAGCCGGTGATCCTGTTCAACCTGTTCTCGGCGCCGGCCTTGATCTTTGCCTCGCGACGAGCCTTGCGTTGTCGCGCCTGCTCAGCAGCACGTGCCGCGGCAGCCTCCTCGTCCGATGTCAACAGTTCCGTCATTGTTTGCCTATCTTTCTCGTCGAGCGTCTGTGTGGGTGTGTTAGTATGTGGTTTGTGGTTGGAGGTTGGCGTAATTTATGAATCGTTGGGCGACGAGTGCCCCTTGTGACGTCGAGCTCGCTCAGTGGACAAAGTGTTGAAGCAACCCTGTGGAGGCGTTGATGAGTTGTCGCATCCAGAAGGGTCCCAGCTCTTTATCTTATCGGAGCTCGACGGAATTTATGTTGAGGACGAAGGGTTCGGGTTGGCTGAGCAGCTGGAAGGACAACAACCCCCTGCAAAATAACTGCACACTCCCTGAGCATGCCAACACAGGACACACAGGCAAAAAATGCTGTTTGACTAAGAACTCAACCATTCAGGACCCCAAGTCATAAATCTATCAACAGAATTTTCTCTTTGCCTGGCTACATTCTAATCCTAACCATAAACACAACAACCGCTTAACACCTGCTCCCCAAACCTACCACCCCTGAACACAATCACGGCGTAGCCTTGCTCATGCTAATCAGCCTCTTCAGTCCAACCTACAACACCACAACGTTAGCATACCACTCAGATAATTAGGAACAACAACAACGGCAACCAGGGTAACTTACCATCCACTGGCCACACTCCTCGACCTTATCCCTAAAGATCTCCATCTGCCCCTTGGACGCAGCATCGTAATTCTTACCAGCGATCGCCTCCGCAATCGCCGTCAGCTGCTCGACCGTGTCAGGGCGGACCAGTTCCCCGTTGTTGAGGTGGTCGAACAGCAGACCCAGCCGCTTCTGCGTGTCCTTGACCTGCGGCGCGAACGTCGCCGGCGCCTTGGACGCCACCCGCTGCATGTCCTGGCTCAGGAGCTCGACCATGCGCTGGGCGTCGGGCGGAATGTGCGACCGGTCGCCCGCCGGGTGTCGTGCCGCTGGTGGAGTCGCCGCCGCGCGGGGCGGGGGCGGGGTCTGCTGCGGCGGGGCCGCTCTGGCCGCGGGCGGGGGTCCACCGGCAGCCGGGGGAGGTCCCGACATTGGAGGGGGGCCGACTGGTGGCCGGGACGCCTGAGGCGGCGGCGCCGTGTACTGTTGGGGAGGAGGTGCCATGGGCTGCTGAGCCGCCGGCGCCGGCGCATACGGGTTCGCCGGGGGAGGCGCTAGCGGGGTAGGGGTGGGCCCCTGGCCATATGGCTGCGCAGACGGTGCGGGTGCGTATCGATTGGAAGGCGGGGGGCCGGCAGGAGGAGCGTTGTATGGAGATGCAGTCCGTCCAGCGGGCGGAGGGACCATCGGAGACGGCAACCCGGCGGCAGCAGCCGCCGGTGGAGGTGCGTAAGGGCTCGGGGTGTTCGACGTCACCGAAGCCGGCCGCGCACCATAAGGTCCCGCCGGCGGCGGCCCAACAGGCGGCGATGTCACGCTGCGAGGGGGTGCCGATCCTTTTGGAGGCGGGGGCGGAGGAGTGGGCGCGCCCCGCTGATAAGGCCCGGTGGGCAGAGGGCTTTGCAAGCCTGCCTGGGCGCCGAAGGGTGCAGTGATAGGTGCCACGCTTGGTGTGGTCTTGCGGACTGGAGGTCTTGTGACCATAGGCACATCATTCCAGCTGCCCGGGTCCTTGTGAATCTTGGGTGGAGGACCGGTGTTTCTCGGAGGCGGGGGGGCCGGCGCTCCTGGCTGGGTGAAGGTTTGAGGGGGGCCATATCCTCCAGGTGCCGGGTGGGGAGGGGCATACCCGGCTGGCGCATACGGGGAGGCTCCGGCGGGTGTAAATTGGGATGTGGTTGAAGGCGCGTACGGATTCGACGACGACGCAGCGGGCTGGACTGGAGCTGGCGGCGCGTAGGGGTTGGTGTGGCTGGGGCCAACCGGAGGGATAGATGCTGGCTGCTGGTAGCCCATCGGTGTCGGCCCACGGGAGGCCGCGCGAGAGATGGGGCCGGTTTGGCGTTGGGCGACCTGGGGAGCCTGAGGGGCCACCTTCTGGGTAGCGAGCCGGACGCGGTTCCTGGCCACTTCGGCGGCGGGGAACTTGGTCGGGAGGAGGTCTAGGTATCTCTGGGCAACAGCCAACTGGCCGTGGGCGGCGACAATATCCGCGTACTGGGTATACTTGTCGTATAATGATCCGAGCTTCCAGCCTTCGGTAAGCTCCTTCTCGTCGTCCGCGAACTTGATGACGTGGCGGAAGACGGTGACCTTCTCAATGAAGTGCTGCAGTGACCTCGCGTGAATCGAGAAGGTGGAATCGTTGCTAGCCTCCTGGAGCCCGGCCTGTTCCGCTTCCTGCAGCTCAACAACCCAGATATCCACTACCTTCTCGAGCTTGGAGCCCACGAGATAGCAGAAGGAGGCATCCTGCCTCGAGCCAGACTCATAGATGCGGTCGCCGAGGGCTTCGCAGAGGTCGGGGAACTCAGATGGCTCAGCGAAGGTGCAGAGCGTGACCATGGTCTCCTTCCAATTGCCGAGGTCTGCATTGTACACGACATCCCAAAGATTCTTGCCGATGACCGAGTTGATAAGCCGCAGGTAGCTCGGGGTGCCCTTCTTCTGAGCGAGGTAGGAAGTTTGCACCTTGTCCACAAGTTCCTTTCCGCCACAGTTGGCGAGGATGAAGGCATCGGCGACCCGGTCCTCCTTCAGGCAAATATCGACAGCCTTCTCAAAGTTACCGAGGATGATAGCCTTGGTTACTCGGTCCTCGGTCGTGTTGCCTTCGCCCAAGAGCTGGAAGGGCTGGTCTGTCTTGGCTCCCTTGGCAGGAGTGAGGTCAGACAAGAAATCATCACCCTCATCAAGATCGCCCCACATGCTGGTCACACGCTTGTGCTTCTTCTTTGCGTCGTCACCGTTGGGTTGCGGCGGGGCCAGCCCTGTCTCCTTCGGTTCTTCTTTGGGCTCGGCGACCTCCGTCTCTTCGGGTGAGGTGGAGGCTTCATCGTCCTTAGCGAATCCGAGATACTCAAGAATCTTGGTGCGCCCGTCCGACTCGCTCAACGCCTTCAGCACCTGCCAGTCAGCCTTCTCTTCCTCCGTCTGGGCGTCAGCGGCATTGGAGTCGCAGATGGCGCCGATATCTCCTCGCTTGTATGCCTCCTCGAACTTCTCGGTGGCGGAGCCAATGTCGGAGTCGACAGAGAAGCTCGATATCTGAATCTTTGATGACCTGGGTTGGCCGGCCGGCGTGTCATTCTTTTTAAAGGTGATAAGCTTGCCGCCGTACCCGAAAGAAACACCGACGGGCCGCTCGAACCAGATCGGCGCCCTTGTGAGCGAGAATGACGCCCCCTGAAGCTCAGTGGGAGCCTTAGCGAAGAAGTCATCGTCGTCCGTGTTAGTTTGCGCGGCGGGCGCGACGGAGGCATTCGTGTTCTGCAACGTCTGAACGGTGATTTTACCGTCGAACGAGGCCGTAGCCACGAGGTTGGGGTTGCCGGGGTTGAAGCGCGTCAAGAAGGTCCAGTTGGTGGCCTCCGGAAACTCGCCGTATCGCTCCCCAGTCTGCGGGTTCCATACAAGGGTCCTGTTGTCCTTACCGCAGGAGATGAGCAGGCCCGGGTCCTGCTGGCACCACGACAATGACAGGATGCCCTGATCGTGACCTTGTAGGGTCTTTTCGGGCGCCTGCGAGTTCCTGAGGTTCCATAACAGAATGAGAGGGGTGTTGTCGTCGGACGTGGCGGTCAGGAGGTTGGTGGAGTTGGTCGGGTCCCAAGCGATCGCGCTGACCGGCTTGCGGTTATTGTTCAAGGTCAACGAGGCCTTCTTCGTCTTCAGATCCCACACCGTCACAAAACCGCCGGCGCTGCCCGTCGCCAAAATATTGGAGACTTTCCGGTTCCAGGCCACGCAGTCGATGTCGTGAGCGGCAGCGGTGCCGAGTCGGAAAGCGGTCGAAGTGTCGTTGGTATCCCAAACAAACAGCTCGCCCTTCGAGCCAGCGGTGGCGAGCACTTGCGGTCGCAGAGGGTTGAACTGGAGGGCTTTGATCGGCCCGGTGTGCTTGGTGTCGCGCGACATGACTGCCTCCTCGCCAGCAAGAAGCTTCGCGGCATCCCACAACTGTAGCGAGCCGTCCTCCATTGCGCCGGCAACCACACCCCGCGGGTGCTCGTCGCTGGGGGCGCCCCATGCTATGTCGTAAAACCTTTTATCGTGTTAGCGTTGAGACCATGCCCAACCATGCGATGCGCGTACCTGGACTCGGTGCTGATGCTGGCTACCGGTTGTAGCTCCAGGCCTTGATCCAGAGCGTCGAGGTTGAGTTCCCATAGCTCGAGCTTGGTCTCGTCTGAGAAGTCGGCATCGACTGCACCGGACCGTGTACCTGTAACCAATAATGGGTTCGGGCCGGACGACCAGGCGAAGGCCGCCGTCCGCGGGATCTCTCTCAACCGAACCATGGCGGGCGTCGGATGGAGATCGGCTTGGGGAGAAGTCGAGGGCGGTGGTACGTTAAGTGGGGGTTGTTGGTAGTTATTCGAATTATCGGGAAGGTAAACGGAACAATTGGGTCAAAAAGGAGATTAAGCACCAGTGTCCCTACCGCATCAAGCGTCGAGCCGTGAGGGCGCAGGGTGAGTGGTGCGGTGCAGTTCGGGTGTGAGTCGGGATCGGTGCGGCCTGTTGCCAGATTGCCTCGATGCCAGGGCAAGGCAAAGCAATGCGTCTTCAGGGGATGCGCCCCAGAAATTTGGCCGCTGTCTAACCACAAGTGACCAAGCGACAGCAACCATATGAGAGAAATACCCTAACCCTGTGTCACTTGTTCGAACAACCGCACGTTTTCGCTCCTCAACCACGAACAACAATAACTGTCACTAAATAACAGGGTTGGACCTCTACATTCATTGGTCATAAATCGTGTTTTCTTTTTGTGAAAAATCAATTCAATCAAGAAATGTGGTTTTGTCCCAGCCAAAGTCGAGTATGACGTATCCAAGATAGATCGCACAGCCAAGCAGTGAATTTAGCAGTCGGGTTTGGGCGGCAGGCGGGGCATCAGCTTCTCACAAGTTGCATTCAATGCTTTGATATCTGCAAAAGCACGTGATATCCATCTTCTTCAACAACCAGTGAATCTCATTCTCAGACGGCAGAATAGACAGGCCTCCCAACAATACAGCACTTTTGAACGGCGCTGAACAAGACGACGATCCGACCGGCCGTGAACCAGAATACTACCACCAGAGAAGACCGGACGAGTTTGTCACCCGCCCAACTTGCCAGACACCAAAGCCATCCCTGCTCATCGGACCATAAAATAACCTTTCCAAAAATGGCAGACACCTCCCGCTGGAAATCCACCGTCTACGTCGGCGGGCTCGCCCCGGCCGTGACCAAGACAACGCTGCAGGAGGCCTTCCTGCCGTTTGGCGAGATCGCCGACGTCTCGCTGCCCAAGAACGAGAACCCCAGCACGGCGGCCACGGAGCCCCACCGCGGGTTCGCCTATGTTGAGTTCGAGGACGTCGAGGACGCCAAGGAGGCCATCGACAATATGGACCAGGCTGAGCTGTTCGGGCGGGTGATCAAGGTGTCGGCGGCCAAGGCACCGAAGAGCGCGGGCCAGGTGTTGGGTGGGAAGACCGCTGTCTGGGAGCAGGTTCGTCCCTTTTTCTTTCTGGTTCTTTTACTTCCTCTTTTTTGGTTTATTTTTATAGTTTTGGATAGGACTGGTATTGACTTCTCGGTATAGGAAGGGTGGCTGGCCGAGAATGCTGTCAGTGAGGAGGACAGGCTCGCAACAGACCAGGCCCAAAACGCGAGGCCCGACGACCCGATGCAGGGGCTAGAGGGGCTGGATGTTGCTGGGCCGAAGCCGGAATGATGGCTTGTGCCGATAACGTTCACGAATAGATAGCGTACGGTTATGTGAAGGTTCCGCGAGTCTAAGACCCAGGGTTCAAGTCGATACCAAGGAATTGCATAGCTGCGGCGTTGGGAGTTGCTTCAGAAAGACCATTGCGGATCAAGGAAATGCATGTTTGTTCTCACGTCTTGGACAGTATTGACACACGCCGAGCCTGAGTCACTTCCCGGCACCTTCAGCTCGATCTGTCTTCGTATACAAGTTCCGGCCGTCTAAATCTAACGGTCCAACCGTCCACCATGCCTAGTCGCACACATCCTCTTTTAGGAGTGCTCTGCCTTCTGGCCCTCCTGGTGACCTTCCTCGTGGGCATCATGGGACGGCCCGTGATGCGCATCGGCGAGCCGGTTTTGCCTCTTGAGGCGGATGGTCTTGTCGGTCATGAAGTGGCGAAGGCTCGAGTAAACGGCGGCCGAGACGGCAAACGAAACGACAACGCCTATGGAATTCATAAATATCAAGCCGCTTAAAAATGGTAGGGACGCATCGCGGGGCATCCTCACCAAGAGGCCACAACTCGGGCGGGATCCGCTTAAGGCGGCGGAGACGCTGCGAAACAGTGTGCGCTACCAGCCGACAGCATCCGTGTCAGTCTTTCCTAGCTACTCAATTCCATCGCAATCGCACTACCAATGATGCCGTCGGGGTTGCCGTCAATATATGACTTCACGTACCAGACTGCTCCTCCTTCTATCAAATGTGCCGGGTCAGTTTCGGTGCAATTGAATAAACTGGCGCAAGGACTACTTACCGGCACCGGCCGCATCATGCGAGCCGTAGGGCGGAACATCCGCAGAGCCCGGGTGGCATACATTTTGGGTGATGGGTGAGCGGAGATGTTCCTCTGAGGGAAAACTGTGGTTGCGCAGCAGCCCGTTTTGGGGGGGGGGGTTTCCGAAAGCTTCGGGAAGTTGGCGTCACGATTTAGCGACCACGGGAGAGAGGAGCTTGGGTCCTTGCACAGCTTGTCCCCATAAAAAACAGCACGATTTGTTTGGCTTGTGAGCCCAGCCAAGCCTTGGCTACAAAGAAATCAGGTAACTCATCGGCCTTTTGCGGCTTGCCAACCAATTCCCTGTGAGTCATGCTGTGGACTCCCGCAGCCGAAAGTGCCCTGGCCTGACCTCACCACTCCCAAGCTCTGGCCAATTCCCACGACGACGACTCCGTCAATCAATTCGCCCGCCCCATTGAAGCTGCCTCGCCCCGTCAGCTCCTAGATTCGCCCAACATGTCCGACGACGACCGCGTTACCAAGCCCTTCAAGTTCGTCACAGGTATGATTGAGAGCTCTCCAACGCCGCAAATTCCCTCGGCAAAAAAACCATGGCCTAATCTCGGCTTGATCATGCGGAACCCGTTACTAACACTTTTGGCAGCTGGTATGCACCGCCGTTCTTATTTTGCAGATGCCCCGAGTTGAATCCGAATTGGCCGTTTTGGGAACGAATTGGGGAGGAAGAGGGGGGGCGCACTGGACTTGGACGAAGAGAGGGGCAATGGGGCCGATATGACGAGTGCACGTCGATCTAACGAACGTCTCTACTCCCTAGGTGTCGACGCCCGCTTCCCGAACGTCAACCAGACCAAGCACTGCTGGCAGAACTACGTCGACTACCACAAGTGCATCATCGCCAAGGGCGAGGACTTCGCCCCCTGCCGCCAGGTTAGCCCGTCTGCCCCGGTGCTTGAGGTGTCCCTGAGGGGCATACTTTGGAATACAGATGCTAAACCAACTGGCACGTGTAGTTCTGGCTCGCTTACCGGTCACTCTGCCCCAGTGGATGGTATGAGCGGTGGGATGCGCAGAGAGGTATGCTTCCAGCACCCTGTGTTGTTGTCGTGATAAGGGATAAACGACACTAACACACTTACAGAAGCTGGTAACTTCCCGGTCCGTCTGGACCAGTAAAGGAATGCTGTGAAGGGGGATACGGTGGGAGAACGCATCAAAACTGGACCATGTTACATTAGACTCACAGTAGTCAGGGGAATGCATAGAGTTGGGGTACTCTGCTTGTACGCTTACGCGGTGACAAGGGGTGGGTGAGAACGGGAGGAAAGAATTGTGGTGCTTCAGATTGCAAACGCAAAGTGATTGGTATCAACATTTCTGTAAACCGTTCCAGAATCCCCAAACGCCACCATAACGCTTTACCAAGAGTACATAACCGGCACAACATTAATACAACCACAACCAGCCATCTCTGATTCCCCCTTACGCCTCCACTCCTCCGCCTTCGCTCTCATCAGACGAGCTCATAAACTCATCATCCTCATCAAACCCAAGAAACTTCCTCGCCTGCCCCTTTCCGTTTCCATTACCATTCGTCTTCACAACATCCTTCTCTTTCTCCTTTCCCTTTCCCTTGACATCAGCCGCCGGTTCCAGATCCGAAGGAGGAGTGGTCGCCTTCGAACTACCACTCCCCTCCCCGTCCCCATCTTGCATAACCTCATCATCCTCCCCTTCTTCATCCGCCGATGACCCACTCCCCCCAGCACCCCGCTCCCCAACTAAATTATCACGATACACCCCCTTCCGCATCACCTCCAACACGGCCTCACGCGTCCTCTCGCCCGCCTCCTCCTTATCCTCCACCCACTTCCCATCCAGCCCGACCTGGCGGCTGCCGTACTTGATCTCGTCCTGGCGGCGCTCCGTGGTCTCGACGATCTCCTGCCAGCGCTGGCGGCGCTTCTCCTTCTCGCGCCGCTCCATCTCGGGCTTGATGGCCAGGTACTCGGCCAGCGCCTTGGCCTCCGTCACCGTGCGCAGCCGCCGCCCGTCCAGGTTGCGCGACGACCCATGCTCCTCCGCGCCCCCCGCCCCCTTCTTGCGCTTCGACATGCGCCCGCCCGCCGCCCGGAGTTGTGAGCCGAAACCGCCCTTGCCGCCGGGTAGGGCGGCTGAGAGACGTAGGGAGAGGATGTTGTTTGTGGTGGCATTTTGGAGGTGGCGGGTGGAATGGTCTTCGGTGGTGGGGAGGTAGTGGGAGATGGGCAGAGTGGAGGTCAGCGGGATGGAGCGGTTGGAGAGAGTTGTTAGGAAGAGGCGGGTGTTTGAGGTAGTGGCGGATGGGGGCAGCCGGCTGTCGAGTTCGTCGAGGAGGGTGGTGATGGGCGTTGCTGGTGGCAAAGCAAGAGAGAGGGTCGGAGGGAGGCCAGTTCCAGCGAAACTGGTGATGAGCACGTTTATTTTACTCGCCGCCATTTTGATCCTAAACGCAGGTTGTGCCCGGAGTGGTGTGATACGTGTAGTAGATACGGTGAGGTCGAGGGTTGGAAAGCCGCCGATTAACGATGAACTTCCACTCCGTGTCGGCATGGCGCATGATAAGATGACTAAGCCGTCCGGGTTGCTGGACAAGCTTCAAATGCACCAGCCACATCGGTGGGGTCTTTAGCTGCGCCAGGATTATCAGCTGCCAAGAGGCTTTGTGGCCGTGCGCCCCGCTAATCCCGAGCCCTACTACCAGATTGGAATTTCGGCGCCGCCAGCCCACAAATCACTGCGGTCTTGAATTTTGTGAAGAGCTCGACTCCCCATCGCCGACACTTTCCCAGACCAAGATCCTTAATTGTGTCGACACCGGTCTAACCGCCAAGATGCTTATTCCCAAGTCCGATCGCAAGGCGATCCACGAGGTATGCGACTTTTTGTTCTTGTTCGACCTAGAGGGGCGGAGATGGGCATTTTCTAGGCGAACGGGGTGCCATCAATCATGCGAGAAGATAAAGCTAACATTCGAGACAGTACCTCTTCCGTGAGGGCGTGATGGTCGCTGCGAAGAAGTAGGTCCACCCGAATCCATCAAACAACCACCTCGGAATTTCCTCGATCGAAATGCTGCGTTGCAACCTCGATACGCGACATTCAACATCACGACCCCGAACACTCGTCCTCGATAAGACCCATCGATGCTAATTCATTCCTCCTTGCAGCTATGAGACCACCCACGAGACCGGCATCCGCAACCTGTACGTCATCAAGGCTTGCCAGTCCCTGACCTCGCGCGGCTACGTCAAGACCCAGTTCTCGTGGCAATACTACTACTACACCCTGACCCCCGAGGGTCTCGACTACCTCCGGGAGTGGCTGCACCTCCCCGCCGAGATCGTCCCGGCTACCCACATCAAGCAGCAGCGGTCCCACGCCCCGCCCCGCGGCATGCTGGGCGAGGAGCGCGGTGAGCGGAGGTTCGGCGGCGGCCGTGGCCGTGGCGGTGACCGTGGTGACCGTGAGGGCGGCTACAGGCGCCGGGATGCTGGTGAGGGCAAGGAGGGCGGTGCGCCGAGCGACTTTGCTCCTCAGTTGTAAGTCGGCCTGGTGGTGAAGCTATGCGGGGCACGGTACTTTGGTTCGGTTTGCTGACTTAGATTTTTCAATAGCCGTGGTGGTTTCGGCCGTGGCCGTGGCCGTGGTGAGGACGCTGCCCCTCCGTCGTAAGCGGATAGCACTAGCAACGCCCTAACGGCATGGCACGACATGTACTCTACGTCTCAGAGAGCAATAGGGTCGATCGGTAATGCACCTACTCGCCAGGACCGTGAGTGGTTTGCGTGTGGAGTTGGTGGTTAGAGATCATTCGGAAAACTTCTGCATTCAGGGTCATCATTTGCGGTCAATACGATTTTTGCTCTCACTCGATTGCTCGTGGTACTGTAAGCGACGGGCCGGTCGCCGGAATTGATGAGTTTACGAACAATCCGAGGGGTTTTTATCGTTCAGCTGAACGCACTCGGCCAGTGCTAGAATGTTGCGAATCGAGTCGATGTTGATGCTGAGGTCCAACTGTGATCCCTATGCCCATTGCTGATGTTGCGGGCAATTTGAATCAGTCATGCTCGAGTCAGCCTATCAGTTTCTTGAAACTGAATTGCTTTGTCAACGCCTTCTAAGGCGAAGGAGTTGCTCCACTCGGTTAATGTCAAACCAGGAAACCTATTCAACAACGCCGAGCCCCACCAATCTGGATAGTCACATAGGATATGACAGCGCGGGGAGAAGCCAAGTTGAGACAAGAGAGTGGGTCAGGTGGTGGTGGTCAACAGTCAGCCCAGGTCGATCCTTGACTCTTGAGGTTTGGGGTGTTTGTGTTGTTGCTACAATCAAGGAACTTCCTCGGCTACTGTTGCCGCTGTCTTTGTTTGGGACTTAGTATAACATGGCCCCCTTTTCCCTCCCATACTCCCATGGGCTCAAGATGGTCTTAGTCCTTATTAGCTAGCGTCAACCCATCCCATCACTTGCACAAACCATTACTTGGCAACCCCTCAACACCAAGATGGGCTCCCTCTCGAAGCTTCCTCAGGAGATGAAGGCGTTGAGGTGAGTTTAATGGCCTGGCTAGCAGAGTCACCCTCAATGCTTGAATATTATGGCTAGTTGTGAAGACCTTTATGTTTTAACACACTATGTAGGTACAACAAGCCCGAGGATTTCGAAATCGTCAACGTACCTCTTCCCGTGCTGCGTGAGGATGACGTCCTCGTCAAGGTGAAAGCCTGCGGTGTGTGCGGAACAGGTATGGCAACTTGTCTTACACTAGCCGTTCTAGAATTTAGTCTAACTCCCATGCAGACTTGGTAATCTATGTTGCTCTCGGCAAGGTCTAGCAACAGAGCAGCTAACATACTTCTCCTAGCATATCCATGAGGGAGAGTTTATTGCCGAGTTCCCGCTTATCCCGGGTCATGAGACCGTTGGTGTCGTCGCCGCCGTTGGCCCCAAGGTCACGGGCTTCAAGGTCGGCGACCGCGTTGCGGCGGACAACTCGGAACTATGCAGTCACTGCTTCTACTGCCGCCGTGGCGAAGGATTGCTTTGTGAGAACGTACGTCTCCGCTGGATTCATACCCAGTCAACCACAATATAGGCAACCCGTTCCCATACTAATCTTGCCCCAGTGGACCGGCCACGGTATCAACCTGCCGGGAGGTTTCGCCGAGTATTGCGCCTACCCGCAAGCCAAGGTCTTCCAAATCCACAACCTCACCGACATCGAAGCGACCCTGATCGAGCCGGCATCCTGCGCCGCCCACGGCCTCGACAGGATCCGTCCGCGGCTGGGGTCCAGCGTTTTGATGTTTGGCGCAGGGCCAACCGGACTGGTACCCCCCCCCCCCCCAAACTTAACCTTCCTACCTAGGTACCCAACCGATTTATTAACTTCCCCTCAACGCAGATGCTCGCACAACTCCTCCGCCAAAACGGCGTGACCAACCTCACCCTCGCCGCGCCCGGGGGTCTCAAGATGGAGCTAGCCAAGCAGCTGGACGCGGCCGACACCTACGTGGAGCTGTCGCGGGACGACCCCGCGGCCCAGTTCGAACAGATCAAGCGGGACAACCCGCACGGGTTCGACATCGTGGTCGAGGCGACGGGTTCGGTGCGGATCCTGGAGGACGCTATCAACTACTGTCGGAGGGGCGGGACATTGGTTGTTTATGGGTTCGTTCCTCCCATCTTATCCCACCACCCCATAAAGTCCTGTACTAAGCTAACGGGTTGTTCCTCACCTGGCAGTGTGTACGCCAAAGCGGCGCGGGTCACCTGGCCGCCGTCCAAGATCTTCGGGGACGAGCTCCGGATCATCGGATCGTTCTCCGAGGTCTATATGTTCCGTACGTTGCCCCCGCCCTCCGGCTACCCCTTCCGGATTTGCATGTACATACATGCACACGCCAGGACTAACCGATGGGAATAGCACAAACGGTCGAGTACCTCGACTCGGGCAAGATAAAGACCAAGGGCATCGTCAACAAGGTGTTCAAGCTCGAGCAGTTTGGCGAGGCACTCGAGAGCATCCGGAACAAGACGGCCATTAAGGCGGCGATCGTGTTCGATGACTGAACATACGGAGCACGTTGATGGATGCCCGTTTCATGAGTTGCGTACCAGGCCACCAAGTAGGGCATGCATGCCAGAAAGAACGCTGTTGAGCCAATAAAGTTCAATTGAATAGCATTACCCAAACCGAAACCCCAATTCTCCTCTCCGTCTATAAAGATAGCTGTCTGTAAATGCGATCGACCACCGAACCGTCAACAAGAAAATGGCCATGCTTTGTAATACCTTGTATGTACAGACCGACACGACAGAACATACATGACTGGATAGATGCTGTATTCGAGAGCGAGGTCATCATGCTCAGGTGCGTATGTAGCCATGAGGCTTAAACAGGAAGGGCTTGCTTGCCCGACCGCCTGCTCTTTTGCTGTCCGAAAGAAACGAAGTGACCAGAGGGAAAAAAAGAACAAGCGATTGTTATGATGACGCCCGAGACATGCTGCAATGATATGTTGACGTGACATGACACCAGCTGTATGCCATAAGACCCTTTGAAGGCTGGCCACAGGAATAAGAAACAGCGGATGGCCGGCCAGCCAACCCATTCGAACGATCGTGATTAAAACGTGAAGAGTGATGAAGTGGCAATTCTAATCACGCATGCCCCATGCCGGCTTGAGCGTCTTGCCCATAGCCGCTTGTGTGAAGACTTGGTCACCAGGGAGCCTGCTGACGCGTCCCGCACCAGCGCGAATGGCGTTGGCGTGCGCAGCCGAGAGTCCGCTACGGTTGCTCCGGATCGAACCGGCATCGCTTTGGTTGTCACCGTCAGTGAACTTGCGGGGCGGAGCAAAGTCAAGGCCTGTGAAGGTGCTAGACTTCCGGAGAAGGTGACTGTTGTGGTGTTAGCAAGGGCTCGACGAGAAGCAAAATACACGACAGCAACTTACGGGCTCGGTAGCGCGGGCAGCTCTTCAACGGTGTCCACCAAGGGCGAGTGCGCCGGCACAGGCATCCTGTAAGGGCGACGCTCCCCGGAAGGACTTTGAGAGCGACCACGGGCCCGCTCCGCAAACCCCTCGGGCGGCGCGAAATCAGCGGCGTTGAAGATGGCAAATGAGTCGTCTGTAAGCTTGGATGGGGTGGGGAGCGTAGGGAGGTCAGCAGGAGGAGGCATCGGCTTCCGGGGTCCGCCAAAGCGGCTGCCGGAACGGCTCCCCGACATGGCGGATCCGGCACGGACCCGGCCATAGGGGCCTGACGCCGATGATCCTGGGCGAGAGGGGCCACCCAACTGGTTAGACACAGACGAGCCCGGTCGGGGAGGACCCCGCATGTTCGGCGGGAACCTCATACCGGCTTGAGAACCGTGGGACACCCGCGGCGGTCCCCTCGGCCCCGGGAATCTCTGGCCTGAGGGCGGGGGTGTCATAGCCCTGCGAGATACGGGTTGTGCGTAAGGCATAACGAATGAGTTGCTGGCAGGATCGAAATACGGGGCATCCTGGGCATAGCCTGCGTCGTAATCCTCGTAGTAGCTCGTGTTACTTTGATGATGTTGGTGTTGGGAAGGCTGTTGCCCTTGTGGCCGTTGTTGCGGGTGGGGCGGCTGTTGTTGTTGCTGTCGCTGCTGTTGTGTCATCAGGGGCATCGGCGGCATCGGCGGCCTGTCCTCTGGCCTCAGAACATCTTCAAAGTACTCCTTGTAGAAGGAGCGGATACGGTTCGCCCTGTATTCGGGGTCCTCGGATTCCATGATTTCATCAGGCGGGAGCGGGCGGAAGCCAACGGAGAGACGGCGGTTATCCTGGTTAGGGACCCCCAGACCGCTCTGACGGGCCGCACTCTGTTGCTCAAACATTTGGGAGGTTCTCTGCATGTTCCGGCCTCTTGGCTCATCCACGTCGAGTTGGCCACTGGGGTTCGCCGGCGAAGGGGAGCGCTGGTCCCGCGGCATTTCTGGCATGTCCGCAAAGTCAAAATCATAGTAATCAAGAGGCTCCGGTTCTTCGATGATGGGCGCGGACATAGAGGTATGCTTGTTCGGCGGTGGGCTCGTCGTCCGGCTGTCGTATGATGATGTGGAAGACCGGATGGATGCCCGCTGAGGCTGGGGGTGAGAAGTAAGACCAAGGCTCACGGTCTGGGATTCAGTCGGAGTGGGAACTTCCTGGGCCACCGGCTTCTCGAACGGGTTATCGACAGCATCGTAATCCACAGCCACACCCGAATCGGCCGGGCTTGGCTGCATAGGCGATGGCGGAGGCATACCGGGCGACTTTTGTGCAACGGCGGGCGGTTCTTGGATAGCAGTTCCAATGGCAAGGTCTTCATCCTGGCTCCGAGGCGATCCTGCAGTCGCGGTTCCAATAGGCGGTAGAGGCCCCATCGGAGGGGCGCTTGGCGGCATGAGAGTCGGGTCTGACGCTGACTGATCTGGTTTCATGTGGCTCGGCTCAGGCGGCATAAGAGGCGACATAGGGATGGAATTCTGTCGGGAAGGAGAACCGTAGCCCCCGGGAGACATCTGCGCGGCATCCGCGCGGCTGCTTGACCGAGTGTACACCGAAGCGGCCTCATGTCCTTTGGAGAATGAGCGGATCGACCCAACGTCACTTCCGCCGAACTGCCCGGGCCGGTAGGGATCCTCGTGGGGGTGGAGCGTTTTGGCCAGAGAATTGAGGGATTCGCGCGAGTTGTGCACCTCAGGCGGGAGCAGGTACGGGCTGGACAGGTTCATATCCATCGACATTTGTTGGCGGTTGAATCGAGATTGGCCTGTTTCCTTCTCCCTGCTAATGAGGCTCTTGCGCGACCCTTTGGCACGGCCTCCCTCCAATCCGAAATCCAACGACTTGTGGGGATCATTCAGGTCCTCCATCCGCTGCTTCTTCTTATTTCTGAAATGGAGCCAAATAAAGACGGAGACGGCTGCGACAAGCGGAATGCTGCGGACAATGTAAGTTGAAGGCATTAGCAGGCCACGGTCTTGCGCACTTACCAGACTCCGAGAACGATAGCCAGTGTCATTGTGGACGCGCCGATCGGCTTCTTGCAAAACTGCGGATCCGGGCACTCGGTCGTTGACTCGGCCCGCGCAACCATAACGCGAGAGGGGACTTTAAAACCAAGGCTCGAGGTCGTCGTGGCCACATTATCGCGCCGTCTGACCGGGACTCGGGAACCCATGGCGTAGGCGCCCCCAGCAAACCCGCTCTCCATCATCGATACCCTCTGTTCTCCCAACACACGTTCTCAAATCCAAGTCCCAATTCGGTAATATTGGGTGAGCAAGTGTCGAGTAGTATGCTTCGGTTTGCGCCTGAAAAAGCTGCAAGAGGTTGTCGATCTTGAGCAGTGTGAAAGTGCGTTGTCATAACAGTCGTGCCACAGAACGGGAAAATGGCGAGAAACCCCTGGCCCTCGGCGAGCAGATGGAAAACAAGACCAAATCCAACCTCGAAAACCCCGCAACGCGTTTACTGTAAATTCGCGGATTATTTTGGGAGTAGACCACCAAAAACCCAAAGCCCCAATCTAAAATGAATGTCGTGACAGGCGAAGGGGTCGTCGCTTGTCGGTGTGAAAATGAATGGCGCGCCTGTTGGCAAGATGGTGAGTTGAAAAAAGGAGTGACAGATCACACGTCTGGCGACGATGTGAAGTTGGTGTTGCCGTCGAGGCTTCGGAGGCGTGATCGGTGCTCCGGAGGGTTGGGTGCAAAGGAGTGGAAGGGGGGAGGTGGGAAAGAGCGTGGGAGGGAGGTGGTGAATTAGGGATTAGGTTTGACGGTTACGGGAGGAAGAAGGAGCTGGGACGGGAGCACCTTCCGCAGGCTAGGCCCTGGAGCGACGGCACGATCAAGGCACCCCTAGCCTTTTCCATCGGTTCCCAAATCTCCGTTGAGGGACTCAGGGATTGCTGGGCACAGCCAGGCACAGGGGCTGGCCAGGGAGGCTCTGCGTCCACCGCTTCCACCGCTTCCACTGTCTTGCTCTTGTTGACCTGGGCCCGGTAGTGGACGAATAGAAATTGCTAATTTCGTCTCAATTAAAAAAGGGGGAGTGGTGCTGACCCACCTCGTGGAGATCCGCCCAGGGTCGTCCCCAATCACATCGATGCGGGCTGGTTCTTCGCAGCTGCACGCGGCTTTCACCGTTGCACTGGTCCCGCCCGTCAGAGCCTGCAGCCCCGCACAAACCCCAGGCCAGATGCAGGAACGGATGACCAGTCGCGCTAACTCATTTCGCCTGAAAGGGGAAGAAGCATGTCTCCAGGCCCATTAATCAGGGGCAGTTGGACTTTTGTGAGCTCATTTTGATGCCAAAAAAACCTACTGCGTGCTTCGTCGAACAAGGCACTCTGTTGGAGAGAAGGTTTTTTTTTTTTTTTTTTTTTAATCGGTGGCGTTGGGCCGATGTTTGGAGGAGCGGTTCGTCCGATATTTTTTGGGGTTCCCGTCCGTCCCGTTCTTGTTTGTTTCTTCCGTCCGAACTCTGCTGCCCGAGCTGTTAAAAGTGTCCGAAAGTTTGAAACAACGGCGGGCTGTGTGTGGTTGGTTTACCGAAGCAAGCAGCAAACTTGCATAAGGAATACAGCAAATACTTACATATGTACGTACATGTGTGGTAGATGTGACACGGCATAATCGCCCGGCTGCTTACTCTAATTGAGCGGTACTCTATTTTTCAATGTTGCAAATGGTCGCTCTTCTGGGATTCCGTCACCAATTGCCGCCGAGACGCGCGTGCAGCAGCTGCGCGACACATTTCCTTCACACCAATGACGTACAAGTACCTCGCTTAGCCACGAGGCCTGTTCCCACTTTTGGGTTGTTGCTTGTGGGCGATGGATGCCATGCATTCGATCGTCTTGTAGCCGCGGCGGGCCTCTCCGGCAGTCCAAGTGATACCTGAGCATTGTGACAACCCGGTAACTGGTTGTAGTAGTAAAGGGTATAAAGTGTGGATATCACCCATGGCTATGAGATCGCGTTGAATAACAGACCCATATTCGGTCTCAGGTGGTGGCCGCAAACTCTTATTTCACCCTCGACCTCGTTCCCAGAACCGTTGCGTTGCGTGGCCAGCATCTTTATTTAGGTAGTCTTATAAAACTCTGGCGCATACTCTAACAACCAAGACTTCTCGATCCGAGTGATATCCCGTATAAACGTCTTGTTTCCCGTTTCCATAACCTCGTGGAAGATGACCCACTCCGCCTTGCGGTTGAACATGATGGAGCTCGGATGAGCGTGGAGCACCGTCGTCCCTGAAACATTCCGGAACGTCCCATCTGGCTGCATCCTCGCGGCATGAGCGAAGTAGCCTGCTGTCAGACACCGCTGAATCTGCTCCGCTTTGTTGCTCGCCGTCGAGGTGCTATGTGCCGCGAGGGACTCGTCAACGTTAAGGCCGAATCGCTCGAGGTACCGCTTTAGTTGAGCCCGGATACTAACCGCCCGCGCCATCAACTTGAAGTTGAGGAGGTTTTCGTGACAAAAGCGGGATTCTTTACGACCCTTTGTCACGAACGCTTGGTAGACGTTTAGAAGGGTGAGCTGGTCGCCTTCTTCGGCAGCGAATTTCCGTTTTGCGCTTTCCGTCTTCTTCTTCTCCCCTTCATGCTGGATCCAGATGTTCCCGCCGAGACTCGTCATGGCTGCTATCGTCAGGATCTCACTCAGACAGCCGAATGATTGTGCCGAAAGAAGTGTCTTCGCCATCATAGGCTCAACCGCCAGCTCAGCCATCCGCAGGCCCAAGGGCCTGGTGAGCTTGGCGTAGTCATCTAGTGCCCCGAGTGAGTACAGCAGCTCCAGCCCCCTGACCATCAGCTCGGCTGGGGGTGGCGCGAGGAAATCGAATCTCAGGACGTTGTCTATGCCCAGGGCTTTGAGCTGGAGAACGAAGGGCGCAAGGTTTGAGCGCTGTATCTCTGGGATATTGGCCTCGGGCAGTGACTGATACGCCTCCTCGGTGTATAGTCGGAAGCACTTGCCGGGTTTTGTTCGGCCGGCCCGTCCTGCTCGCTGTGCTGCCGATGCCTTGGAAAGAGGGGTTGCTGTCAAGCTCTCGATTCCCGTTTTCGGGTCGTAGGCGCGAAGTTTGACAAAGCCGGAGTCCACAACGTAGACGATGCCGTCGATCGTCACGGATGCCTCGGATATGTTGGTAGAGAATATAACTTTTCTGAAGTTCTCGGAGCGCTTCCTCGAACACGTACATTTGCTGATCTGTGGGTAGGCCGGCATAGAGTGGCAAGGGTAGGATGGCTTGAGAACCCGGGGGAAGCTGGGATGACCGTTCAGAGATGGCTTGGACAGCCTGCTCAATTTCGTCTCGCCCGGATTAGGAAAACGAGGATATCACCCTTGGGTTCGTTGGTGTGGATATCGATAACTGTGGAGACGGCTTTGTCGAGATAATCCTCGGCCGGCGAGTCGAGATAGAGGATGTCTATGGGGTAAGTCCTCCCTTCCAAGCTGACAATGGACGCATTGTCCCCATTCTCCTTGCCGTTGGGCGTTTCTTCTTTGGGTTCTGAGAAGAAGTTGCGGAACTCTTCTGCTTGAAGGGTTGCGCTACTGATGATAATCCTCAGGTCTGGCCGTTTCTTGCGGATCTTCTTTAACAGCCCCAGCAAGATATCGGAGCTGATGGATCTCTCGTGGGCTTCGTCCACCATGATCACAGAGTAACGGGAGAGCAGAGGATCCACTAGGGCCTCCCGTATGAGAAGACCATCAGTGAGAAACTTGATGCGGGTGGTTTCGGACGTGGCATCTTCGAAGCGTATCGAGTAGCCAACCTCTTTTCCAACATCACATCCAAACTCTTCGGCGACCCTGATCGCTACCGTTGTGGCAGCAACGCGCCGTGGCTAGAAGACACCTGGTTAGTGCCGTCACCAAACAGTACCCGGGTCATGCGATAAAAACATACCTGAGTGATGCCAATAATCTTCCCATCAGCACACCATCCAGCGCGCTCGAGGAACTGGGGAATCTGTGTGCTTTTGCCAGAGCCTGTTTGGCCCACCACAATTGTCACAGGGGATGTCTCAATGAGATACAACAGAGACTTGCGGTGTTTCGCTATTGGCAAAAGCTCTGCAGGTTTGTGGAGGGCAGGGATGAAAGCTGCGCCGAGGTCAAAGTCCGCCATGGTACGAGAGACCCTAACAATGGCTTTGATGATCCAAAGCTTCGAGTCGTATTTTGGCCACCGCACCACCAAGTCGATGCTCTCTTTTAGTCTCAATCCACACTCGCACCTACGACTTTGTGAGGAAGAAAAGGATGCAAGTGGCAATAAACCCTAGCCCGAGAGCATACCGTTTTCATCAACAAACATCTTTGCGAATGCGGCTTGTTGGCACAGTGTTGGAGTTCGACAATTATAAGGCAAGTCCGGCGAATCGGCTGCTTGAATTGGGACTTGTGCAAGTGGGGTGACCATGTGAGACGACCCAAACCACCTCTGATTGTGGCCCACTCAGCAAACACAAACCCAACTCTTCGTGCATCCCCTTGCAAGTCCCTTCGAGCCATACACAGAGCGTTAAATAACAACATAAATGAATGATATCATGGAACTACTGGAAAAGAGTAGTGTGGGGTTGTTTTGCGCTTTGTTTTATCAAATTCGGGTTCGATTTGACCGAGAAGTTTAGCTTCAAGATAGGGAGTTGCGTGTAACAGGTATTCGTACCGCCCAGCGGTTTTGCATGTGCCTTTCATGGAATCTGTTGGTGCCTTAGGCTCCGAGCATCTCAGGCCCACCCAGACTTGCCCAAAGCCTGGTGCAAGAAGCAGACCTTCTGCTCTGTACCTTCCCCGGCGTTGGAGTCGACCTGAAAGGTGCCGACACCATTTCAGATAAAATCTGTGTCCGGCTACAGTGGGTGAGGTTTGCAACCCAAAATTCCCATCGACGCCCTTCCATTACAATCCTCTGCAGCGCGATTTGAGGCCTCCTCTGCAACGAGAGGACTGCGACGGAAACTCAGGTGCAAATATCCCATCCCGTTCGGGTGACATTTTCTTGCCAACCACAGGGTCGGATACTCTGTGTTTTCCTTTTTGTGTTTATTTTATTTCGGGCTATTATCCTGCTACCGCTGCGCGTGTTTTCCTTATTCTACGCCCGGCTTGGTTGCCTTCAGGCCCCAAGAGTCGCCTTTCCCGTCAACACGAGAGCAGCCTTGTGCGCCTGCAGCGCGAGTTTCCGGCCGTGGTAGCCGGGATCGACGCTCGCCGCGGCTGCCTCGTGTCTGACGCTGATTTGGCAAGACGATTGTTGCGTACATGTTGCGCTGTGGTAAACTGATGAATTATCGATCCCGATGGGAAGAGAAAAGAGAAATGCCCCCGGCGTGGGCATCGGCGACCACGCCAAGGAACGGCACAAGAGAGACCGCAAAGGCAACTTGATAGACTGGACAGCGCCCCTGCCGCCGGGCTTGGGTGGCAAGGCCCGAGAAAACCACAGGTTAGCTCCAAGCACAAATCGTGGGTTCGAGTTCATCGAGAACAAAAGAGAAAAAGAAGAAGGCTTGAATTTGAGGTATTCGGGCTTGCACCGCTTTCACTCACCCTTTCGAACGAGCCGAGAACACTGACCTGGCCGCTAGTTCACCGAAAGGAGGGAGCCGCCACCGGGTTTCGAGTTTGTTCCTATCGGGAATCCGGCTCTGACAACGGCATGCAAAGAGCTCTCCCGCGAGCAGGATGCTATGATATTCATCGTCACGGTTTGTAACGACCATTCCTCGCCGCTGTCTCTAGGGCTCACACTTTGCCTTGCCAGTCGATGAACGGGCTTTCCAAGAGGCTCAGCTCTCATTTAAACAGGGTCGGCCACCACGTTCGGCAAACTATCGTGGAACAGGCACGCGCAACTCTCGGAGATGACCAGTTTGAGGCCATTAGCGGGGCCCCCGGTCTACCCGAGCCCATCCCGGAGAGGCAAGAGGACGTTAACAAGCAGGCTGACGCAGCTATAAGGGATTTGTTTCCTCGCATACCCAATACCGATCGCCAGACGATCATCGAACATGCCTTCAATAAGGTAAGTTCAACCCCCCAGTCCCACAAGCTGAATGATCTCAGAGATCCATAAAGTGCACCATCTCACCCCGAACCCGTAGTCGAGGCCGACCGGCAAGGATGGCCCACCAGTTGGGCTTGCTCCTGATGTCACCCTCTCACGCCGTGTCCAGTTGGCGGTTCTTGCCCATATCCGGCACAACCATACGAGGTACGACCAGTTGCTGAAAGAAACGGCCTACGTCAACGCAAGGAAGGCCGTTGAATCGCTCTGTCTCGACATCCTGGTCAAGTGGCGAGGAGACGAGGAGACAGGACGGGACCAGCTTGACGAGATTCTCTGCGAGGTTATTGTCATCTCAGACTCCGAGAGCGGCGACTCTGACTCCGATGACTCCGATGATTCTTCCACCGTTTCATCGGCCGACGAGGGCCCCGTGGACCGCGTGATGGGAGACAGCGTGCCAGTCCGGACAGAGCTGCCAGCCGTGAGCCTACCGCAGGCCTCGTTGGTGACCAGCAGCTCTCGGAGCGAAGGGCTTCGAGCGAACCACGCCCCACAAAAGGTCATGAAGACCGCTCGCAAAGACAAGAAGGCGGTCAAGTGGGGACAGCGAGGCTTTCAGCGCTACCAAGCGGCCCGAGATCAGGCCTGGCATCAGGCCGTAGAACGGCAGCGGCTCGAGAACGACGAGCCGATGACTTCCAATGGCCCCGGGGCTGCGGACGGGTCTGCTAGTCATGGGCCACAGCAACGGCGGACGGACGAGCCCGGTCGCCCAGACTCCGGAATGGTGACCCGCAACCAAGCGGAGTCAGCGTACCATGCTCACCGCCCCTATGTCAGCCCTGTGGCTCCTGTAGATGTGCCTCACGGGCCTGGGCACTGGGCCAATGAGCCTCAGAGGACAGTTCCGGCGACGACATACCATATGTCGCAGCAAATTCGCACTCGGGAGTATACCCCCAGCAGTGGGTTCAGGCCTATAGTTGGGTCTCGGACCGCCCCATTTGGGGCTCCTGAGATTGAGCGCGCGGACCACCATGGACAAGATCTCAAGGATTATCTCCTGCCATCCATTGAGCCTGCTTCTCCGGGGGCGCCAAGTCAGCCCTATCGATCCCCCGTCTTATATCGCCCGCTTGAGCCCGGCCTCTCCTATGCCGGGCAGAGTTCGATCGGCAGGGTAACTCAACATCCGGGGGAAACCGTTGGTGCCGTTACCACCGCTCAAAATGGCCGTCCTGACTTTGTAGAGGAAGGCTTTATCAAGCTGCCTCCACGTTCGGGCCCAACTCGGATGTCCCTGGCCCCCGAGCAACACCGGCCCCCCGAGCAAAGCCGGGAACCTTTTATTTTGCTGAACCCTCAAGACTCTAGCGCAACAGGAAACAGTGGCGCGGCAGCTATTCCTAGCGGTTTAAGCTCTCGGCATCCCTCGACACGGTGGGATGGTGCCACGGCCCGTGATGACTTGGACCTGCGGCCTGGGAGACGGCCGGTCTGGATTGGGCATGACGGGGCTATCCTTAGATCGGAGTCCCGGCCGATCATAATCCAGGACTACGCCCCACCGCCTAGGGTGCCGCCGCGGCGCATGGACTCAACGTTGGACAATCGCCGCCCGTCCCCTATCCAACGGGCCGATGTTCGCCATCTTGGCCGTGGGTGGATGGATGACCGCGACAGACTACATGTTGATTCTAGCATCTCCCAGCGGATTCAAAGTCTGCCAGGCGAGTTTGTGGAAATCGTTCGAGTTTCTAATAAGTTCCCCCGGCAGCACGAACCGCGCCCAGCCCCCGCGGAAGCAGGCCGGTACGGGATGTGGCCTGCTGCACAACAGCAGGGCAATCAACAACAACAGCCGGTCGGCGGTTCTGCGCGATACGACGCTCGGCAACTCCCTGGCCCAGGACAGCGAATCGAACGAGTCGTAGGGAGGGTCGAGGTCCCTGTGTTCCACGACGAATATGTGCCTTTCGCCGCCCAGCAACCCCAGGGGTACCCGAGGCAGGAACGTGTGGCTGGGATCGAGTATGTCCGCCCCCATCCAAGGTAATGAGCTCCCATACTTCCCACATACTGCCTAGTATTTACCAGATGCACAGCCTCGAGGCTCGTACCCAAGCGGGCGGTGGCCCCTTTTATGAAATGGGAGACCCCATTTATCGATCCCGTTCGCATTCGGTGGCGGCCCCAGCTTACCCGGGTCCTCCGTACCAGCCGCATGTCGGGCGCCCTACCCCCAGGAGGGATGACATGATCACGTTAGATTGAGCGGCTGGTTGTAGGCCTATGTGGGAGGCCTGCTCGACAAAGCCCTTTGAGGCTTGTATCCACACTGTTGGACATCTATGCATGTACATAATCTCGTTGCACCTTCGAGAACCAATTGTATTTTACCGGCAACTGTTTTGGCGGACATTTTGTGGTAGGAAGGCGGGCGTTGTGGATTGGCGAACGGACATGCGATACCATGGGACCTGGCTGGCGATGGGTTAGTACAGCTATTGTTTTTTGTTGGGAAGGTTAACGGGCATTGGACGGTTGCTTAGGGCCTCGGTGTATTGTTTGTCGATAGACCCAACGGACTTGATGTACGGTACACTGAGGAAACAAACCTGATCCGTTTGTTGTGGCATCTTGTTTCGGACCATGGCATTTGGTGCCGCTCCTTTGGAGCACCTGGATTCAACTACAAGTCTAAGCAGGGACAATATAGGCTCACTGATCACCAAAACGAATATTCAAACCACTAGCGCCATACATGCATCCAATGCTTTACCCCCAAACTCCTCATCCCCGTTTATCAAGCCAACATCGCCTGTCTCTCCGTCTGGGCGTTCCGGCCGGCCTGTTCGGCTTGCGCCTCCTCCCCCACATTATTCTGGGCCGGCAGCTGGGTATCAGGTACGTTCGGTAGCCGTTGCGGCCTTTCCTTCTTGGAAACCTCGGCCTCGAGCGCGGCAAGCTCATCCTCGACCTCTTCTTCATCCTGCACGGATATCCTACCCGCGATAATCTCGCTGACTTCCTGTTTCCAACCCGAGGTTTCATTAGCACACGACAAAAACAATTCCGCAAGGTAAACCAAGAATCCAAAAGCCAAGGGACCACAAACCCTCTGATAAGCAATCGCCTCTTCCGTCTCCCCCATCAACTTCTCCACATTCTCGATCCCCCCCATCTCCGCATGGATCTCCTTCAGCACGCTGGTGCCCTGCTGCAGGCCGAACAGCACGTCCTTCTGGATGAGCGCGAACTCGACCGACGACGTCAGCCGCTCCAACTGCTCCAGCTGCGCGTCCGTCTTGGCCAGTAGCGTCTCCTGGTACTTCTTGCGCCGCAGCGCCAGCAGCGCCCGCGACTTGTCGCCCTTGGCGAGCAGCTGGCGCGCGGCTTGGGTTTCGCGGTCGGTGAGGTGCGTGATGCGTCGCTGGTATTGGTGCAGGCGGTCGCGTTGGATTTTGAGATCGAGGATTGCTCTGTTCAGGCGACGGGTTAGTCAAGGTACGAAGGCAAGGGTGGTGGGTTGATGTCGGAAGGAACGGACTGGTCTTGGGCCGTTATACGGCTGGAAGAGTTTCCCATTGTGACATTTGGGTCGGTCGATCGGTTTGCGTGCTGCAGGGGGGGGCGTGGTTGTGGGGGTGGAGGGCTGATTACTGGTATGTCCAGCCCTCACTGATGTCGTGATAGTGGAGGGATGGAAGAGTGGTGGTTTGGAGCGCCGAGACGTCACTCATGCGCGGCTTGAACAGGGATTGGCTTGCTACATAATACTCGGTTCCTTCAAGAACCTTGTCAAACGAAGCCGGCTCCGACAACGGGCTCATTTAAGAAATTATGAGCAGCAACTCGCTTGCAGTTGTATTTATTACTTCGATGTGGAATATTGCCTTTAATATTGCTTTTCTACCCAAACGAGGTTTTCATATTTGGCATAATGAGTAGCGAGTTTATGCTAGGGTACTTGTGTGTCCCAGCTGGCTGCCTTATCGATAGTCGTAAGCTGGGTGTGGCTTGAGGGGTGGGCCGCATGAGGGGCTACGTAATCTAGGCACATGCGACAACTGCAAAGGCGACATTCCTGAGCAGACCTGGCAAACAAGCCTCATTCCTTGATAAACGCTCAAGTTTCAATCAAAGGAAACTGACTGCCACCCTACGTCTTTCGCTTTCATAATTCTCACCCCTCATTTCCCAAAACTACCTAGATTAGACGCCTCGAAATGTCCGCCGAAGCGGTAAGGAGAACCCCTACCCGCGCCCCTAATTCGATGCGCCTCCTGATCTGCGGAATGTCTCAGCTCACATATGCATTTTTAGACCAAGACGCCCTCGGCGCCCGAATCTCCTACGACTGCGAGACCTCTCGAGATGGACGACGACGATGTTCAAGAGCAGGGAACGTTGAATGTCGAGGACACTGCTGCCAAGTCCAACGCGGCAACAACACCCGCCTCAGCAAACGCCACCACCACCGCCGGCTCAGACGAGGCTGCTCCGCCGAGACCTCCCCGGCCGTTGACCGAGGAACAAAAGAGCCAACAGATGTTGAAGGAAGCATTCCCGACCGTTGACGATAGCGTCATTAAAGCGGTACTCAGGGCTAGCGGCGGGCGCATCGAGTCTGCTTTCAATGCGCTCCTCGAGATGACAGACCCTGATGCCGCCGAGCGGGATCGTCCACCTCCGCCACCACCGAGGCCGGTCGCAGACCCGCTGGGGCCTACCTCCACACACCAGTCGCAGCTCGAGGCCGACGAGATATACGCGCGCCAGCTTGCAGAGCACTATGAGAACGTTGGCGCATACGAGGCCAGGACTGCCAACCGAGGTCATCCCGGTGGCGGCCATCCCCGCCGGCAGCAGACCGGTCTTGGGCCGCAGGACGACCCCTATGACCGCGAGCACAGCTTCATCGACGATGACCTTCCCGTTATCAAGGAGAGCCTGCGCAAGGGTTTCATGGAGACACAGACCAAGGTAAACACGTGGTTCACGAATCTAAAGAAGAGGATCGACGAGCAGTTCGATGAGGAGGATGAGCGTAACAACCATGAAAGTGGCCAGTTTCACGGACGACCAACTCGCGACCACACGCGGAGGAGCAATGACTATGATCGCTATGATGCGGACCCCGAGTTGCTAAGCGACGATTTTGCGGGGATGAAGTTCCGTAGTGACGGCAGTAAGTTGATTGTGTAATCATGGCCGACCGGCATCCCAATTAACTTACTTTGATAGCCCCCATCCAGCCCCAACGGCCGTTCAGCGGCAGCAACCCGAACCTCTTCAAGCCACCCCCGCCCTCCAAATCCCCTAAGCCAGGCGACGGCAGGAAAGTCTCATTCCGCGACACGGTCGAGGACATCGACGCTTATAACGCGTCGCCCAAGATTCCGCCAAAGGACGCCATCCCTCCGGGCCCCGGAGGCACGGCGAAGGCAAGCAAGTGGCAGCCCCTGTCCTCGGTCGACCCCAACCCGATCGTGGAGAATGATCCGTTTAGCCTCGGGGACAGCGACGACGAGCGGGAGATGAAGGACAAGACAGCAGGGGCCAAGGAGATTAAAATGGAGGATACCGAGCGGCTGAAACAGGCCACAGCGGACGCGATGGCGGACAGCTTGGTAGAGGACAAGAGCAAGGGGGACGGTGGTAGCGGGGGTGCTGCAGGTGCTGGTGCTAAATAGGGTGCGGAGGCACGTGCTTCCATGTGGTTACTGAATATTCAGCGTTGGTTGTTAACCGAGATCGGTTTTGGTTTTTCTGAGTCCCTGTCTTTGGGTTGTGTAACTTCGGGGTTAACTTCGCTACACCTGTTCACCCGAACATTGGCCGTTGCTGACCTCGAAGTGGCATCCAATCCCACGAAGACCTCCACAGCATTATTGAGAGTGCTACGCCGTCTCCATTTGTGAGCCGTAGCTCACCGAATAGGGTCCAATGTCACCGGCTCAGCTCCGCAGTGATCACTAGTCGGCGCTGGCAAAAGGACGAGGGACAGGCTCTTAGTGGAGCCAATATCAGCGGCTGTTTGTCCACACTTTTTGGAGCCCATGCCGGCATCACCAACCGCCGGGTGGTGGAATGACAAAACTTGCTAACAAGCTTTGCCAAGTCCTTCCGTGGAATGTTGTTAAAAGGGGTCGTACCCGACCCCCCACCTGCTTGGTTCTTCCCCCTCATTGAACCTCTGCCCCCCAAAAATGCCCCTCACCCGCTAGATCTGGCAGCATGCCCCGCAATGGAGCCGCGCCGTCTGGCGGCTTCCGATCTGTCAAATCCGCACATCGAATCAAGGAGAGCACATGTTTCGATCCCTCCACCCGATTGGCTGCCGAGGGAGGGCAGGAGACCGTTGCATCAAGGGCTGTTCTTGTCCTGCTTGCTGCACGCGTTGGAAGTTAGCGGCTCCTTGTTCCCAGAAGAGCGGAACTTGAACCACACGGGCGAGCGAGGCGAGCATGTGTTAGCTGTGTAACTCGGCTCACGAGGACTGCGCCCCTGCGCGCCTGAGTTGGGTATCCCGTGCTCGTGCGCCGCCCACAGTAATTTATTACGGTACCGTCTCTGCCTTGGATTACGTCTCTTTTGCTGTCCTGACTCGTGGGGGGTTGAGAGGAGGGGTTGAAAGAAAGACCAAGGATTCGTGATGCTGTCGGGCAGTTGGCGCCAAGCAGTAGCAGCCGCAGTAGCAAGCAGCACAACAGTGGTTGTTCGAAACGAAGACCGATGGGACGAAGTTTCATTTGCTAGTTCCCCTGCTTCTCTGCCTGCGCAGTGGGTTGAGGTAGGTCATGGTTTTCTATGCGTCGTGGCTCTTTCGTACCCGGGTAGGAGTTCTTTCCTCACCGAAATACATTACTCGTAGGGGACGTGCCACCGTGCCTTCCACGTTTCTCGGGGGGCTTGGCACCTGAATTTACAACACTTTCACCACCACCGAGACCCGGTCAGACGGCCGCCTGTCATTCAGCACCAGTGCCGACCCGACCGTCTCAGTAACTTTGGCTGACTTGGCATCCAGATCAGGGAAGTCGATATTCAACAGCCAGACCTGGGCATATCCGGGAAACGTCAAAAGATACTAGTACGGATACCCGGTAGTTTTCGAGGAAATACCGAATCTCTCCGCTCTTTTTTCCCCTTCTCTTTTCTCTCTTTTTTTTCCTTGACAGTGCCCATTTTCTCGTACTTGTCGCCCCAAATCACTCACACGAACGAACGACCGAACGACTTGAACAAGTTCTTTGCTTGCAGTTTTGGGCAAGCCCCCCTTCACGCCCGCAACCCACACAACCTACCCACAATCTCCAGAAGCATCCAAGACAATCTCGATACCCACCATCCCCTTCCATTGGTTTACTTGAGCTCCTCTGTCCCTCCTTCACCAATCACCGATTTCCTTCCTACATGAAGCCGCTGCTGGCAAGGTTGTGACCCTTATTTGGTTGAAAGCCTCCGTGGCGCAACCCTCACAATGTGAGTTTCACCTCGTTGATTTTCTAGCAAGCCCCTGCTAAACCTCATGCAGGAAATTCGGCAAGCACATCCAGAAGCGCCAGCTCGAGGTGCCTGAGTACGCCGCGAGCTTCGTCAACTACAAGGCACTCAAAAAGGTGCGTCGCCTTTCTTCCTCGCATCCAACATGCTGGCGTCGGTCTGCCTTAGGGCTGACTGAGAGACCAAGCAGGGCGAAGAGACAACACACGTCTGTACCTCACTGACACTCCACTCATAGCTCATCAAGAAGCTCTCGGCCACCCCTATTCTTCCACCTCAGAATGATGCCTCTCAACGCCCTGGGCCTGCCGACTCACAGGCTGCCCTGCAGGCAAACAAGGCAACTTTCTTCTTCCAGCTGGTAAGGATGGAGACTGGGATTTGGCCCTGGAAGCTGCTCACAATCGCCAGGAACGAGAACTCGAAAAGGTCAACGCCTTTTATTTGCAGAAAGAGGCCGAGGTGCGTTACTTCTCACATCCTACACTCTAATGAGATGCAATGCTGACCTCTCAATAGCTCAAAGTGCGTCTCAAAACACTCTTGGACAAGAAAAAAGTCTTGCAATCCCGCCATAGCATTTCCCGGCGGTCTGCCAAGTTCACCACCCTCCAAGAGGGCTTCCAGCAGTTCGCCAACGACCTGAACAAACTGCAACACTTTGTCGAAATCAATGGCACAGCCTTCTCCAAGATTCTCAAGAAGTGGGATAAGACTTCGAAGTCCAAGACAAAGGAGTTGTACTTGTCTCGAGCAGTCGAGGTCCAGCCCTTCTTCAACGCCACCGTTATCAGTGAGTTGTCGGACCAGGCCACGACGAGCCTTCAGGAAATCGGCGCTTGGGCCGATGGAGACAATGTCACCTTTGAGGGCCGTCCAGAACATGTTGTCAGCAGCCAACATTTGCCCGGCACGGATGAGGGGGATGCAGACACTCTACTCCTCGACACCGTCCTTTCTGGTAACGTGGAATCCCTCAAAGACTTGCTGGGCCGCGTGCGGGATACTGCCGACCCTAGCAACCCGTTGCTGGAGAGGTTTACGAGGACGTTTTTGTCTGCCATTAATGGGGCGCCGCGGGAAGCGCTGCAGTTGCTGCTTGAGACCGGCTTGGTGGATATACAGTCTGAGGACGACATCAACGAGCGGAATTGCCTGCACCAGGCGGCCATCTACGGAAACTCGTTTGTGCTCGAGTACGGCCTGTCAAAGAATGTGGCTGTCGACAGGAGCGACGTGTACGGGCGAGTCCCTCTCCACTATGCTTGCATGCATGGCCGGCTCGACATGATTGATACCCTCCTCTCAGGTACGAATTTATTGTTGTAATGAGTAAGTAGGCAGCATGAACTAACCAAGATGCAGTCGCGCCCGATACGATCAATCTGATTGACCACGACAACTACACACCCCTCATCCACTGCATCGTCCACAAGCACCTCGAGAGCGTTGGGAGGCTGCTTGAGCGGTCCGCCCGTCTTGACCCTGTGTCCGATACCGACCACGTCCCTCTCAATCTCGCATGCGAGCATGGGTCATTGGCCATCGCTGAACTCCTGCTCAAGCACGGTGCTGGGCTATTGGCCGACGCCGAAGGACTCTACCCGCAACACCTTGTGGCCAGGTCAGGGCAGACGCCGGAGCTGCTCCTTCTCCTCAAGAACTATGGAGCAGACCTGGACCAAATAGACAAGCTCTACGGGTGGACTCCGCTTGTGCATGCCGCCAGCGAAGGAAACGTCCCCTGCCTCCAAGCGCTTCTTGACATCGGCGCGGATCCTAGCATTTTGGATGAAAAGGAACTCCCAGCACTGTACTACGCAGCCTGGGAAGGCCATCTGGAGTGCATGAAACTGCTCACGCCGTTCAACCGGGTCAAGAAATCCGAGCCGCAGGCATCGGGTCCCCTGGCCCCCATGATGGGCAGCAGCGCACCCATCCCCATGTCCTTGGATATGGACGCAATTCCTGTGCTCGAGCTTCCGCCTCCCATCATTCCCCTACGGCGTTATGGTCATAATTTCTTGGATACCAAGACAGTCGTGCAGCTCAACTTCGGCCTCAACGGAGATCAGCCGCTGGTCTTCTTCCACGATAGCAAGTATCCCGCGGCGCGGCTTACCATCTCATCCAAGGTGTCCGACATCATTCCGAAGAACGTCTTGCTTCCCTTCCACGAAGATACTCGGCTTGTCTCGTTCCAGATCGACAACTTTGATTCCTTCACGCTCGACTTTGATGTCTTCCCGGCCTACGGTGCTAAGGTCATTGCCAAAACGGTCGCGCTACCCACCACGTTCCGAGCTCTATTGAATAGCAACACTGGGAGTTGCTGTCTCCCACTGTTCGATCCACGGTTGCGCGCCATCGGACAGGTCACGTTTGAAGCTCAAATAATCAAACCGTTCCAGGGCAAACCGCTGGAGATTACGGATTTTGAGACCTACTGGAAGGCGACAAGCCAGGTGGACACGGTCTCTATGACACCGGCCATGACCAGCAGCACGTTTGTGACAGGGTCTAGCCTCTCGGGCGATTTTGTTCGCATATACGTACAACATACAAATGACGGTGTCCCGGTGCTCTGGCCGCAATGGACTGTCAGCTGCGGCGGCATTGATGTGCCCGTGTCGCAGTTGACGCTCGCCCAATTCCGCACCGCCACGGGCAACGGGCCGCATTCTCCTCTTCCTGCTGGTGATATCACGGCAATTCACCAGATCCTGGCGTCCTCGGGAGGCATCACGCTTCAGGACGCACTCAACCTTCTCCCGAAGGACATGCACGTTAACATTCAAGTGCTGTACCCGACGGCCGAGGAGCGGGAACAGTTGTCCCTCAAGGGCTTAGGGCTGAGCGCCGACCTCAACGCGTCCATCGACAGCCTGCTCGCCGTCGTGTTCGACCACGCCCGCGCCCAGCGCGCGAAGGGGCAGGGCCCGGAGGCGGTGCGGTCGGTTGTGTTCAGCTCGTATAACGAGAGCGTGTGCACGGCGTTGAACTGGAAGCAGCCCAACTTCCCGGTTTTCTTCTGCAACGACCTGGGGAGGCAGCCGCAGGACGGGCATGGGGAGACGGATCACAAGGGGGTCTCGATCAAGGATGCGGTCAGGGCGGCGCAGAGTAACAACTTCATGGGGTTGATCTGCTGTGAGAGGTTGTTGGTAAGCTATCTTTTTCTCAGGGGAACCGTCGCAAATGCTAACGATGATAGGATATGGTTCCCGCTTTGGTGGACGCAATCAAGGCGCACGGGTTGGCGCTGGTCGTTGACAAGTCGGGCACATGTTCCGGGGCGAGCGGGGTCAGCAACCCGTTGGACCCGTTCCCGCGGTTACCGAAGGGAGTAGACGGGGTTCTCAAGGGGAATGGCGTGTTACGGTTCAACGAGTCGATAGACGTGTAGGGGGCGGCGGTGTTTGCATGGGTTTGTTAGGATTCAGGGTACACAAAAGGAGACGGATACATCGGCACCGTTGAAGTGGCGTGTCACTGTAATTTCACTGTCTATATTTCGAGCCGGGGATATCATACCATTTCCAACCAACGCCGCGCGATGCTGACACCCCATAAATCCACCTTAATAACGCCCAACCTCGCTGACCATCCCACCAACCGACTCAGGCGCCCTTGTATCCATACTTGTACCTGCTCAGCTCCCTCTCAGGATCAATCCCCGCCATGGCCACTTTCGCGCCGACAATGACCGCGAACACCACCCCCGGCAGCGCGCCCAGCAGGAGCGAGTTAAACCCAGGGGCCTGCGGCCCCATCTTCACCCGCTGCAGCATCCCCGTCAACAGCGCCAACTCTTTTTATTTGTATATTAGACCGCGACACATAGTCCTCTAGCGGCGACTGGTGTCTTCGTGCGCAAGAACCAAGAATCGCTCCTCGCTGTGTTCTCTCTCCCGCCCCGCAGCCATATCCATAACCCCTCGATGAGACAGAACCAGAGCTAGATCCAGCCCCAGACCCAGACCCAGACCCAGACTCGGGAAGGGCATCCATCCCCGCAAACCCCGTCTCGGTCACCCCCAGCCGCGCCAGCAGCAATCCTGTCGCGGCTAGCGAGGACATGCCAAGGAGGGGGAGGAGGCGGTGGGGTTGGGTGGGGAATGGGAGGATGAGGTCGAGGAGGAAGGGGATGGCGGAGAGGCCGGGGAGGACGTAGACCAGGTGGTGGGTGGTGGCGTTGCGGGCTTTTTTTTGGGTGGTGAGGGGGGTTATGAGGGTTTCTTTTTCTGTTGGGTTGTTGGTGTCGTTAGTGGATTGTTTTGTTTTTTTTTTTTTTTGGGGGGGGGGGGGGGGGGAAGGAGAAGGGTTTACCTTGCTCGTCGAGGATTTCGGCGGTGTCGTCGTCGTCGTCGGAGGGGTAGTGGAATGGGTTGCGGGCACGGACCGCTGGGGTGCGTTTTGCCATGGTGCTTCTGCTCTCGGGTTGGAGCGTTGGGGTTGTGGTGTGGTTGTGTTGGTCGTTGGAGAGGATTGGATGAAGCCTTGTGTAAACACGGCGAGGCTGAGAGGGAGTTTACGCGGTTTGGGCTGCAGCAGGAATGACGTGAATGGTGGGGGTGCGGGTAGTTACTTGGTAAATGAATATTTTCCATATAAATATCGGGTACATAACTGTATCGAATCCTTAGGAGACCACGCCGGACGATGACAGTTTCAAACCAAAATTTTTGAATTACAGTATGAGATGAAACATATTCAACCATCCGAGATAGCAGTCTTGATATCCTGAAAGCTGTCAACCAACAACTGTGCCCTAAAAGCTCGACATCCTAGTACGATACCTCCCCTCACGCGCTGGGCCGCTTGGACGGCCCAGCCAGCACCTCGACCATTGACACCGGCTGCAAATCCCTCTGCCGCGCCCTCAGCACCTCCAGCGCCACCAGGCTCAGCAGTGTAAATCCCAGGATAAAAAGCGAGACCAGGTTCCAGCGCCACGCCCGCATAATAGTTAAATTGCCGTTGATAACCCTCCGCTGATTGGCGCTCGCCAGTGGCAAGTCCAGCACGGCGGCATACCAGTTCTCGGGCGTCCACTTGTCGTCGGGGTATTTGGCAGGCGGGGGGTTCGCGCGAGCGACGCCGAGGTCGATGACTTGACCGCCCGTCTTGGCCGTCTCGACGAAGGTGTAGATGAGGGCGACCATGGTGAGGAGGAAGCTGAGCAGGACGAAAACGGCCCAGATGTGGAAGAAGGGAGAGGATCGGTCCCACTGGTTGCGGGTTTTTTGTTAGTGTCGTGTTGTTTGCGGGGGGGAGAAAGAGAGAGAGAGACTTACCTTCTTCCGTACCCGTCGCTCCAGCCACAAGGCGATGCTCCCGCCGAACCCGACTAGGATCAGAGCTGTTCCGCCAGCTGCGTTGGCCGTGTGGCCTTGGTCAACGACTAGATTCGCCGGCTCGCCGGCGAGGAGGAACGGTGATCCGTCTGCAGGGGCGACGGCAAAGGGGCCGCGGCCGTTCCGATGCAGGAAAGAGACCATGTTAGACACTAGTCCCATGGTGATGGCGGCATCGACCGCGAGGAGGAAGAGGCAGAGCCCGATGGGGAACAGTAACGAGTGGCGAATCTTCATCATGGCTGACTATGCTGTCTAACAGAGCGTGTATTGCGCGAAGTTCAGGTCCCTGGTCTGGCCACTCGGCAGCTGGGCATTTAAACGGAGATAGGGGTAAGGGATATAGTCTGGGAACAGACAAAGGGACGGGTGTGAATAAGCCATGGCAGAAGGCATATTCTTGCGTGTTGAGGACGCAAGACAAAGAACCAGGAGTGGTGCTTGGGGTGTGGCTATCTCCAAAGGCGCAGGCGAGATGAGGGATCAAGGATCCATAAGCCGGCGTCGTCATGATTCCATGTCCCCACGGACCACTTGTAGGACTAGGAGGTCCTCACTTGTCATGTTTTCTGACCAGTCACATATTTCCGACCTAAGAAGGAGATAGTCGTTTCTTCAAGCATGGGTCATGGTAATGATTCAAAAGGTCCTGTACCATATCGTCGGGTTTTCAGTGGAGAAACACGGGATGAGAACATAGAAATGACCAAATGCGAAACCGTCGGCCAGCGATATGCCCGAGCCAAAGCAGTAGTTAATGCGTGGGCTGAAACGGAGCGGGACACGTGCGTGTCACCATCCGAAAAGAACAAAGAAATGATGAAAGAGAGGAGGCCAAGGAGAAGTGTTCTAGAAGGAGGTACAGGGGAGGAAGGAGGGGCCAAGTGCTGCCAAGGAGCTTGATAAGTGCATAACATGACTGTCATATGCACGAATTATTTGTAGCGCAGCAAGCTTCCTTATGTACCAAAGTGGGCTGAACCTCAGTCGATCAGTCGATTCCAAACCACCACACAATCCCAACCATGCTGTCGAGGTTAACCCAGCAAAGGACGGGCGCCCAAGCAGTCCTACTGCGGAGGAGGATAGTATCGACAGCCAGGAAAATACCACAAAACCCTGCCGCCCGACTGCAGCAAAAACGCACGCTCGTATCGGCGCCCAAACCCGGCGATGGGCCATTGATGGAGCGCCGTCCAGATCGAGAGCTGCCCAGTAATTCTCCCTTCTTATAACCCTCCCTCTCCGGCTGACGCACTCCCCCACACCACCCACACATACTAACCCCAAGCCCACAGGCCTCGAACAAACCACCTTCCGCTGGTCGCGCACACTGCCGCTCTTTGCGGCGGCGCTCATCATCGCCTCCATTTCCATCTTCAACTACCAGAAGCTCTCCAGCCCCGTGGTGGGCGCCACGCTGTACGCGCTGCGGACCTCGGAGAAGGCGCGCGCCCACCTGGGCGACGAGATCTACTTTGCGCAGCAGATCCCCTGGATCTCGGGCGAGATGAACCAGCTGCACGGCCGCATCGACATCACCTTCCGCGTCAAGGGCACCCGCGGCGGCGGGGTCATGCGCTTCACCAGCTTCCGGCCGTCGCCGAGGGGGATGTTTGAGACGACCGAGTGGAGTCTGGAGACGGATGACGGGGTGGTGATTGATTTGTTGGAGGATGGGGATCCGTTTAAGGCGATCACGGGTGCGGAGGGCCCGATCGAGATGGTGGATTTGGAAGAGGAGGAGTCAAGTGCCGCGGCGACGAGGGGGTTTAGGAAGATGAACAAGTAGGGCGGGTCTCTAGGCCGGACGCCGGCGGGATGATAGAAGGGTGACGGAGGGATAGCCAAGACAGGGGTTCTTACACGTGCTGTACATTTACTGTATTTTGGTATGATATGATACAAATAACGACACACAACTACACTACCACACTGACGTTTCCCCTTCACAGCTCGGCCGGCGTGCGCGCGGCGGCGTCCTCCTTCGCGCTGGCAGCGAGGATCTCCTCAATCGCATCGGCGTGCTCCTCGTCAGGCCTCACGCCCTCGGCCATCAGCTCCGCTATCCTCTTCTCCCGCCGGGCCTCCTTCAGCTCCATATGGCGCACCCGCGCGGCCTGCAGATGTGCCTCGGCCTCGGGAAACCGCTCCTCCAGCGTCTTCCTCGACTTGTCGATCCACTCCTGCGGCGGCGGGTCCTTCTTGCAGGCATCCTGCACCTGGATCACGGCCCCCTTAGGCCCCGCCACACACCCCTTAACCACCAGGATCCCCAACTCGTTGTCCGCAATCAGCACCGGCAAGTTCTGGATCGTCACCCGCTGGTTACCCATCCGCCCGGGCATCTTCTTGCCCGGCAGCACACGCGAACCACTGCCCTGACTGGGACCCGCCGAACCAATCGTGCGGTGATTCTTGGAGTTACCATGACTGGCCTCCTGCCCGGAAAACCCATGCCTCTTCATACCACCCGCAAAGCCCATACCCCTCGAATTGCTGCGCACATCGACCCGCTGCCCAACATGGAACCAATCCGGCATCAGCTGCACGCCCACCGGCAACAGACCGGACTGATCGCGCACCCGGAACTCGGCCAGCACCTCCTTCGGCGCCATGCCCTTCGCCTCGTAGTACCCCAACAGCGGCGCGCCCACATTGCCCGGATTCCGCTCGCCCATGCCCACCTGCACGGCCCAGTAGCCATGGCGGGCGCGCGTCTTGTTGAGCACCGTCTGCACGCGGTCCAGCTGCAGCACCGTGCAGGCGATGCGCGCCCCCGTGCGGCCCATGAACACCGTCATGCCCTTCTTGACCGCCAGCACCCCCGCGCGGAGGGGTGTCGTGCGTGCTTTGCGCTGGAGGGCCGCCGCGGGCCCCGCGGTGGGCGCGGGGAGGCCAGAGGTCACCTGGTTGAAGCGGTGCGGCTTGGCTCGTGGGGGGAGCGTCGACCAGCCGGTTTTGACGGTGCGTGTTTGTGTGTTGGGGAGGAGGGAGGGGAGGGTGGTGGTTGCGGCGGCGGTTGTGGGGGTCGTTGTGGATGGGCGCAGGGCGAGTTGCCGCCAGCAGTGGGCTGGCAGCCGGGGTGCCATTGTGTGGGTTTGTGTTGTGTTGTGTGTGTGGGTGTCGTCGGTACTTGATTGTCTCGATAATTGGTGGTTACGACGGTATCGGTCGGTGTGGATGGTGTGGACAAGAACGGCCTCGACGACGGCGAGGTCGCGCTTTCAGAATGTGGTCGGCGGCTCAAGCACCCGGCAGAAAATTGAGAGCTCCGTTCCGATAAAATTGGGACCTGGGTCGGGTCTCGATTTAGTGGTATGTATACAACCCTAACCCCCGATTCTCATTTCCCCAAGGCAGAGCAGCCACACTCGTGAAACTCTCACTCGCTCGCTGCCGTGCATCCTCCTCCAACCATAAGGGCTAGTGGACCATCAGTGGTTGCCTTCATTTTCCCGAGGCTTGTTTTATTCTTCATTGAAAACCTCAGGTTCTATTAGCCCAAATGGTCTTCTACTTCACCTCCAACGTCGTTGAACCCTCGGCGTTTGTCTACGTCGGAAAGGACAAGTTCGAGAGTGAGTGAGATTGAGGCAGTGTTCTGTGTTTCTGTGTTTTAGTCGGTATTTTAACTAGTATATATCTATTGTGCAGATGAGGACTTGATCAAGTTCGGTTGGGAGGAAGATGTGTGGTAAGTTTATGAGATCCCTTGTCCGAGTCACTTTCTCACTCTTCCCAGGGTATGAGGCCTCTTGACTCGGTTCCTGGCCGGCGATGTTCATTCTTTGTAGTTCCACGTCGACAAACTGTCCAGCGCCCATATCTATCTACGCTTGCGCGAGGGCGAGTCATGGGACAATATTCCCGAAGAGCTCCTCACAGACTTGGCACAACTAACCAAGGCCAACTCAATCGAGGGTAGGTGATATGGGATCGCATTTGAGTTTGACTGACGGCCCTAGGCAACAAGAAGGACAACATCACCATAATATACACCCCGTGGTCTAACCTGAAGAAGGATGGCAGCATGGCCGTCGGCCAAGTGAGCTTCAAGGACAACAGGAAAGTATGTCACCGATTTCACCCCTACTCCGGAAGCTTCCATACCCTGACCCCCCACAGGTCAAGAAGATACTCGTCCCCCAACGGGAAAACCCCATCGTCAACCGGCTCAACAAGACCAAGGTTGAACAGTACCCCGACCTGAAGCAGGAGAAAGACGACCACCTGCGGGAGCTGCGAAAGAAGGACCAGGCCGCACAGCTGGCGCGGGCGAGTCTTCCCGATTTCCACTCATCCTCTTGCCATACCCGCTAACAGACCCCGTAGAAAAAGGAGGAGGCCCGCATCGCGAAGGAGCGCCAGGAGAAGAAGTGGCAGAAGGACCACGCTTACGACGACATCTTCACCGAGGAGAACATGGAAGCCACCAGCAACCAGAACCGGTCCGAAGACTGGGAGGACGATTTCATGTAGTCGCACAGCTCGCCTGCTAGTTCAAGCAACCGTCATCAAGCAATCGCGCAGAACCACCCCCTTTCACTTGTCGTGTCTAGACACCGGGCCCCCGCCCTCCGATCCCACTCCCCATCTGATTCACGCTCGTGCCCTTGATCTTGTGATCCCCTGGGTTTGCTGCCGCCTCGTAGAGGATATTTGTTGGTGCCCTCCCCAGCTGCATCCACTCTCCCTTGAACCCTAGATACGAAATCCGCGTGACGTCTTCTTCCCCGTCGCCAAAGTTGTCCGGGAAGAAGAGCGTCAGCCGACGGACGGCGTTGAACCGTGCCCGGCGCTGCACGTGGTTTAGCTCTCATAGCCCGTAATAAGAGAAAGAAGACAAGAAAAGGAAGAAACAGACATACCACAGCCAACTCCTGCACCTCCCCGGTGCGGCTCAGCTCAAACTCCTGGGTCCCGCTGGTCTCCTGGGCCACACCGAAGTCGACGTCGTCGCGGTTGATGATGACGCGCATCGTCTTGGGCGCCGAGTCCGAGTCCGACGTGCGCAGGAGGATCGAGTGCAGCTTGACCTGCCCGGTGAAGCTGTGTCTGGGTTAGCCCGTAATCCGTCACTCATTCACTCAACATCCTTCCTTTTCTCTCACAGCCCTCCCCCCTCCTTTAACTGAACCACTCACACCAAACCAAGCCGTCCCTACCAAACGCCTCCCTCCCTCCCAAAAAAAGAAAACAAGGTAAAAGATGACAGGACACGTACGGCACATTAACCAAAACCTCCTCATCCACATCACTCGCCAGCTCGGGCACCGCACTCAACCGCTCCGCCCACGTCTTGCGCACGACGGCGCGGGCAGACCCGTGCTCGGCCTCGTTGAGCGCCGTGACCTGGTCGAAGTGGATGTGCTGGTAGAGGGAGAACTGCAGGGCCGGGGCGATGTCGTCCGAGTGGTCGTGCTCGGCGTGGTTGTGCGGGTGGTCGTCGCCGCCGTGGGAGTGGGTGTGTTCGTCGTGGCAGTGGTGGGACATTTTTCTTGTCTCTTTTGCTCTTTTTTGGTTGGGATTTATGTGTGGTTTGTTGGGGTGTGTAGTCCTGGGAGATTGTGAGTTGTTGGATGTTGCGTTGGGGTTGGGTGTTGACTGAGAAGGTTGTGAAGAACTGCTTGAGTGAGAGGTTTGAGGAGTAAAAGTTTCCCAGTTCGGTTTGTTTGGCTGTGAAGCACTAACAATTTTGGAGGTGCCATGATGGAATATGCAGCCCAAAAACTCACTGAATTGCCACATTTCAAACCGGGGATTTGACAGTGATCACACAGATCAATATTAGTTAGCTTTAAGCTTGTTTGCACATGGCCTCCTAAAGCGAGCTCTAGCACAGGGTATCTCCAACAACTATTTCCCACATATCTAAGCCCACCCCTTCCTTCCAACCATCCCCACAACACCCTACCTAAACCCACTCAACCGCAGCTCACTCTTCCTCTTCATCTTCTTCAACGGACTCTTCTTAAACGGCGAGAACGACGGCCGCGCGCCAAACAAGCCCGGTAGCGCCTGCGACCTGGACTGTGACGGCGTACCCTGTGACGGGCCCTGCTCCGGCGGTGGCAGCTGCGACGAGAATATTCCCCCTCTCGTCATCCCCGAGTCCCGCCGATATTCCCTTCTAAGGGGCGAGCCAACAAACACTCTCGGCGAGCCAAACGCCCCCGTTTGCTGCTGCTGCGACGAGAAATCCCACGCCCGTCGTGGCGTTTGCTGATCCTGGCTCTGGCTCTGGCTTTGACTCTGGCTCTGACTCTGGCGCACACTACTACCGCTCGCCCCCGTCGACAAAATCATCGGCAACGGCTGCGTCGAGGGACCACCAAAGGACTGTGAGGACGAATCCATCAGCATGGAATCATCGCCAAAGATGCGCTGGGACAGCCGCTCCGCTTTCCGCCGCCGGGACTCGATCTTGCGCCGGCGCCGGTTGATGGCCTCCTCGGCTTCGAGGTCTTGTCCGGGTTTCCAAGTGATGTCACTCGGGTCGGCGCCCAGGTCCCAGCGGGAGAGGGCGAGGATGGGCTCGCCGTGTATGGTTGGAGAGGTGTCCAGCGTGGCGTACTTGCGCAGACGGAGAACTACGGCGTCGTCTTCTTGTTGCAGCATTTCGGCTTTGATTTTCTCTTTCCCTTTCCCTTTGCTCTTGACGAAGCTTGGTAATGACGGCTGGGAGGGCATTAAGGAGGGTGAGCTAGGGAAGGGCAGGGAGCTCGACAGTTGGCTGTCGGCGGTCGTCCAAGACTCAGGTAACGCCGAGACGCCGATGTTGCTGAGGAACATCTCGGCTGCCATGTTCTGTAGAACTTCCACCCGGCTTTGGTGGGAGGGGTCTTCTCCATTGGGTTCGAGGAACAAGTCTCGCAATCTTTCGACAAGGTCGTCGGGCCCGAAATCAATGAGCGGACGACGTGCTTCTGGTACAAAGGTCCACTCGCCGGCGCGCCGATGCAATGCGTCCTGCTGTGCATCCCATTCTCGAGCCAGTTGAAGAAGATCGGCACCTGCCCCCCGGGATACCGCCAAATCCAACCTAGAGAATTGTTAGCAAATCACATAAGGTAAGGGGGCTGAGAGACATCTCGTACAATGAATGCCGCGGCACGTAATCGTCTTCCTTTGCCCGCGCCATCGCGTCCTCGATAAAACCAAAGCCCACGCCACCCATTTGAGACGATGTCCCATAGCGATCCATATCGGCCGGGTCTCCGGCAGACAGCCGCTGAGCGACGAGCCTAAAATCGACACGCAGCTGAATCCCAGCCCTCAACTTTTCCAACGCCAAACCCTCAGCCCCCTTCTTTCCAAACACAGCACGCTCGTCAAACTCATCCGGCACCGCAAACGCTTCCGTCAAATCCTGCAACAGCCTCAGCCGCCTGTTGCCGCCCTCCCCAAGCCTCTCCCTCGTATCGGGCGGCAAGATAGACAGTCCAGCATTATCGGACCAAGCACACAGCGCGCTGTGCACGTCCAGATTCTGGCCGAGGGTGAGCAGTTGAAAGAAGCGCAGCCGCGCCCGCCGCATCGCGCGGCCCGCTTCCGTCGTTGGCTCGTCGCTGCCCACCCGGCGGCCAGCGGGGAGGATGTTCAAGCCGACAAAACTTGGCGGGCTCTGGAGAGAGAGGAGGTCGCGGTGGTATCGGACGGGCGTGCCCGGCTTTGGGTTGATAAACCAGAAGACGGTCATTTCGGTGTTCCTAGTGGAGCGGACACACGCGAAGCAGGCCCTAAGATCATTGATGTAGGCGCCGGGCGAGACGTCCAGGCGGAGTGTTGGGTCGCTGGCGTCCTTTTGGTGCGGGCAGGATATGAGGATCTCGAGGGTTAAGGTGTCGTTTTTGCCCTCTTTTACCGTCACCCATAGGAGGTCGGTGCTGGTGAGAATGAATGCTTGTGCAGGGTCCAGTCGTGAGGGCGCTACGTCGAGGATGCGGTGGCTGTCCTTTTGCAACACTAGGTGTGAGACTGGGTGTGATTCTCGAGTATGCAAGTCGAACAAATGTAGGGTTCTGGGGTTGCACAGCAAGAGGAGTCTTCGTGGAGGCTGTGATTCGGGCTCAACGGACATGCGGGACTGTTCGGGCGGGCTACTTGCGCGGCTGACCGATCGTCTGGGCGGCCTTCGATATCTTTGACCAAAGGATAACCACAAGAGTTTGTGCGGCTGCGACTCCGTCACGGAGCTCGAAGGCAGCTTCGGAATGTATCCCGATATAATGTTCCCGCACATTCTCATGACCGGTGTCAGAATCTTCGGCCGTACATTTCGGCGACCTATGATCTCCCACACGCTCCAGTATCCAGCCTGGTCAATGGTGGCTAACTGAGGTATGTCCGCTTCAGGGTGCCGAACGAAGCAGACATCCGCCTGCAAACTCCCGCCGGTGCGCTCACAGGATATGGTGAGGAGGGGGTTGCCAAAAATCTGGCTACCAACGGGTTGGCCCGAAAACTCCATTGAGGCCCTGGCAACCGGCATGGGTATCGTCCGGAGCTCGGGTTCATACACAGCAGTCGATGTACCATTGGAGACAAGCAGCCATCTGATAGGGTCGTATTTTCTTGGGTCAACGGCGAACTTAACCAAGGAGATTGGTTCCCCATCCTGGTACCACTCGCCCTCGAGTTTAGTGTCTGCGGCATGAAGGCGCACTTTGATGTCTGCTGTGGACCAGATCCATTCCTCGCGGGCGAGGCTGATCAGGCGCAGGGTATTTCCAGAAATGCCGGAAGCAACGGCTAACACCGGATGAGCCTTTGCTGAGTCGCCCTGCCTTAAGTCGGTTATTTCTCCGACCGAGAATAGTGGTGTTGTCTCGCCGAGTGCAGGCTCTGTTTTCACCTGAGAAGCCGCGATCTCTTCTAGAAGAAGAGACTCGATGCCCTCGTCAACAATGGAAGCATCTGGGAGGTGTTCCGACAGCCAGTAGTTTTGGGATCTCGCAGCTTGGGTAGGGCGCAAATCACTGAGCTGGGAGGTTGGAGCCTTCGCCGGAGCACACCATTGCGTGAAGGGCGTTATCTGCTTGAAGCGAGGGGCTGTGCTGTCAATACGAGAACGAGAAGATGAAGGAATACTCTAATTTCAAAACATGCATGTCACTCACTCTCATCCTTTGCTCGGTTTCTCCCTATCTGGCCGATGCACTCATCACCTTGGGCCGGCGTGTATGTCAAGCGTCCAACGATGCCGTCCGCTGGGACCCGGCGAGTTTTGGCCCGGGCAGGCTGGACGGCGGTTTTCCTTTCATCCATTTGGACCTATCGTAATGGAAAGCCAAAGATGTGAAGACCACGGGATCATTCTCTTTGCTCTGCAAGGCAAAAAGTAGGTTTTATCCGTTTGTTCAAGTCAAGTCTGAGTCGCAGAGAGTGTTTGTTGCGTCGGGTGAGGCGCGCAACATCGAGAGCGAAACTCGGGTGGGGCGATATTGTCAAAAAAGGGTGACAATGGGTGTGCTGTTCCGTTTTGGATTAAAGACGAATGAATTTCTCTTTTCTCTTGAATTTGACAGCCCACGCATCACTTGCATGTGGTTGTGTGTTGAAGGATCAAATGTCACTGAACCCAAACCGAGATCTCAGAAGGGAACTTTTTAGCGGGGCGCCGAAGGGATGGCCAATCGCGTTACATGTGTGGACCAAGGCCGTTTGGTTTTGGCAAGACAACGCCCTGGAAACCCGCCAAAGACGGCAAGCAGATAAACAATCCACAAGTGTCCCGCATTTGCGCATCACCGTCGCAAACCAGCACTCCAAACCCACCAGCAGCATCGAAATTGAACGTCGCACTGTATCCAGGCAAAGGGGGAAGCATATTAAACCAGACAACACCCACAACATCAAGCCACTATGTCTTCAGCATTCGACCCCTCAATGTCCACGAGCCGGCCACCCATCGGCGGTCCCTCCCTAGCGGACACGCTTCCCAACATCAACTTCGGCTTCGACGAACTGCGCGATCGTATGGCCAAGTTCACCGCCAAGTTCGATGCCTTCATCGAGCAAGGGCGCAAGCGCGTGCTGGAGGAGCGTAACCAATTCCACATGAGCGTGGCTGAGCTGCAGGGTACGACCACGCCCACCCCTCCCACTTCCGTCCTCATTCCAATGTCCATTTCCACTCGCTAACCCTGCCCCACACAGAGGACCAGCGCATGAAAAAAAAGGACATTGAAATCCTCCAGCTCAAGACCAACACCTACCAGCAGACGATAGGCAAGGAGGCGGCGGAGACGCGGGAGATGCAGGGGGCGATCGCGCAGCTGACGAGCGAGCGCGACCGGCAGGCGGCGACGCGCGACGCGCTCAAGGAGCAGATCGCCGCGACGCAGAAGGACATCGACGCGCGGTTGGCCGCGCAGCGCGCACACCAGGCCCAGCTCGAGGCCCAGGCCCGCTTCAACGTGCCGGAGCTCGACTTCTGGGTGACCAACCTGTGTCTGCGCATCGAGGGCGCGGGAGTCGAGGACCGGCTGAAGTTTGTGTATACGCACGTGGATGAGAAGAATTGGGAGCGGGAGGCCTGGTTTGAGCTGTGTACGGGCAGCCGGGACTATGATGTGAGGCATTGCAGGCCGAAGTTGGAGCGGGAGAAGTTGGAGAAGGTGCTGGAACGGGTTAATGAGACGCGGGAGCTGGCTACGCTGTTAAAGGGGATGAGGGAGCTGTTTGTGGAGGCCATGCGGTCGTGAGGGAGGTAGGTGGTAGGGGGGTCGAAGGTTTATGATGAGATGACAATATGCAATATCCTATGGTTTGGGTTGGCTAGCGGAGTCAGGATTGGTAGGCAGCATGTGAAATTTATCACCGAGTTGAAAGTTGGATAGTTACAGCTTGTCATCACCTTGATGGCTTATATCGGTTAGGTATGCGATGCAATCAGCGGCATTTGGCATTTGGTGCTTGCACCGGTAGTGGGCTGCATTATCAACTAGGACGATAGCTTACTCAAGCGTATATAGCCTGGGCCGAAATAGGTGAACAACCTCTCTGCTCCTGATGCCCGTCTGTTGATTCCCATTGTGGATGCAAGAAAAAGCTTAGCCCGGAAATGAGTGGGGTTCCCGAAATCAACTCAGCTGTCGCCCTCTCGCCCCAACAATTCAGCCCGGCTCCTGCACCCCGGGCCGGCAGCAGGCACCCAATGGTAGGGCAATTATAGGCAACGTTCCAGGCCCTGCCCGCTGCCAACTTCCCCTGGTCTGGTTCTCCGTTCATGTTCAATCCACCAGACTTCCGGTCAGTCGACAACCCTCGAGTCCACCGCCAGACGCAGCTGATGCTTTGCGATGGCCCAGCTGGTCTCCGATTTTATCATCACGCCCGTTCTCCGACAAGCCCGTCGCTTTTCGAGCGGGTTCGCTGCCGATGAGGCCCCCGCCATTGAGAGCCCCGCGATACGACGCCGGCGAGCGCAGTCGACGGGGTTCCCCGGTGCTGCTGGGACCGCGATATTAGAAGGAGATGAGCACGGCAACGGGAGGTTAACAACCGGGAATGCAGTACTGCCACACCGCATCCGACAAGTTCGAGACCCAGCCGGCCGCCCCATTTCCTCGAGTCCGAATGGTCTGCGGAGCACACCCGAGAATCCGGGCCTACCGGGATTGAGCTTACCCAACAATACCGGGCTGGACAACCAACCTGACGCACCCGCTACTCTGGAAACCAACACCCAAGCAGCATGGCCGCCGCCGGAAAGCAACAGGGCGACACCGCTCCCCGAGGATGACGGCATGGGAGACCTCCGTCGGAGGATACAGGCCGTCCAATCACTCGATGTCGCCCAGGACGCCAAAGCCCCAGATGATGCATGAGCTGTTGACGGAAAAGTACACCAAGTTACAACGGTCACCTGCGGCTGGTCACAGTACCCTCAGGCCGGTGTCGCGGGCAAGCACATCGCACGCCTGGACAACCACGAACACACGGATCCAGCTGGGCCGTTGCAAGCTCTAAAGAAATGGAACCCTCTCGGTGACGCACCCGGGCGCCTTAACCTGCCACTGACCGAGGAGGACCTCACACCGACTTTTGTGCCAGAGAAGCGTCCGGGCGATGGAGCGGAATGGTGGTCAGTGGCGGAACAGCCGGACGACGAGAACAGGCGCCTCGGTTGTGAACATTACCGACGCAACGTCAAGCTACAATGCGCCTTGTGCGAACGGTGGTACACATGCCGCCACTGCCACGACGCTGGCGAGGACCACACCCTCCCACGCCAGCAGACCAAGCACATGCTTTGCATGCTTTGTGGGTGCGCTCAGAAGGCCTCGGATACGTGCATCAAATGCAACCAGTCGGCCGCTTATTACTACTGCGGAATTTGCAAGCTTTGGAACGATGATGCGAGCAAGCCCATCTACCACTGCTCAGATTGCGGGCTGTGTCGAGTCGGCCAAGGGTTGGGCAAGGACTTTTTCCACTGCAAAGTGAGCATCCCATCCACGCCGAATCCAACCGCCTAATACTAACGAACATGTCAGAAATGCATGGCTTGTATCTCGACGTCCGAGAGCAACCACAAGTGCATCGAGCGTGCCGTCGACTCGGACTGCCCCATCTGCAACGAGTACCTCTTCAACTCACCCAAGTCGGTCACTTTCATGCAGTGCGGCCACAGCATCCACCTGGTCTGCCTCGAGGAGCTCAAGAAGACGTCGTACCGGTGCCCGCTATGCAACAAGTCGTGCGTCAACATGGAGTACCGCTTCCGCCAGCTTGACATGCAGATCCTCCACCAGCCCATGCCGCCCGACTACGCCGATTCCCGCGCCGTCATCTCGTGCAACGACTGCTCCGCCAAAAGCCAAACCGCCTACCACTGGATCGGTCTCAAGTGCGCCGTATGCAACTCGTACAACACCACCCAGCTGCAACTCCTTAACATGCCAGGCGGCGACGCCGCCGCCGCCGAGCAGCAGCAACAGCCCCAACAGCAGCCAGTGACCCTCGACCCAGCTTTTCTCGCAGAAGAAATCCGCCGCCGGGACCGAGCCCTCCGCCGCGAGCAGGAACGGCAGCGGGACCAAGAAAGAGACAACAACAGCAACAACATGAACGGCATGCAAGCCTTCGCTCTGCTCTCCACCTCGCCATCCTCCTACTCGCGCGCCTTCCTCACGCGGCTCCTCAACCGCGGCAGCACCCCGTCCTCGGACGCCGAACCGGCGCACCCCGCCCTATCAGGAGGGAACGGCAGCAAATCTGATCTTGTCCGTCCCGGCTTTGCTGCCAACACCAACACCGACACCACCGCCACAAGATCTGGTTCTGCTGCGTGCATCTCGGACAGCGAAGAGGAGGACGACGACGAGGAGGAAGAAGAAGACGACGGCGAGATGGACATGATGGATCTGTTCAGCGCGCGCGGCGACAGGGACTTTGACCGCATGACGGGGTTGACGTCGGCGGAGAGTGCGGTGGGGTTTGATGATGACGATGATGATGATGAAGAGGAGGAGGAGGAGGATAGTTCGGAGGATGAGGACCGCGAAGGGGAAGAGGAGGAGGAGGATGACGATGAGGAGGATGATATCCTGCTTCTTGGGCATAGGTAGAGGGTTATGCTGAGGAGGACGATATCTTGCTTCGGGCGCTTGGAGGGAGTTTGATGGCTGGTTGGTGTCACTGGGGTGGCGGTGGAGGTGGCGGTAGGGGTTGGTGAGTGCTTAAGGGTTGAGGGGGGTGTGATTCGGGCTGGGCTGGGCTGGGCTGGCTTGACCCGGCTGGTGTCACTGGAGGGTGGTGATGCGAATTTGGATTTTCTGGGCTATTATTGCATTATGCATTGGGAATGGTTGGCGGCAATGTCTTGGCTTAATTGGGCGTGGGATTCGCGTGCGAAGGAGTTTGGGTGCCGAGAGCCGGGTCAGCGCGGATGGATATGGCAAGGTCTGATAGTTTATTTAAGGTATTAGAGTTAATCTAAAGTAAGATTTACAATAAGGTACCTGGGCAACTCCGATTTTATAACATGTGTTGATCTTGTTTCTATGAGCTATGTTATCCCCCCAAACAGGGACTCGTGTTTCTCTAAGAGGGCTTTAGTGATAAGAATACCTCTTACATCCCCTTCTCGATTTCCTTAATGAATGGCAGTTCATAGCTGTTCGAGCATTGGATCCACTGATACATTCGCCACATGGTTGGTAGGTACGAAGTCGGTGGTACTCAAGCCCATGTTCAGACGCGTGCCCCGCCAATTAAACATTAAACATGCAACGCGCGTTTCCAACCTTGCAACCTCACTCAACTTCTCAACCTCAACAAAAGTCGTCATCACCCCAACCAAGATGCCACCCAACGATCGGGCCGAGAAGCAGGCAGCTGCTCAACAAGCAGTCAACATCCTGCACGAAATTTCCACGATCCTGGTAAGTGGCCGCGCTACCATAGCAGCAGAAGCCAAGTCGATTGACAAACAGCTACAGAATTGCCATCTCGATCGCCAGACGCTCTCTATCTGCATCTCCATGATCGAGAAGGGAATAAACCCCGAGGCTCTCGCGGTAAGTGTCTCCAGAAGGGGCACTCAATCCAACGTCCCCCTAGGCCTCGGCCGGGATTCAAACTTTACTCCTGCTCACACTCTCGCCCCCCCTCGTTCCAGTTCCTCAACCTATACTAACCATGCCCTAGAACGTTGTCAAAGAATTGCGCAAGAAAGGCCAAGAGAACCAACTCGAGGCGGCGGCGGCGGCGGCGGCATCATCCTCGACAACGGTACCGTCGCGCCGGAGATGAGTTTAGCTGCTGTTGCCACCGTTTTCTCTTTGCACCAACCTTCCCCAGGATTAGGAGGGTTAGAGGAGACAAAGCAACGGTATCTACCAAATGAACGCTAGCCTGAGTACCAAAGGTAGAAGGAAGTTCGAGGCACTACTATTTTAGTACAGGGGAACTGTTAGAGCTACCATTGTAAATATTTAGTTTAGATTAACTCTAATTGCTTAAATAAACTATCAGACCTTCCATGGATACAAGCACCCCGATGATCGTAGGCGCGTTTTGTCTCGGCTCCTATACGCCAGTTGGTCATCTCCCTGCCCTGTTGGGTGATGATTAATCTCATCGTATCGACTTCTCGCAACCGACGAACCGGTGCTTAACAGGGCGTATCACCGTTCCCATTAACCTGGAGGCTCGAGCAAAGTAAGAGTGCCTTTTCGCATCAAGAGACGAATCTTCTAGAGCCCGTCTGCGAAAGACAAGTTTGGGGAATCCGCATTGTAGTCCGAGTCATTCCCTCGGTGGGGACAAGATCAACGCATGTTATAAAATCGGACTTTCCCTGTCATCCTGCGCTTCGGCCGCGGCCTCCTTTGGTCCCTCAGGTACTTCGACTCGAAACTCGGCACTCACCCCCAAATGATCCGTGACCCAGGCCTTTTCCAGATCTCCGTGCACCAGTCTCGATGCCGGCCCCTCCTCCTCGACCACAACATCCCGTCCGAACCGCTCAAAGGCCAGCAACTTCAACGCGCCGCCGCAAAAGAGAATCTTGTCCAACCTGCCCAGCCCAAACTGTGCTCTCCGCTCCTCCCCTGACTGATATCCCCTGCTCAATACTGTTAGCTCATCCTCTCCAAGAATCAAAGATCAAAGCAGCACCGAGCGTAGGTAGGTAGGTAGGTAGCTTCCAACGAACCAACCCTCATTAAAACCAAACCAAAACAAGAACCAAAAAATAAACCTACCACGTCATCCCCCCCTCCTCCCCGTCCTTCCCACCCCCCTCCAAATACGCATCCCTCAACCCACACTCCCTATACAACCCGCGATCAAACTCCTCAATGGCATTCAGATCCCCACCCAAGACCCCTGCATCGGCCTTCCGCAGATGGGCCGCCGCCGCCGCGAGCTGGGCCGGGCGCCGCGGCGGCGCCACCCGCAGCGACTCGAGGTGGGTCGTGCACAGTCGCAGCGTGCGCGCCCCCGGCAGCGCCACGTCGGCGAAGAGCGCGTCGCGCTGCATGGCTGTGTTGGTGTAGTGCAGGCGGGTGAGCGAGGTGAGCGGGAGGGTGTGCGGGAGGAGCATGCAGGTGCCTGATGGACCGTGGACCGTGTGGGGTTAGTTTGGGGGGCTGAACTGGAGATGAAGGGAAGGGGTGGGAGAGGGGGGTGGTGGCGGGAACAAAGAAGGAGGAGGGGGGCTACTTGCCGTAGGTGGTGGATTCCCAGTGGTCGGCGTTGATGTCGGTGATGTTGTAGCCCTCGCGCACCCAGGCGGCGTCCTTGATGAGGGTGAGGTCGGACCTTGTCATCTCGTTGAGCATGACGACGCTGGGGAGGTCGGGCTTGGCGGCGACGAGGCCGTGCAGGTGTTTCAGCGCCGCTGCCATGCGCGCGTCGTCCTCGGGCCGCATGAAGTCGATGTTCCAGGAGAGCACGGCGAACTGGAACGATCGCGGCGTTGTGGTGGGCCCCCCGGGAACCGCTGGCTCCGGCGGCTGGACCGGGCACCAGAGCCCGTCCCGGAAGGTGTGGTACTCCTGTGGTGCTAGCTCGCCGCGCTTCCAGCTCTGGATGGTGGGGAATAGGGTGGTGAGCTGGGGTTGGGGTACTGGTTGGCGGCGAGCCATTTGCCGCAGGACTGATCCAAGCATGGCTGCTTGGTTTTCATCCGCCATGGGATGCACCTTTCGGGCAGTCGGAGCAAGAGGTTGGCGTGGTGGGACTGACAACGTCAACGTGCCACGGTGTCGCTCATACGGGACTGGGACTCGGGACTCGGGAGTAGGATGTCTAAGGGAAGGTCGGTACCTGCCAGGGAGCGTATGCTGCTCTTGGCAGTCGCCTTTGAATGGAGTTGGATTGACCATCTCAGCACCCCTTCTCATTGGACCGTGAGTTTGTGACATCTCAAAGAACAGCTCCGCAGTCGCAGTTTCCGTCGGGATTCGGGAACACCACCTAGCTTGGTGGCACTTGAAAAAGTCGAATGGGAATTCAATACGACCTGATCGCCGCCGGAAGCCAGTGTTTGGCCAACATTCAACGATCGTGTTATAACAACAACCAAGCTCAAAACATGAGTGACTGCCTAGGTAGGTACCCTTCTTCGAGGATTCATTCTTCGGTCGCCTTCCTCAAAGCTTTCCTCGAAGCTATAACATCTATGAGACTCACAGTTATCCGGTTCGGGTATCACCGATATCTATATCGTACATGCTACCCACTCGGCCTTAAAAAAATAAAACATTATTAGCCTATACTAAGACCCATTCTCACTCTCCCCACCCGCCGAGCTCGTCCCGACAAACACAACCAGCACGGCCGCGTATGTCGCCGTGGCCACCAGCGTCTCAACGTTTGACACGCGGATCCCAAACGAGAGGACCAGCGAGAAGACCACCAACGCCAACGAAACCGTAAGCAGGCTCTTAGTCTGCGACGGGCTAAACGTCATGATCAACATGGGGCCTACCAAAAACACGCCGCCCGTCATGGCCGTGATGAAGCGGACGGAGCGGTCAACGAAGGCCGACACCAACAGGGGCACCTTGCCCTCCTCGTACTCACGCGGCCGCTGCCGCCGCTCTTCCAGCGAGTACGTGAGCGCGACGGGCAAGTACCGCATCAGCGTCGCCCGCAGCGGGTCCACCTGGGACGTCTCGTCCTCAAAGAAGCAGTAGTGGCTGTGGAAGGGATCTTGGAAGTCGTCGTCCGACTGGAAGTAGCGTTGTAGGAGGGCTTTGCGTAGCCGCATCTCGGCTTTGGGCACCGATCGGCATGATCGCAGGTAGCGGTAGTCGCGTATTGCCGTTGCTGGGTGGTTGTTAGTTCATTGGCTTGATTTCTGTGAAGGTGAGTGTGTTATGAGGGGCGGTAAGTGATAATATTATAATAACCCCCAAGGCTCGTACATACCATAGTCCTTCAGGAGAACTTGTAACGTCTCTAGCTCATCCTCAGAGCACTCCCCCTTTTTTCTGGACCCGGCTCTTGATACGGGCTAGCTTGACGTGAAAATGGCTGAGATTCAGACGCTGGAGGAACTCGAAGCGCATAAAGTGGAAGCTCTCCTCCTCGTCCAACGACCGGTGCACATATGACACAAAGCTCTGGGCCTCGGATTCGGCCATGGAATCGATTTGGTAACTCGACAGTTGAATCTGACGCCAGCTCGAGCTGTCTCATAGTGCCGTCACTCCCCTAATTGCGGGGCGGCGCGTGCCTCTTTGGCTATTCCTGATCAAATCAATCCTGCGGCATCGCCACCAGGGTCTGGTCTGGTTGGGTATGGTTGCACCGCAGCGCGGATCTCCTACACCTAACGCCACAAAAGGCCATGCTCTGCAGCCCCGGAGGCTATGCTGCTATAAGAAGACAAGGCTCGCCAGCTCGCTCTTCGCACCAGGCTGCCGTGACCTGGAGTCGTTAAATAAAAGTACGAAGGAGAGATGACTGATGGGGCTCGAAGTTTCCGCATCGTATTACTGTCTTAAGAGACAAACTGTTCCCCATTAGACTTTGCACGGCAGAATACCTCACAAAAGAACACGATGTCAGCGTCTAGTTCAGGCCGGCCGGTTTCCTCGAGAAAGGAGAAACAACGCAGGTATGAGACCTACCTTTACCAGGGCAGCAACTGGTGATAGCAACACCCACAAATCAACTAATGCCTGTCCCAGACGGAAGGTTATGCGTTGGCTCGTCTCCTGGCAAAGAGGCCTCGGGGACCATACGAGCCCATCCGGGCCATCCCCCAAAAACCAGGACGATGATAACGACCAACCCGAAAGCGGCGCCGGCGACTCCAGCGACGCCCAGTCCATCCGCTCCCAACGCTCCAACCACTCGGCGCAATCCGCCAAGTCACGAGGCTCGATATCGTCCTTCCGGTCTTTTGCCTCGCACTTCTCGCGCCTCTCGCGCATGTCGGGCAGCTCGCAGCGCTCGTACGAGAACCCGGTCCTCGAGTCGGTCCAGACCATCGTGGACCTGGCCATCAAGCTCGAGGCCGACAACAAGCGCACCATGCAGGGGACCACCCCCAGGGCGAGCATGGCTCGCGAGGCGAGGAGGCGCTGTGATTGCTATGAGGAGTCGCTGAAGAGGTTGAGGGGTCAGGTTGAGGGGTATGCGGCGCATCCGGCGGTGGTGTATAGTGGGGTGCATACTTCGCCGAAGGGTATGTCTCCCCGCTGCTGTTGTGGTTTCGTCCTGAGAGAGAGAGAGAGATTTATTAACACGAAGTAGAACTGGTTCTGCTCTGCGATAGGGTGAGGCAGGTCGACCACGGCCCCCGTGCCGAGGTTGACACTGAGATCCTGACGCTGCACTCGGACCTGCTCGACGAGGTCGCTACGGAACTGGCGAGCTGGTTTAACCGTTTCGTCACTGCTCCGAGCCAACAGGGGCCGGTACATCGGGTTTATATCCCCTCGCCGCTGAAGCACGAGGTGCCATTAGAAGAGACGATTGTGGATGGGGGGTGTCCTTTGCAGCAAGCACAGGGCTCGTTGGTCCCCCCGGTCAAGCTGTGAGTCCGTTCAGTGAAGTAGCCTCGAGTCTGGAAATTGTAGTTGTACGAGTAAGGTGCCGTGAGAATACCAGGGGAAGGAGAAAAAGAGGTAGTCAGCGAGAAATAAGCGAAGGGCAGGAATCCATGTATAACATATTGTCGGCAGTACCTTGATTTGTGGCGGAGTGCGGGTATTAATTCGGTACAAACAACAAGGGGAGATCATGGGAATGAACAAAAAGTTAGAGCCATGACATGCAGTTTCTAGGGGTGTTCTTTTTCTCTGGTTCAGGCTTTGGCACTAAGCATTGAAACCAGTCTATTCTGAAAACCCAATTAAAGGCATAAGCCAGCTGGTCCTCTCGTCCCTTGATACCAGGGAGAACACCCAACAAGCAAGAGTTCAACGAACCGAACACGAAGGTGGGAAGAAACAACCGGAAGGTTTTCGAGACCCATCGGCGCGTTTCTTGTTGACAAGGAGGGCGGAACGGCCCGCTGCGAGCGACAAGCAAAGGCTATGCCTTATTCGGAAAGACGCCGTCCCTGGAGAGTGGACTCGGTCACTCGGAGGGTTGCACTAGAGAACGATATGACCCGGGAACATCCACCGGCGAGTCTGGGTCGACTCTCAATCTGTGTTTGACCACCTCAAACCTCATTTGCTCTGCCAAAGCCCATGTATACACCACACAAAGTCCCAACCATGCCAGAGCAACAGGTTTACCACATCCATCCTCTCGGCTGGGAAAACGACCCCGATGAGGAGCGCTACAGAGTCTCCCCGCTCGACTACGTAGGAACATGCGTCTTTAACAACTATGCCCTCTACTTCAAGTTGAAAGACGAAGAGAAGCTTAAGGTCCTCGAGGTGTTGCGGAGTGGTCTCGAGCGAACCCTCAGCCAAACCCGTCACCTCACCAGCACCATCGAGGAGGGCCCCGACGGCGACCACTGGTTTGTCCGCAGGTATGACAACACAGTCGAGCTCCGCGCGCAGTGGCTCGACTCCCCCAAGGACGCAGAAAAGTACCCATCTCTGCAAGACATGGAAAACTCGCACTTCAGCGCCCTAACCCTCGGCGACCTCGACCTCTGGCGGATCCCGCACATGCGCTACGGCGCGGACAACCCGGCCGCGCACCCGGACCTCCACCCCGCCGTCACGGCCTTCAAAGCCAGCTTCGTCCGCGGCGGCCTAGTCCTCGTGACACACATGCACCACCTCGCAAACGACCTCTCCGGCTGGGCCAGCTTCGTCCGACAGCTCGCCGACAACTGCCGCGCCGCCCTCACCGGCACCCCCTACCCACCCTGGGACCCAGCCTGCCTGACCGTAACGCGGCGGCTCGCCAAGCCCCCTATCCCAGAAGCCGAGAAGGTCGACGCCCCCGAACAAACCCTCCTCAACGACCCATCCGCCCCCCCCCCCCTCCCAGGGGGGCGCCAAAGCCTGCTCTTTCACCTCCCCAAATCCAAAGGCACCCAGCTCAAAGGCCTCTGGCAACCCCCATTCGCACCAACAACAACCCCAACCCCAAACCGCCCATCCATCCACCTACGCCGCAACAACCGCCCTCCTTCTCCACATCCTCACCCGCCTGCGCCACCCACATTATTCTACACAAATCCCACTCACCGCACGCCCGCTCTGGGCCGAGGTAATTGACATGCGGCGGCGGTGCGCAACAGCCCACCCCGATTTTGGTCTGGGAGGTCCCATCCCGCCGCGCATGCAGCGCAACCTGCTCTCGGCGGCGGTGTCGCGGTTGGAGATATCTGGGGTGGGGAGGGGGCCGACGGTGGGGGGGTTGTTGGGAACTGCGACTGGGACTAGGACTGAGGTTACTTGTAGCGGTGGGGGAGGTGAAGGGGAGGAGGAGGAAGTCTGGCCGCTGCACCGGACCGCGGCGTGGGTGCGGGATATGACGGAGGCGGCGGGCACGCGGGCCGTGCTGCAGGGGCTGCATGACCAGTTCCATGTGCTGCGCGACAGAACGCGCGCCGCGGCGGACCTGCACGACTTGCCTGCGCTGGCGGTCGCGGTTTCGGATCATCGTGAGGCGGCGGCGCTGATTGGTGATAGTGGCGGGAGGGATGAGGAGGGGGAGGGCGCGGAGTTTGGGTTTGGGAGGCCGGTTGCGTATCGCCAGCTCTGGGGGCGCGTGGATGTTGGGTTGGTGATTGTGTATCCTGCGCGGGCTGGGATGTTGGGTGAGGATGAGGGGTTGGAATTTACGATTGGATATGAGAAGGCGCTGGCGAAGGAGTTGGTGGAGGATGAGGAGTTTGGGAAGTGGTTTGAATATCGTGGAGTAGATTGGGAGGAAGAGTGATGATGTTGGTACCTACCTATGAAGATGCAGGGACGGGATGTAAAGTAAATATAGCGATAGAGAGGTGTGCTCAGCTTGTAGTCATTTAGTAATCATGCGGAGATTCTAGTTGGAGAGAAACGTTATTGACCCCCCTGACGTAACTCATCTGCAAGTTCAAGTTTGTATCCCCAATGATGTTGATTACATGTAGGTGCCTACCTACCTTGGGCACATGTACATCACTAGTCATATAGCTAGACTACCGAGTCGAAGCATTGAAGATTGCCTATCGTGGATGGAACCGTCGGTAGAGACACCAAAAAAAGCTCGCCAACAGAGTCGTCCACCTTACCCTTACGGGGAAAGTTGTTTGGTCTACTGGCTACGAAAACTCAGTTCTATGGAATCACCCATCGGCTTTGGTTTTACACCACCTAGAAGCCGCTAGTTAGACACTCAAGTTTAGATACCCCCTGGAATAGAGTCCAGATCAATCGTTGCCGACATGAGAGACTGGGGCCATAGATCAGAAAGGTAAATACAATGAGTGATAAGAGAACAACTCAATGGCACTGGTGCCCGGGCTCGAACCCACAACCTCTACCAAACCGGTTCAGTTGTCAAGCACCCTTCAGGATCACTAGAGACCAACCCTACTAGCCGCTAGGCTATCGGGCTGGTCGGGAAACGTTGCCAGGCTCGGGGCTTCTATATGTGTGATTATATATATATATCTATATATCAGTGGTATGATGGTAGGTACCTCTCATCCCAACGAAGTTGCTCATCACCACCGGCTTTGTTGTTTCACATCCCACACGTGAATCTAACCTTGCGTTCTAACTAGGTAGTAGAGAACATATATGCTCTATCAATCCCTTCACGGATCGCATGTGCCCTAGGGTTTCACAACATATCCCCTTCGGCTCTGAGAGTTGTTATCTGGGTTCTGGCCCAAGGATCGCTGAGTTGGTTGCGTTGAAAGTCAAGCAGCACGATATGTACACAATCTTTATTTTACCATGAGGAGTTTGGAGTGAAACTTAGAGGGGATAATCATATGATCCTAGAAGCGGAACCCTCTATATTTTCAGAGATTCAGTATAATGGTTGCGCTACCGGGCCAGCTACCATGAAATCACTTCCTAGCTTGTTCGAGCGAGGAGCTATTGCCAATCATTGTCCAACCCTTATGCAATATCGGCAGCTCCGTCCTCTGCCATGATGAACCTTGATCAGGTCTGTCCGCTCCAAACGATACGAAAGCCTGCATCTCCGACCAATCCTATTCGCTCTTCCTAATCGGAACACTGCTCGAACTAGGCGAATAGAGTTAACACCACTACCTGGGGTTTAAATCAAGGGTACAGCAGGCGATTGGACTCCTCCCTCCAAGCGGCTCTGATCGACACAGTCACCAATGCAAACAACAGGTCCGGAACACTACCCGACAGTGAGATCGGAAGCAGCCCCGTTGGCTCCAGCCGCACGTCGGTACATTCTAATCCAGCCCAAAGCCCAATGGTCTTCAGTATCACAAGCGGCTCAAGAAGAAAACTCTTTCCGTTAGCTGACAGCCCGCCAACTCAGCGGTCCACTACCAGCCTTCGAACCCACCTATTCGCCGCCGGGCTCGCGAACCAGACTGGTCCCCGCACCGGGTATCCGATCCGCATCCAGAACGCTCTCAGGTGGCGGCGACCTAATCAACGATAGGCCGTCAGCATCGGATCCCGAACCGAGAAGCAAGCATACGCGTCCTGGCCCTATGAAACGACCCGAGCTGACTGAGGGGTTTATTGAAAAGGACCCTGAAACAGGGTATGCTGAACACTTGGACAACGATGTGAGGAGCCTTGCTTGAATCGAGATGCTTTATGCGGAGGCGGCACTTGATAGCCGATCCAACTGGTGAGTACCCCTGGGCCCTGGTAGAAAGAGACGAGGTATTGGTCCCGTGACATTCGATATGTTGCAATCCTAGCAAGGGTTAGACTGCAGCTAGCAGACGTGGCACACTTGGGACTCGAGCGTGGCAACTATCGAAGTGCGCACTCGGTACAGATCGCTTAGTGCCGCGACCCGAAATCAAAGGCATGAGGTCATGTGTTGTGTTCGATGCTCACTCGAGCTGAGTTGTGGAGGTTTGCTAGTTTGCGGGTATCACTTGACGGTTGCTTAATCACTCGCCCGGTTATACATGTAAAAGATCGTCAATGAGGCAAATAATCAGAGGCTCCAGAGGCGAGGTTTCTCGGCAAGCAAGCAGGGGCGTCAGCCTAACCACAAGATCATCAACACCCTGAGGTGAAGCAAAGAACCCCGGGACTCCATCACGTTCAAACAGGTCATCATCATGCCATCCCCCTTATCCCCGCCCTCAATTCATCCAATTCAAATAATCCACAAAAAAGCACTTGCTCAACCTCAGCCAACCCGGAGCGAGCCGACCGGCCATGAACACAGCAGCGGGATCTTGTACACGTACCCCCAAGCCCCAGTTGCGTTGCCGCCCTTGTCCACCGTTACGAATGCAACATAGCACAAGCAAAGAAAGGAAAGAAAAGAAAAGAAAAGAAACCGACACGGCCCAAATGTTCTCAATCCGGCTCAACCACTCGGAAAGCCCCGACGACACCCCCCACCCCTCAAGCCTCAAGCTTCAAGCATTGAACTGGATATTGAGCGACGTCACACACAAAAACCCGAATCTCCAGTCCGGAGACATCCCCCATTCTCGTCCCACCATTCCACAACCTGAGGGAGCGGAGGGCTGTGGCCTGGCTGGCTGGCTGGCTGCTTCGGGGGTGTGCTCCCGCGAACGG